CAAGAATGGACCAAAGAAGTAAAAAGAGGAATTGAACCTCCATTACACACCCACAAATGCGTTAATTCAGCATATCTATCGCTCACTGCGTTACGATCAAGATCCTCGAGCACTAGAGCAGCATGTGTGTGCACCACGACAAAGATTTACCAAGCAATCATAACGAACTGTACTAAGTAAAGAGACCTCGGGCAAGATGATAAAATATGTTCAGGATAAATTTGCGGTTGAATGTAGAGTAGAAGAAAACACTATCGTTATTTTGACTTCACAACTCGGTTTCAATAGAATTTGTCGTAAAGTTTATCTAGAGATGACTTATTCAAAAATTAGAGAGAAATTGCGATCTATTGGATTCATTCGAGATGAACTTGATGCATCTTGGAGCAAGCCTATCAAATGTGGATTTAAAATACTCTTCCTTCCTTCTAATTGTCTCTCCTTAGGCGGGATGACAAAGTGATGAGACAAAACGACCATAATAGTCGTGCGATGAAGCGTAAAAATGTGGATAAGAGGACTAGACAATCGGCATGACGCAAAGTGATCGTTTTTCATATCATGTCATGGCTCCAAAGGCTGAACATTCCTTGTTGTGAATCTTTGCTTTAGAGTGAAGTATAATTAGCATAAATTAAGAAATCACTAATCTCTCCCTAAATTAATCATAAACCAATGATTTATCAAAAAAATTAGATAATTTTGTCTAAACAATAAATTTGATGAATAAAATATGATCATCATTTCAATATAAAGATTGTGTATGTGAAAAATAATGAATTTGTTTATTGATGAAATCACACACATGTCATGTCTTAATCACGTTGTAGAGTTGAAAATCAAGCTAATTGATGAAGCAAAATGACACATGGCACAAATGAGTATGAAGAGATCATAAGAGTTATACAAGCTGGAAAATTAAAGAAGTAGAGAAGTTATGATGTTTGTCATTTCACAAACAACAAATATGGATTTTGCAAGATTAAAACTTACACACAATGATTTTATCAGAATTTAATGATACAATCATTGTAGGTAATGTGAAAGTGATCAAGAATTGAAGAACACGGAACAAATATACATATTAGTATAAATAGTCAAGTATGTGAAGCTTTAAATTCAAAGTTATGTAGCTTATCAACAAACAAGTCAAGAATAAAAGACGAGCAAATTTATTACAACAACATTTCATTCAAAAACAATAGTGAAAACATGTCATCATGGAAGTAGTATGTGACTTACCAAAACTTTCTTAGAAAATTATTCAATTGTGATTTTTGTGAATAAATTAAACTATATGAATCACATCAAGCCAATCATAAAAATAATGACAACTTCACAACTTTTTTTTTTGTTTTTTAGATGTAACTTTTATGAATAATTAATCAAACAAAGTCTTAATAATTAAAAGAGATACTTTCTTCACTAAATTGTTTTGAATAACTTTGTTTAGCTTTTTCAAATCAAGATTAACCATGTGATTCATGATCAAACATACAAAGCAAATAAAATTCTACAGAACATGTTACGAGCATTCAAATAAAAAGATTAACAAGAGTGAAGAATTCTTTTGTCTTTTTAGTAATTTTCATATAAAATTTTTGTTAATGCTTCACATATATGTCTTCATTTTATCTTATATATGATGCTCATCTCATAACTCTATCAAGTTTGATGAAAGTTTTGAAAGGAGTGAATGTTTTTATCAAAATAACCATAGTCAACGATTTTGTGGACCATATTCACAAAGTGCTACATCAAGTCAAAAAAAATATTACTGATCGTTCAAAATAAAAAAATAAAATATGCAGATGTTCATGATAGAGAGTTGATTTTTCAAATAAGAAATCATGTTTGATTAATCTACAACAAATTTACATCTTGTAGGAACATCAAAGTTTAACACTAAATTCATTGATACTTTTGTGATATTGAAACATGTTGAAGTATCATACAAGTTAAAACTTCATCGAAAACATGTATCCCAATCAAACAATTCACCAACCAATCAACATCACCTCCTCTATCAATTTTGATAGATGATCATGAGTAATTTGGGTAGAGAAGATACTCAAGAAACTAATTCGACGACATAAATTTTCCAAAATACAATACTTGGTTTAGTGAAAAGTATATGCATAATATGAATCAACTTGAAAATCAACTAAAATACTAAGTATTGCAACTTTGATAAGTAAGCATTTGAAAAATTGTGCAACAAGTACGTAAAGTTTTAAAAGTACGAAAGTTTAATCTCATTTTTATTTAGTTAAAACTAAGTTAGAGGTTTTTCGAAATGAAAATACAACTGACTGTCTATAGTTGTCAAATCAGCGATCCATGTGTGCTTGATAAAAAGAGATTAAATATTAGTCAAAAGATACATGTGTACGCCATGTACTTAATACACAAGAAGTGGAATGGTTGATGAATATGATAACTTATTTCCTTGTACTTGTTGATAAGATTTATACAAGGAAGAGAAAATACACTTTAAGTATCTCTCATTTTAGAGTTGTATTTTATCTTTGAATGAATTACTTTTTTTAAATTCCAAGTGCTACAATTTTATTGAAAAAAAGAAGTGTATATAACACTATAATCAATACATTCATCATTCAATCATTACAATACTTATGAAAAATTAATATTTTGTTTTCATATCTTATGTTTGATTAATATATATGATGCAATGCATCTACAATAATAGAATATAAAATCTTCAATAAGCAAAGCACATGAAACAATATGAGTTAATGTTTTTTAAGTGTCCTAAAGTGTGATTGACTAATTATGATATGCATTAGTGTATCATCAAAATGTTAAATTTTTTTTTATCAAACAAACTCAAATAAAAGTAAAAAAAATGTATTTTTGAAACAATTTTATTTCGAAAATGCTTAAAAGCTTGTTTATAAAATGATATTGAAGAACATTTTGCAAACAAAGCTCATAAATTATAATTTTTGAAACATACATATTCATTTAAATTTGAAAAATTCTTTTTTTTTAATTTAAAAATATTTTGAATATTTTTCATACTTTCAAAATCTAACTCTCTCATACTAATTTTTCAATCATCCATTATGTTATGTTGCAATACACATAAATAAGAATTTCAAATCTATCATAGTTCTTGAAAATCTGCCTTGATCAACGATAAATTTCATTTTATTATGCTTTAAAATCCAAATTTGAAAGCACAAAATTTTTATTTATAAAATTTTCATGTAGAACAGGTTGAATCATTATCTAGTTAATTTGAAAAAAATCAAAACAACTTGATTTTTTGAATGTGTTATTTAAATTTAAATTTTATATTTTAATTCCTTTTAATCTAAAAAAAGCTTTGGAATGAAAAAAAATTTGCATAAAAGGTTTTTAAATGTGTTAAAACCTCTTTGAACACTTTTAATATCCTTCAAAACACATAATTTGTACAATTTTTTTATTATATACGTATATTTTTTTTTAAATAATTCATATTATTTTAATTTCAAGTTCATCCACTAATCATTATATAAATTTTTCATTTCGTCATATTTATTCAAAATAAGTTGGGAAAAGTCTTAAAAATTTCAAACCTTTCATAAAAAACTAATATGTTAGAATTTTAAAACTGCCAAAAATAATTAAAATTAATACATTTTTCATTTGGTAATATCTTTTTATAGCCAAAATTTTAGAAAAGTAAATTTCTCAAATTTGCTTAATATTATAATAAAATGTATATATAAATATAAGTGTTAAAATGTGCAACAATCAACAAAATGAGGACTATGATGTTAACACAAAACCACTATATGATTATAAAATATCACACCACATAATAGAATTCAATAGAAAGATAACGGAGGTCAAAAAGATTATATATTGTGATCAAGAAATATCACAAAAGTGATTATTGTTTTACCTCCTAAAGATGAAATTGATCATAAAAAATTAGGTAGCATCATATGTGGAGGGTTATATCATCTTCTATTTAGATCTCTATGTGATCATAATTATGATTAGACAATAGTTTTGATGTGGATCACAATTTATATACTGTAAATTACTTGATATTTCAAAACTTTCAATCATAAAATATTTGTTGTCTATAAACTGTGATTATTTTTATTATATATCGCATCATCACATCAAAAAAATAAAAGATGATGTTATACTTATTCTCTCAAAATAGTGTGATAAAGTGTTAGCAAAAGTGCTCTTTAAAGCTAAACTGTGAATTTAATTCAAAAGCACAAAAAAAGTGTTTGAAGAAATAAACAGATGAAACAAAAAACTTGAATAGATCTAGTTATCTAAAAATATGCTTTGATGAAGTAGTAAAAAAAAGTACAAAACGAGAAAACAAAATTTAGTCAACAAAATCACAATCTGTGAAAAAACGGTAAAACAACTATATTTTTTTTACATTGGAAGAATGAAATATAAAAAAAACAAGAGTAACATGTGACTAAATATCACCTATCTTGAAGTAATAGCACTAGCTTTTGTTATTTTTAGAGCAATCAATCATTTTGTTTACAATAAACTATGCAATAAATTGAAATAGGTGGTATTCTTGCTGTCTAGTCTTAAGAAAGTGAATCAGAATTATTTCATCACCGAAATAATAAACGATGCAAATAAAAAAGGCCGTCACGAATGTAGGAACTGATTATCATCCAGCGTCAGCAGTCTCGACCGGGAAACCTGCTGGGAAGCTGACGGTGCAATGTCGCGAACCGGTCGGAAAGCATGGACCGACCGGAAGATCTGAAGAGGCAGGTGTCAAAGGGGAGGGTGGAGGTGCCGGTGCCCGCGCAGCGATTCGACGGCCGGGTGCGAAATGTCTAATCGATGCAGCAGTTACATGCGATCCGGGTCGTTTGACACGACGAAGACTGTTGACTATGGATCGTAACCTTTCAGCATCGGTCCACACGACTGCCGGTCACAGCCGATGCCAAAGCGGGGCCGAATGCACGACCTTCTTCCATAAGGGCTCTCGGGCTGTCGGAAGCTCGAGCAGAGGCATCTGATGGGCATGCTCTTCCAGTTATGGCTCGTGCTGAACCTTCTCGTCGCATTTCTGGGCTCAATTATATGTTTGCCCGCTCACTCACTCACTGACAGTTGGTAAAGGGTGTGCAGGGAAGTGCTTTTCTGCTGAAATCCAGCACCAATAGCGACCGAATTGACGACGATAGAATTTGGTCGTCGTGCTGGAACCGAAGAGAAGCAAATTCAGTGGACCTTTGTGAGATTTTGGAGGAAGCATGAGGACCAGGAACCAAAGTAACCTGATGACGCTGGCACTGGCAATTTTGCTGGTGGCGAGCACGGCGTGTCGAGCGTACCCTATCGACAGCTCGTCGAGTAACGTGTGCGACATCGCCAGCTACATGCAGACCTTGTTGCCGTGCATGTCTGTTGTTTTGGGGCCTAGCGATCCAACGGGAGGACCAGACGAAAACTCCGGATGCTGTACCGCCCTCAAGGCCTTGGCAGACCAGGATGTCTTTATCGATTGTCTCTGTACTCGATTTGATTCCAAACCCGACTCGTGCAAAGAAGCCCTGCGGAACATCCGGTGCTGACAATTTGTGCCCCTGGATGTGAACCTGTTCGAGCCTATGCTTACTTCCCAGCAACAGGAATGTTCCTAGGGATTCTTTTCCGTGCAAGCTCGTTCCGTAGATCGAGCGTTAAGGCAATGTCTACGTCGAGGATCATGAACATCATCTGAGATTCGAGATGCTTCTGAGTCATACAGAACTTCAGCCCCTATGGCTTCAGTGACTGGGATTTTCTTCCAGGGCTGGTGTGACGCCGGAGGTCTGGATGCCTCGCACTCATGTCAGGTCCGTTCCATGCTGGAAAAGACCCGAAGAGTGGTCGAGGTTTCCATCTTGATGTTCACCTGGAACTCTCTGCATCATCCCATCTTCTCGTTCTTTAGAGTCGTGTGTAGGGTTACTCATTAGTTTTGGATTGCAGTTCTGGGAACTTCACTGAAGATGGACGGATGACTTTGTCTAGCTCCTGCCACAGCAGCATTGAGACAGTTTTCTCGCAGTTTTTTGCTCGAGAACTAATGCGTCCTCCCCTTTCCCACGATGATTTTCTGCGGCCACTACATTTCCGCTCACCGGCAGCTCTCCTAATACACTCCAGTTATCCATGCGTTGTCGTTTCATGACCCATTCCGTCCATCCGACCTCCCTCACTCATCAAATCTAAGCTGCACTTCTTCTGTTCGATGTGCAGCTTGTACTACCAACTATTCTTTTCTTATCTACTCATCGAGCAGCCAGCACCCAACCCAGAAGAGATAGCATAGAAGAGATAGACGAACTGCCTTCACCTTACAGATGACAGTGCGACTTACCGCTGAAAACGCAGGTTTGGTCTAGGTTCGGTTCGGAGGAGATGAGAAGAAAATTGCTGTAGACTGGCGAGCCTGCTTTATCATGCACTACACTATCAGCTCACAAAGTGATCCCCAAAATGTTCATCGGTTACAGATCTGTATAAGCTGCTTGCCCTCCGTCGGTCGTCGAGGTTAAACTTGAAGTGTACACTTGATATCCCCAGAGGTGTGCACTATGCTAACAAGATGATGTGTGAAGTAAGGTTAGGCAAAGGTTTGGGAACAAAAGTTCCTCCTTGTTGACCTCGTGGAGACACTCGATGTACAGTGAAGAGGTTTTGAATGTACAAAGAGTAGGAACCGATTTCAGTCATGATTGATTTCTGTCTCCTGAAGCCTGGAAGCGCTTTATAGCATCTGCCAGAACATCAGTGTTCTCAGATATTACAGATGATTTGGCTATGGTGGATTAAAGCCTGCTGGCACATCAAATTCTGCAGCGGAAGCAAGAGATAGCGAAGAATGACGCAGGTCTAGGGGTTTCCGGTCGTGAGATTCAGAGAGCTTCAATTTAACTTACCTCCAGAATTGGACAGCGAGAAATCACGTTGTAACGCAGCCAATGAAGAATATGAGTAGCGTACATTTGAGCCTACTGTCTGAGTCGTTGGCTGTGGTAGCAGCACACTCCATCAGCCAGCCCATTTACAGGGGAACACTTACTTTTACATTGATAGCATGGCGTCTTTGTGTCGAGGGAATCGTTTCGGTGAAATACTTCAAAAATGTCAACGAACTTAGCGTCACGGTGATCGCCGATCACTCAACTTGCCATGGCATTGCCCAACTTGTAAGGTACTCAGGGAGAGCAGAGCAGAAGCTTGACAGCCGCCGATGCTGACTACTGCATTGTTGTGTTCTCTTCTCACTTCGTTCAGTACTCAGTCAAGCTATGGTGCACTTGCAGCTCACGTAATCCACTTCTCTACTACTTGTCGGATGATTGACCAAGATGGGCAGTATTCTAAGATGTCGTTGCATGAAACATCATGGACTTTGGACACTCCGTAGGTACATAGTTGCTTGCCCCGAGACACTTCTGGTAGCAGCCAATACTTGATCTGATTTGTCAAGCTTTCCCATCTTGTTCGCTTTTGCCAGAGACATCTCCTATCGGTGTATTGTAATTTATAAACGATTGAGCAGTGATGCCTTTCAAGGGATTTTTGTGAACCTTTTCATATCATCCTTGACAAGTCTTCTAATATCCCACTTAGAAGGTTAGTGGTTGTAAATCATGAAACTTTGACTCAAACCACGAATCCGGCGAGAAGGCGAAACTCATGCAAAATTTACACAATTTTAGGGCGACCGATCAGTGACATACTTTCACTCAGTGATTACATTTCACAAGGCATCCTTCATTGGTTTATACGGCATTCAATGCCATCAGACATAGATTTGTGTACATCAGAGGTTGAATATTGAATCAAATAATGGAATATTTTTTAAGTAGCATACAAAGTGCTTATCTTGATCATACCTTGATCATAATTTGTATGACCACCAAAAAATAATGCTGTCACATGAATGACCGTGTACCAATTCAAATATATATCATCTAAGACCTGGAAATCTCTGAGACTATATTGGTTAGGGAAACAACTTGAGTCTTCGAAGTCTACATTCAAATATCTCTTTCAGCCATGGTTAATATAAAGAGTCCATGTGTCTTTGAGCGTCCATGACAACTCTGTTCTCGCGAGCCACAGGTCTCCACAGGTAGATTGAGATGCCCATCGAGCAGTCTGTTGCCGTGGCTGGCTGGACCAAAATGCACAGACAGACACAGTGTAAGTCAAAGCATGCTACCCAAGGGAGTTCAGACATTTTGGTCCACTTCACCGTCCACCTCAGACTCGTTTTCGTCTACTTCTCTTCAACGTCAACTGAGCGAGCACACATCGACACACGAGGAAGAGGCATTGATGATTGGCAATTCGGACAAAGCGAGTCGACACAGTCATGGCCACCGAAGCCCAACGTCAGGACCAACTTCTTCGATTAACTGAGCATGGCGACCGTGGAGCTGACAGCATGTTGGGAGAGGTTACGCTCTACTGAGAAGTCCGAAGAGGAGTGCGTGCTTCATGTACGTACAAGACAATCTAAAGAAGGATTCGTTGGACAGACTGAAGTCTATCGACGGGGTGGGGTGGAGTAAAGCAGCCATTGCAGGAGAAGTATGCGCGCAGTCAACCTTTGCACACGTTTCGAAGGAGGAATCTCGTAGATTCCTCTTCGGCTAACAATCGGAGATACAGTGATGCTGGGCATGTGAATCTAAAGAAAGGAAATTTTTGTCGATCTGACTTGCCGTGAATCGCAAGGAGCACCGTTGTCACGGAGTCCGACTCTGTAAGACCTACCGCTTTGTCAGCCCGGAAGCGCAGCAAATAAAGACTGGCCAGCCTATCTATGCCTGAATCCATTCCTCACGGGACTTTCATGTTTTCCAATCTGGAAGCTAGTTATTCCAGTCCAATGATCCTAAGAACGTTCTGTTTCTTCAGTTTCACAAGAGTTTCCATATCACCGATGGGTGGATGGATGAAAGCAATTGTTAGCAAGTTTCATTGTTTGGACCCAGTCCTCGTGCTCGAGCTTGAAAGACTCTAAGAGGATTAACTTCTTACAAGACAAGTTATAGAAGCTTGTGTAGCGACGTCTAGAATGCAGTACTGGCTGCTGAGCCCAGCCCTGCTAACCACAGTATGTGTCCCATTACCATGAAACTCAAGAGCCACATACATTATGGTCAGTAGCAGCCCTAAGGTTTCAATCACTCCTTCGTTAGGTCCTTGAGCGCGGCCTGAACACAAACAATCCCGGTTTCTGCAGGGTCCGTTGAAGTCTTCAGCATGACACATCTACATCCTCCTACTGCTCCAAGCCCTGTAGTGACATCTCTGTGAGATCAGAGACGGCAACGAAAGGCACAATCTTTTAACATTGCACTACAAAGTAAAATGAGAAAAGGAATAGAAGGCCTCCGTCAAATCATGCGTGGATGAAACCAAACGGGTAAGGATCCCATAGAAAATATGTCATATTGGAGCTAAGATATCTTTCAACACTTTCACGTAAATTAAAATACGAAAGCCCTTCAAGCCCTTGGAGGTACTCGACCACCTTATGGTTATAGACTTTGGGTCCTAACGCTACAATATTCGCCCAGGCATAGGAGTATTCACCCTGTACGAAACCATGTCACATACATGTTCCGTAAGTTCATTGTATTAAACCCTGACCCCAAGTGCACTTCAAGGAAAGGCAAACTCAATCACTGTCCTAATTAAGTGGATTGTGGAGGCCGGAGTCCAGGCATGGAGACAGTTCATACTGAACGCATCAGACCGAACTCGGAATAGGAATCGATGCGGAGGTCGCGAAAAAGACACGCATTGATTGCGCTCAACTGAACCCAGGCCATGTTTCCCACTGTACAGGAAATTCTAATCCTGCATCGGGTAGGACCCACTGATCCACGAGCTTTTCGCTGTGAAAGCTTTTGTCCAACGAGATGAGTCTGAGACGAGGTGTAACGGGGAAGTAACACAGAAGCCTGCCTGTCTGCTGGTCTGGGCACCAGTGGGGAAATTGTTGGAAAGTCAATGCCAATTTGATTAGTGCGGCTGAGAGCTGGGGTGGGAATCTGGGCTGTTGAAAATGGCTACGTAGCAAGGGAACAACATGAAGGCGGAAGCAACCCTGGTGCCTCTGCCTGCCTGCCTTCCAGATCCCGCAACCCGGACCCCATCGATAATCGCGGCCTCGTCCGACGAAGACGAGGATCACGAACCATTATATAGACTACAGTGCGGATCTGCCACTGCGCAACCCAACAGCCTGCCTTTCATGATCGTCCAGTCTCGCGAAATCTCAGTGTACTGCGGTAGCAGTCCACTCTCACGCATCCGGCGCAGCGAGCGTTCTATAAAGGCTTGCATCGTCTTATGACTCGAGCTGTTAATTGCCCCGAGCGCCCCCCGGTCCGCTTGCGGTTCCGATCTCAGTCTTAGGCTCATGCGGTGGAAACGACACGAGGTTTTGTTCGTTGTTGTACTTCGAGATTCAGCTGACACTTGTGTAAGCAGGCACGTACTATACATTCGTAGAATTTGCAATCCTCTGGGCAGAAGGAGAATCGGGGAAACAGAGACAGGGGAGGGACACTGGTGCTCGTCATCGGCTGGAGCGAGCGAGGAAAAGAAGAATCACTGACAGTCATTCACTTCGCCCATGAATCCGGTGCCGAGCGGTCCAACGCCAATGCGAACGCAAACCAGGGACGAGAACGAGGACGAGGACACGGCGGTCGAGGGAGGAGGAGGAGAAGACGAGCGGCATTTCTGGCACTCTCAGTATCAAACGGCCAGGAAGATGTTCAACAGGGTGAAGCACAAGGTCCGAACTTCAGACTGGTCCGCCTTCGGTCACGGATTCGGACACGGACACGGATTTGGACATGGAACCGAGGAGGGCCAGGAACAACATGAGCAGCAACAGCAACGCCAGGGTCCTGGACAGACGGATCTGGAGGCATCGGGTGGGGGCCGAGGAGATGGGCTGATCGACTCATTCTACGAGTCGCTGGGGCTGGGGCTGCGCAATCTGGAGAATGCGCTGAGCGCGAACGATAGCGTGAGCTTCCAGTTGGAGTGGCTCGTGCTCGGGGTCTCGTTCCTGCACTCGGTGCACGCCGACACGTTCGCGCTCGTCGAGACGGAGTGGCTGCCGGCGGCGTCGGTGCTGGGGCCCGACTCGCTGAGCGACTATCTGGACGTGAGCATGAGCCTGCTGGACACGTGTAACAATCTCAAGGAGGCGCTGAGTCAGCTGGAGACGTATCAGATGAGCATGGACTTGATTCTCCGGCGCCTCATGGCTGCTGCGTCGCAGCTGCAGTCGCTCGAGGCTTCGATGGGCGACGGCACCGTCGACGGCGGAGGAGACGGCGTCGTCGATTCCTCGTGCTTTCTGCAGCCGCTGAGCGAGTGCAAGCGCGAGCTGGACCTGCTCGATGCCTCGAGCGATTCGTACAATTTGTGGGTGGAATTGGTTCCGAAATACGATCTGGGCCAGGAGAAGATTCTCAAGGCCGAGGGCACTCTGCCTCGCACGTACAGCGTCTACCCTCTGCCCGCGACTCCGGTGAAGAAGAAAAAGCGAGAGGCGTCCGTCGTGCTGTACGATGTGCAGGTGGTGACGAGCTTCGTGTCGTGCATTCTGCTGTGGCTCGTCACGGGCCAGGGCCAAGACGAGGAGTCGTCTCCCACGCGGATCCAGCTCGTCGTGTCGTCCAAGCCCGGCCTGAAGGAGCCTCGAGCCTCGCCGTGGCCCTCGATTCTGTTTCGTTTGAAGGACAAGGTGGAGCAGAGCATCGATTACATCCGCAAGTCCAGTAACAACCCGGGCTGCAGCTTCATGAAATTCCAAGATCTGAGCAGTCTGCAGAGCTCTTTGAAGACCCTGCGTGCCGAGCTCGAGCGCGGGCTTCGAGAGAAGCAGTTCGCCCGCGGCTCCGAGTTCGCCACGAGAATGAAGACTGTTCTGGAGCAGAAGAAGCAGAAGCTGACGGAACTGACCCGGAGCTTGGAGAGAATCTCCGCCCAGTTGAATGAGATGTTTTCCGAGATCCTCGAGCGGAGGAAGAAAGTGCTCGATATTTGCGAAAGTCGCCCCCCTCTGTACCATGCCTTCTCGATCTGATCCATGTCCGAATTGAAATTCTCCTCGGCTGTACCGCCTCATTTCTGGGTATCACATGTGGTCTACAGCCAGCTACTGGCAGCGAGTGATGGTGATCAATACGATGACATCCTTATCGCCTTTCTTTCAGGGCTCGGTTTATCACGGAAACTCATCATACTGGACCCAGTCGGTGCATTGGATCGTGGCGAGACTCATGATCGTTCGCATGAGCGCTTCTTCCTCCCCATTGTACTTCTGTACATAGTCTTCATCGGATTCTTTTCGGGGGAGATTCTGATACTGGCACCTTACTTCTCGAAACCTATGCTCTAGGATTGTACACTAAGTAGATTAGAACGTGATACGTGCAGGTCTTACACTAGCTTGTCTATGGACGGACAGGACGCTGGTGCTTTGGACATTCGGTGTGTCAGATGAACGAGCTTCAGAGGGACCATCATATTTTTGAGACAGGGCCGTGCCCATGGATCTACGAGAATACAAGGATCAAAGTTTGACGCTTTTTGATACAATGAGCTTCACCTAGATCTATCTTTGTTCAAAATGTTGAAGGATTGATTGAGACCCATGTGACAAGAATCAGACGATCAAGCACCGATGTAATAGAGGGCGGCTCAGAATTGTCAACCATGTACATTTATTCCCACTGTATACAACTTCTGTAAATGTGTACAAACTTTGTCTCGTGTTCTCTTTGGCACAGTTCCACCTCTACACTACCTTTGGATGATAGTGTACAATTGCTGAGCCCGAAGACTCCATCCGTGTCCGCGGGCATCGTTTGTTACACTTGAAAAAGAAAATTCTAGAATTTCATAGCGGGACAAAGCAATTTTAGAGGTCAACCATAATCAACCATGAAACTTGTCGTCTTAAGACAATCTTATTAAGACTGTATGTCTCTAATTGGTGCAAATTGAAAGTGATTATATACAGATACAGAACGTACTCAAAATTGAAGAGGTCTCGAAAATAAGCTTTTGTAATACGTATAACTAGGTTCTGGTGTATCGATCAGAACGAGTCTCTAACAACATGCAGTGAAATCCAGGTCTTTATGTACGATAAAACAACACTTTGCTGATGGTCGGAAAAGCTTTGTGAGGGTAAATTTGGATATCACTTTGTGATGTCATTGTAGCTTCAAGGTTCATATAATCTGAGGTTAAGCAGTTTCATTAGGACGTATACGTTCATCTCAGCGCAATGTCACTTCGTGAACTTATGGTTTCCATCATCCTTAGAGTTAGTTATATTGATATGATTTGATCTGGGGACATCTCCCGCCTAGTAATCAAATTCATTTTAGAATGCTACACTTGGAAGCTCGATGTTTCTCCTTCCAATTCAATCGTATCTTCATTGTGACATGTAATAACCTCATCATGACAAAAACTCCACTTGCTTGTCCAACATCCATACACATACGCACACTTTAAGCATGCAGAGGACAACCTCATAGCAAACCTCCATAGAAAGAAGAAACCTCCATATCAGTACTAAAGTACTAGATGTTTACATTTTTCTTCAAAAAATTTCTGTACATTTTTTCAATTATTTCAATCTCCATTAAATAAACACTTGTCACATATCTTCTATCAGGTTTATATCTTGAAATCGAAAGCATTTCGTGTAGTATGAATCACAATTCGATTTTCTTAATATGCCTTGATATTAATTTCGGTCTTCATTACTTTTTGGAGCAATACTTGCTTCGATTCACCAGTTTCATCATTTCTCCTCGTCTGCCTCATATGTTCTCCTCATAGCAGTCTTTTCTCCATCGCCAACCCCTATTATATATTGTAATAGTTTTTGGGTTTCTAAGTTACTCAAACAAAATTTGCAGTCGTTTTTTTATACCCTCTTGATACTCTCTCCTTGTTATTAGTATATTCTCTCTCTCTCTTGTCATTTGTATATAAATATAAATATATATATATATATACACACAAATGACAAGAAGAACAACAACATACGTGTGAAGAAAAAGATTCTTTAAAATCCAAGTGCTTATTTATGGATATATATATATACATTGACATGACAGTTGAATTGAAGATATTCAGCTGCATACACATAACTTGTACATACTGAAAAGCATTAATTTGATGTCTACCTTAAATATCCAATTTATATACAATTTCGATACAAGTTCCTTTGGACACCATGTTAATATCTAGGATACCAACAACTGTTTTCGATGTCACGAGTAGCCACTCCTCATATGTTGATAGCAGTAGGATAAGAGGAACTGGCGTTGCGATATTGCTAGTGGTGCATGCACTCGTACCTTGGTGGGAGAAAGAAATGCTCTTCTGGCTGCTCAGCGGTCTATTGCATGTGGATCCATGCAGTAAGTTCTGATGGTGCAATTCAATTGGACCTGCTGGATCCGACAAGGTTTAGACTGGCATAAATCTCGGATTTGCGCTCTGCATTCTACTCTCGACCGGGTGCGGCTAGTACTAAAGTATGCTCCTAAAGATTCATACTAAAGATGTGAATAGATGATAACGAGTTTATTTTTGAACTAATGAAATCAATATCAATTTTCCGTTGATTTGAGTGTATTAAGTTGGAATTGAACCTCTGTAAACAATGTGTTCACAGTGATATTTGTTACATGATCATCAACCAAGGATTATATGGATGGTGATGATGAGATTATTGTAGTTTTATAACTTTTAAAAATACGTGTATAAGGAACTATAGACACCATCTATATATCAATCATCCTCAGATATCTAATGTTACAATGGCTTGATTACTTTTTTTCTTTTTCAGTGTCATATCAACTTCTGTGAACATATTTATGATTTAGTGGTGAAGATTCCTTCATTACAAATGAAATTGAAAATAAGAATCACAATTAAAATCGCATCTCCATTCTTCATGAGTTTGTCAAAGAGAGTCAAGCAGAAGAAATTGACCAAGCTATATATTGTTTAGAAATCTTATTTAAATATGTGAATTCCATGAATTTATAACCATTTATTTGATAACAAGTAAAAAATATTATGCATGTGTTGAGATTATTTTACAAAGGAGTCAAATACATCACAGTGCTCTTTAGTTCCGATTTTAAAAAGGACAAGTAATTAGAGGCAATGATAAATTAAACAAGGTTAGATTAGTCGCAAAAAGTGGCCTGTAAGTGAGGAGGTTTGTACATAGTCAAATTTAGTCAAATTTACGAGGTTCCGTTTCCTGTCATAAATTTAATCATCTCATTGAAAAAATAATTTATAATCATAAAATCCATGATTCTACTATTGTTGATTATTAAGAACATTCAAAAGTTGTCGTTAAATGATGTTTATTTTTTTATATTTTTAGAGTAAAAAGCTCTAATGAATCTGTACATTTTTTTTCATTCAAAGGTCTTGTTTACAATTTTGCTAAAAAATGAATGTCGATTGATAGAATTTTTTATTAAAGCTTGTAAATATAATAAGATTGTAACTTGTTCCATAGATCTGCAACTTTATTGCTAATTTAAGAATGTAATACTAATTCAAATGAAGTCACTATTCAATTGAAGAGGTGCCTTTTTGAAGAGCGTAGAATACCATGACGTTATTCTGGGTGTGACTTATATGCTAATTGACGTATTAGTATGAATATCTTATAGGGGTACAAGATTAGATATGCTTCAATTGTTAGAGTCTATCATAATGGGATGATAAGAAGAACTTTTTCCACAACGTGTAGGCTATTTTAGTCAACGCGTGTTTATATATCTATGTATACACTAACAAACTTTATGCATAGTACTGAATTTTATATATAATATTGTGATTTTTTTTACTATTGTTTACAACGTGTATACTATATTACTACTATTATTTTTAGAATATGTTACCTTGATACTAATACTGGTGTTGTGGAATATTCTTTTAATGTGATACTATTGAACCTAGATATTGCTTTGCTCTTGTTTCATTTCCTTCTACGTGTTAATGAAAGATTCATTATTCTATCAAAATTTTGTTAGTGAATCAATCTAAACATCACAATAGACCATCTTTTTTAATGACACAATTACAGTCACAATTACATCATTTTTCAATTGCTGTAGCATTAGCTAACAATCCAGTACATAAACTTTTTTTCATCGAAATGACATCAATATATCTTTTGATATAAATAAAATTAGAATATAACATCAAATAAAGTTTAACATGACTGATGCAATCAGTTGTAAAATAGTGATAGATATGAAGATCAAGATTTAGAGATTCTTTGAGCAATAAAGTGAAGATTAGAAGAGTGCAACTATGTTGTGACATCAATTTCTTGTTATAACTCTAAGATTCTATACCTGAAAGCAAACTTGGTTCAAATAGCAATGTTTTCATTATGAAAACATAATACTTGTGGATGTTTTGAAAATTTGAAAAAAAAATTAAAATAAGAATTAAAATAGAATTTGAAATTCAACCGAAAGTAAGAATCTAGGAGATTTGATTCCAAAATATGTATTGTCTCGTATGTTTACAATGTATCCATACGATTGTAGCAGTGCATATAACTCGCCCGATGCCATCTTTAGCTCTGTGCCGACACACTTAGAATATTTTGATGCGTTCTTGGTGCAAGAGTGAAAAACCTCGAGCAAAATCCCCTTGCAAGTCAATGCCTGGCATCCTGCTTATGCATATTATTATGCACATTACATACACCGAGCGAACTTTGCCCCGGGCAAAATTGAAAATTCTATGGATGCTGAGGAACCCGGCTGTAGGTTTCAACAGTTTCTGCAGGCCGGAAGGAAATGTTCTAACATATGAAATCCCCAAATCAGTAATGCTCAACAAGATTGCAGGGAGCCAAAACTAAATAAAATCAATAGATGAAAAACTACAAGAACCCTCGTGAATTATTATATTGTAACTCATTTCCCATAACTTTTAGAGAAATCCTACCCTAAACACCCTTCTATATACGAATGTAGAGAATTCGTAGATATTCTTCTAATGTGGTTATGTCTGGTCATAATCTCAGTCAATCAAAATGGATCGTTAGCCATCTTTTACAAATGAGTTACGGGTGAGTCCTTGATTAGTATATCAAGGGCTAATAGTTATTCTCTAGCTACTCCAGAAGACTGCACAACTGGTACAACTGTCGAACAGAAGATGAATTGCAGTAGTAGCTGTCTGCATGATGAGAGTGAGATGTGATTAAGATATATTCCGTTGAGTTGCAGTGAGAAAGTTCTATTCCTTCTTTGTAATATGTCTCGGGATTCCATACGGCATTGGTGCTTCAAGATCAGTGGATAAGGTCAACATTTGTAGAATCTTGTTGATGGGAAGGTTTTCTCTGAGCTCCGGGTCATATAGCTGCACTTAAGCGAGGTCTACGTGAAGCTAGTATTGTGGACATGAGCTTTCTGGAGCACAAAAATTGTGCAACAAATTGCTTATCGGTTCAGCCAATCTGGAGATTTTGCAGGTGAGTTGCAGCTTTGATTTGCGGTATGTCTACATACGACCGGGTTAATAAGATGCTGGTGGAACTGCATCAGGTTCAAGAAGAACAATCGATGGTTTGCAAAAAAATCCATGTCATCGAGGCAAAGCTTGAACGTACGTCAACAAGTATGAAGGAAAGATTTCACGTCATATTCTGGGAAAGGCTGCGGACGTTGCATGAGGCGGGTAGAAAATTGGCAGACAGAGAAGCGGATCTATGTGATGAAATTGACAGTACCCTTGCAAAGATGGAGGAGAAAAAGCCTGAGAATGGACATGAAATTTCTGCACACAAAGTGGTTCCGAACTCGTCCAGGCGCTTACAAGCCGAAGAAGACTTCTGCCAGGATAGAGAAGCAGTACCAGATATCAATCCAAGGGCAAACGGGACGGAGCAAAAGTCCGATGATGTACAAGCATTCCCTCCAGCTGAAGAGTTTGATCAGAAACATGCTTCACTGTCCTTGAGTGTGATTAATACACTTTCTCTCGACCTCTCGGTATCACCAGCAGATTACATTCATGAAATGGATGCTTCAGGAAAGAAGGATAAAGAGAAGGCGGTTGCTTCCAAGACAAACAACACGCCAGCTGATGATCAGATGCCGAGCCTCACCTCTGAGTCACCGGTACCATCAGAAGCTACCTCGCAACCACCTTCCCCTGGTTCAGAGATATCAGTGGGCGATGAAGTAGCAGCAAATGTAAGCTCGGAAGGAGAAGAAACCGATGTCTGGATCGTTGCTAGAGTTGTCGAGTTATTGGCTAATGGGAATATGATCCATGTGTTGGATGAAATTCCAGATGAAGTGGGAGCATCTTTGAAACAATTCGTATTGCCTCAACATCACATCATTCCATTCCCAAACCAGTCTACGGCTGCCAGTATTCGAAGTATGATCTCCAAAGGTTCTGAAGTCCTGGCTGTTTACCCAGATTCCACAACACTTTACAAGGCCACTGTTGTGGACCACCGAGGTCCAGATTATCTGCTGGAGTTTGAGGGTGATCAGAATTCAGAAGAAGAAGAAGGATGTTCAACGGACAAGCACCCCATGCCCTTGTGGATCGTACCATCTCATCGAGTCGTTCCCCTCCCTGAAGGACATAGGCAGTGATCTTTCCTACTTTATTTGTTCGTTCTGATTCTTCCATTGTGGCAAATCCAATCTATGCTCTCGAGGTTCTCTCTTGTAAAGTACTGGAACACATTCTTGCCATTGGAGGTTCGTTCCAACATAGAAGAATGTCATTGTAATAGTATTTTGCTAGAGTCGTTACCTCAATTGTATTTTATTCTTTTATTTTGTCATGTCGGCGATTTGACAATATAAACAATATGAACATCAGTGTAGTTTTTGAATCAAGTCCATTTGAGTCATTGCATATAATAGATCCAATCAGGTCGAATGAGTTCAAATACATGGTCAGTCCGAGTGTCTACTGTCTACTGTTTGTGAAATTCTATAATTCATTATAGAATTATCGTTTGCCTTTTACGGAGAGGGGACAGCTTTTGTACAATTCGATCTACTATTTTGACAATGATGGATGGTAGACGATGTATTATTTTTACGAGTTTTCAAAAGAATCAACATATCTGACAGTCCGGATTTGAATCTTAAGTTAGCAAGAATCATAGTTGCCAACCAACTTATCGTACTTCTATCCATGCTTAAACAATGGCAGATTGAACACAATCTTGACATAATTTTCGATCTTTTTGGGAATGATAATGGCCACATGTTACTGCATACACTTCAGAGGGGGCATTGCAAGTCCTCAAAGCATATAGGAATCAGAAACAAGGAGGACGAAAAGAGCATCTGAATGTGGAAATTTAATTACATGCCAATTTAGTGTACAATACAGCAGCTCTTCCAGGTCCCTACAATTGTAAAAGCTTAAGAGGTCTTATCTCTTCATGTCATTAACGAAGAATTCAAACTTCAGTGCAAGTTAAAAGATAATTTTTAAGCAAATGCTTTGAAGTTTTCTTGGTGTTTTTCAGAAGGATTAAATTGAGATAATATAACCATAATTTGGTGATATCTTTCAATTGCCATGGCATGAATATTTCAGAATTCACGGTACTTACAATTGCATCTGTCTTCCACTCAGTTCAATGATCAACACTTCTGTAGCTAAAGGTCTGAATTCGTGTTCGTGTTCATGTTCATCGATCAAGAAACCCGTTGTCATCCTCAGCTCAACTGTACGAAGCTGCAACCGGTTCATTTCTCCTTCTTTTAACGACATCAGCCAGTCATCGAAAATTCGAAGATATACTTCAGGAGACAGCTGGAACTGTTCAAACCACCTCTGACCAACCGTAACGGTCGTTTGTCGTCCATGTGGCGCGCTACAAAATGGCCTATTCATGCTTAGCGATAGTAACGTGTTTCTGTAGCAGGTTTGATGCAGATTAGAAAGTTCATAGCCTGCGCATGCTTTGCCGATGAACGGAGGAGATTTCGTCTCCTGCTTATACTCCAAATCTAAGTCTGAAACAATCATTATAACCCTCGCATCCTTTGATAATGCTTTCCTCCTCGATCGATTTCCAGTTCGTCTGCGATTTGTTAAGGTACTGTCACGTGCAGGGAGCTGGCATCTAGATGTAGATAAACGGACCACGGATGCTGAAGCTACAGCTTAGGTGAATAAAATAAAGTTGCACTAATCTTGTTAGCATGTATTTCTATTCTATGCCATGGATTCCAGATTCAAGCATGTTATAACGGAGGTTTATGGTGAGTGAACCCAGGATCCATCTTGGAAATTTGGAGCCGAAATTGGATCAACTGGTATCAGCAACAGATTTTGACTTGCTACAAGGAACTACACAAAATTAAAACTTAAGTAATAAATTTTTTAGAATTTAGTAATTGCAGAGAGACAAGAAAAGAAAAGCTTTTTTAATTTTAGTTTTAACAATCTGTTGTAAAAAAGACGACTTTTTATAACAGAAGATTTTATTTATAAAAAGGAAAGAAAGTATACATATAAATAAGAAAGCTTAACTCTTTCCAAAAGCCAAAAGAAAATTCAAGGGATTAGGTTTAAAAAAGTCAAAAGTTCAAGCACATTCTCTAATCATTTTGTATTTATTTATATTTTTAATAATCTACTCAATACTATAATTCAAAATTTTATGAACGGAGTTTTTACTGATCATTCAATCAACAACATAATGTCCAACACATTCAAGCAAAAAAAAACTAATATTTGACAAGTTTTTGTCAAGTATAAGATTGAAAATATAAAAATATATTGGCAAATATGATATTCAAAATTTCAAATGAAATATAAGAGAAGTAAAAAGAAATGCACTGAAAAATAAATTGGATACATATGTTATTATCATTTTGAAATCATTCATATTATAACTTATCAAATTGACATAAGTAACCTTACATCAAGCAGTTCAAAAAGTTTTGAATTTTTTTATGAAACTAGTTTAAAAAGTATTATAATCTAAATTTTAATTTCTATGGTTTATGGAAGCAACCTATGTTTTCAATCAATACAAATAAGTAGATCTTCACCTTGATGTTGATGACAATTACAAAATAATTGAACCTTTATAATTTTACGATCAAATTTTGAAATTGATTTAGAATTGATTTCATTAAATGTTGAATATAAAATATATCTTATTTTTATACATGATGATTGTATTTTGACGATTCAAAAATATTTAAGTTAAATATGGCTTTATTTTACTTCACTGAAGATCATTTTCCATTTTTCATTCTCAACAATGTGAAGTGTTAGTTCAGTAATCATATTTCTGAAACCTTCATGTTGAAAAGTTTTTTTAAATGACAAGCTTAGAAATAAGAATCATCTAAACCTGAAATTAATTTAAAAACTCCAAGTAGATGTCAACGATTGTAAGATGTATTGATACATATAGCTAAAAACTCGTCCCAAATACAATAATTTTTTTGATTATTATGATCTTTAAAAAAAAATATGCATAAAGAGATGACATAAAGAAATATCAATATCGATCACAACATACATATATATTCTAGAAAATAGAATTTTTAAATTTGTCATTAAAATCATAATCATGAACGGCGTTAACATTTTGATGGCATCATAATTAAGAGTAACATGAAATTGTTAATATTTAATTAAGTATTGTTAATTAAGGTCACTAACATCCTTGTTATCCAATTAAATTTGCGTTATTACTACATAAATAAACTGATTTTAGCGTTGAAATAAAAAAAATTCAGCATTGTTTTTCTTTGGATATATTTTTATTTGAAATGAATCACATATTTTTCATGTCAATTTTTGGTTTGATGTTAACTCTCATTGTCAATTATCAATGTATAGTAAATTAACATATGTTAAAAGTTTGACATAATTATATGACATAAAAAAATTTGTATCAAAGTTGTAATAGTTTAATTTGATGATTGAAATTATAAATATTAATATACTTATAATTTAAAAGCGAAAGGCAAAAACAAAAAACTTGGCAATCAACAAAAAGATATTTAATTTCAATTTTTTTACCATCATAACAATAATCTTGATTGAGACAGAAAGATTAAATAAGTTAAAAATTGAAATAGAAATTTACAAAAAATGAAAAAGAAACTGAGAAAAATTTTCAATTATTATTTTTTCAAAAAAATTGTAATCTCAAAATTTTGACAAAATAATAATTTAAATTTTTTGAAGTTTAAGTTTAAATTAAAATTATTACAAATTTTTGCACAGTGCAATATGGGATATAAAAATACTATGTCAAAACTAATATTGTCAAATATAATCATTACATTAGATCAAAATTTTAGTAAAATACATACTTAAATTCAATAGAAAAGATTAGTAGTTAAAAGACATCTGCCGCTAAAAAAATTTTCAATTATGTTCTAATAATAATAATAATAATATATAAAACAAATCTTATTACATCTATAACCTTATGTTTTATCAAACATCTTATATTAGTAACATAATATAATTATTTTTTTCTTAATCTTGAAATTAGATTCATCATAGAATATCATCAAATTTTCTGCATTTAAAAAAAATTCAAAATTTTTAAAATAATACAATATTGATTAAATTTAATTTTTTATGATTTTTTTTTGAATTTTATAAGTTTTGATGAGAAGTTTGAATGCTGAGCATATTTTTTGATGTCTAAGATCTGCTCATTGAACGCACGAAATCAAAAAGTAAAGAAAAAACAATGGAAAAAATTGAACAAAAAGGATAAATAACAAATCATTGAACATGATTTACAATCGTAGCATTAATCTTGCTACTACAATGTAATCTAGGGGGCATACAATGGACAAAATCATTTTATCATTTCATCTTATTTTTGATGTTTTATTTTGTATATAAACTTTAACATAAATACTATACAATTTTACTATCAAATTATTATAATTCTATTCTCTTTGTAAATTTTCACTGTAAACGATTATAATATTCAAATCAAAAGATTGATTTGATATTCAATATCTTAAAACAGTCTTGTATTTGGCTTCTTTATATCTTGAATTTGTAAATTTTCATCTTTTTATTCATCTCATTATTTTGAGAGCATATAACATGATAAAAATTTAAAAAAACAAAAAAAAAAAAATTTGCGCCTCTCAATCTTTGATAGACAAATTTTTTTTTATGAAATGTCAATCTCAATTAACATGGTCATAAACATATCATTACTTATGAAACACACAAATTATTAATTTGACAACTATAACAAATCTATTACAAAATATTGATGTTATCATCTTTCTACATTACTTACATTTATGAATAAAAATTCATGTTGTCATTGCTTTCTTCACAAAAAAATTTGAAAAATAATCTATATCAAATAATGTAAAAAATATGTGAAAAACACAAAAAACATATGATTTTCAAATTATCATAGTTTTTGTATGAATCAAAGTAAAATCTCAAATAATGTTACAAACAATTTGATGATCTAAGACTGCAAGGGTTCAAACAATATGCGATTGATGCTTGTGTAGATTTGCAAAAAGTGATCAATGAGATCTTGGCTTTAGTAGTTTAGTTTATATGTGAATGAAAAGTTTATAGGAATAAAAATCAGTTTTCATGTTAAAAAGTTAATATATATTTAAAATTTTAAGTTTATAATTAAACATCTTGATTAGCAAAAACAATTTTGAAAATATACTTTCAGTAAAACATGAAGAATAGAAAGTTATGATATATGAGATAAATATGCTCAAAAGACATTTGCAAGATTCAACATGAAGTATTACAAATTTGACGTTATTTTTTTAGCTTCTTACTTCAAGCTTTCATTAGTTTTTATCAAATCAAATGAACTTGGAATTTTGTTATGTCCATGCTTTGTATGATTTGAATTAATTTTAACATTTTTTTTAATGAGCAAGATAAATTGCTTAATGTCAAATCCAAAAGAAAATATATAGTGAAGTTTGAAGTAAATTTTCTATATACTTTTTTTATATATATTATTTGACATAAATTGTACATTATTAAATCATTAGTTGATTATATATATTGAGTTTGAACAGGATTTAAGATTGAAATTGATTAATAATACAAGTATAGGATTTTATACTTACAAAAAAATGCATAAATAAATCATGTATATTTCAAAAATGCATAATGCAACATATAATTATTTTTTAATACATATCAAAATATGTAAAAAATTAAAATTTGGTTGGATTTGTTACAAAGTAGAAATTCATACATGAGTTTATAAAATTTTCATTGTAACAATCAAAATATGTTGCTTCTGTTACTGATTCAAAGTATCAATAATTGAATAAATTTTATTGCAATTTTGCATAATAAAATGAATAAGATAATCAAAACTAATGATCGACTTCATCAAACTATTGTATTTACCAATTTAACTCCTGATTTCAATTACAAAGTGTGTCACATTGTATATTTTGCACATAAAAATCAAAATTAAGTTATAAATATACTTGTATTGTGTTATGTTTTGATCATAATTCAATCTTAGTTTACAAAATTACATAGGTTATATTTTCAATAAAATATTTTGCATAATATTGATACAGTTTAAAAATATTGCAATTTTCAATACATAATTCAAAGAAAAGATGGTTATGTATTCACTTAAGTTTTGCTTAACTTTAGTTAATTGAACTGTTATTGATTAGATTGATTAGCTTGGCACCATATAAAAGACATGCTCATAGCTCTTTACTAACATAACTTAGAATTTTCATCAATAACTTTCAATGTTTTGTGGATGTAGGTTGACTAGACAAATTATGTATCTCATAAATTTTTTTTTAATCCATATCTATTTGAATGTTAATCAATATTATTGGTATATTTTCTGATCATTACTCTTTTATTTTTTCAATATGTATATATTGAAACATTAAATTGCATGAATATATTATATCATATTTTATTTGAACTTGTAAATCAATTTTTCATAATTGTAATCAAATATGCAATATGAGCTTAGCTTTTTTTTTATAAAAAAATTCATCAAATTTTTTTAAATATTTATTGTCAAGATTATGAAATCAAAAATTAAGTTGAGAAACTATTTTGAATGTAGTTAAGTTTATAAAAATCAAGTTAGATTTATTGACATACATTCTATTTAGAAATTCAAAGCCTTCATTTAAAAATAAAAAATAGAAATGAAAAAAAATTTCTCTTTTATTCATATCTTTAAAATTTAAATATGGGTCGTCAAGGTATTTATTTTATTTTATATCATACAAGAAAAAAAACACTAAAAAATATCATTGTCACTTCTTTGTCTTGGCTGTATTAATTTTTTTATCCATTAAAAATCAAATGATCAATGTGATATGTATTTTCAAGAAATGGGATAAAATAGCTCAAGATGTTGAACTTGAAAATCATATTATTTTATCAGTATGAAAGATCAAAGACTAAATCAACTAAATCAATGTCAATTGATATCTTATGTTCATACAAAAAAATTATTTTCATGATAGACATCAATGGCATGTGATATCTTACTATTATAAAAAAGGAGAAATTCAATTTCAAGCTTTTACTTAGTAATATTGATTTTTCTATGTAAGAATTACTTATTATATATTTTAAATTGTAATACAAAAATGTTGAACTGTTTTTAACAAAGATTATCATCATGTAGTTTCTTAATAATCAAAGGGGTTTTAGTGTTTATTTGTAGTTTGGCATTCAAAACATTGTATGCTAGTTAAACAACGTGATTTATTATTTGCAATTTTTCTCTTCCATCACATGAATATAATATTTGCAAGAAGTATATTGCATGTATATCAATTGATTATAATAAACTATAAAGTTGTGTCATCTGGTATATTTTCTGATATTGCTCATCTATTTATCTACCACACCTCGTTTTTAGTTCATGTGCATTCAAATCAAGGTACATTGTATTTGGTCAAAGTTGTATCTACGTCTTCAATGTTATCAACATATAAGTCATTTCCAAAAAAATCAAGTCAGATTAATCCATATCAACTAGTATAAGTGGTTTATTATAGTATATGTCAGTTCAAACACATAGTTAAAATTATCTGCCTATGGTAACCTAGTTTCATATTATTTGAGAACCCATACCGAATGCAAATCATTTGACGCAACCCCAGGCTTGTTATTTTACACAATGGACACTCGAATGCCCATCGCGCCAATGTTACTCTACGAGTTCTTGTAACGTGTGTGTTTGATTTTAAAAGTGACGCGCTCAACAGAGTTATCGTTAAGTTTTAGCGAAAAATCATTGTATTCGAAGAGTTTGGAGATTTAAAATCTGGAGAGGTAATAATTCTAGTTTAACTCATTAACTTCTGGTACAATCTAACAATTTTGAATGAATCCAACACATGAAATTTGGAGAAATTTGCTTATGGACCTATCAGAACTTTGATTGATTTCCACTTCCAAATTTAAGTTAGTCACGATTTTCACCGTGCAAGAGCCCAATTTACAGTTATAACGTATGGGCATAATCTATTTACTCATTACTTTTTTCTAAAACTCTTGGCTGAAGTAACATAAGTTACGTATTTTGGTCCCGTGAAGTGCGTGCGGGAAGAAATCACTTTCCAACAAAGAGACTCAATGCTTTTCTTAACCCGGATTGAAAGTAATTACAAGAACTCACAATAAAACATACGTGAACGGTCCCATCTGGTAAAATAGAAGGTATTGGGTCCGATCAAACAATCAACTTTTTGATGTATCACATCAACCAAATTTATCCAAATTTCATATGTTGGATTCAAGCAAATTTCATGAAAAATTTGTGATCCTCATGTTTTATTTGACAAAATGATCAAATTGCATGATCATTCTGGAAAAAATTAACTTCCATACTTTCCACTTCACTTTCCGGTTAGCCAGGCCAAGAGTTGGGTCAACAAGGACCGATTTCGAGCTCACTTCAACGACCAACTATGATCTATCATCTCTCAATATCGGAATTAGCAGTTAAAATGAATCGTTTTGGGTGTCTTCAAGTGTTTTAAGTTCCGGTTGGGTCCCATAAATAATTTATTCATATTATTTTCGAGTAATGCCCTTGGAAACTCAACCTTGGACCCAATCGACGGCCACCATCAGCCATGTTCTTATAACCTACTGATTTGCTCTATAGAGTGGAGAGTGTCCGCCATTGTAGAGCAAGAGTATTTTGGCTACTCCTTCGCAGCCATATCTTAGGGCCTTACCACACTACCGGCAGCCGGCACCAAGCTCCTGGCTATAAGAAAACCAGGTTTTCGTAGGCCTAAGTTGGCCAGCTGGAGAGAATTCCATAACCTCTACCACACTACCGGTAGTGACTTTGGAGTGAAAAGGGAAAAATATGTCTACTAATTGCAACGCAGCGGTGAGAAGTCTTTGGAAGAGTAACCCAGGAAGGCGCGAAAATACACGTGGAGTCTATATATTCCGGAAAAACCGGATTTCCAGTCAAAAATGCCTGGTAGTTTTGAGAAGTCTATTTCTTTGCCACCTAGGATATATCAAATTGCCGCTCACTCCCCTGTGATAAAGGGGGAACCTCGGGTGCCAATAACAAGCGAGGATTAGCTGCCGTCGTGTGGTTTGGCCCTTGGACATGGCTATGAAAACGACGGGCACCATGATTGCATCTTTGTACTCGAAATAACTCCAGATAGTACTGGAACATTACCGACAGTGTGGCTGCTGGCCATTCTAAACCTGTTGGCTCTCATAAAGTGTTTTGGGTTTACCAGGGTCCATAAGTAATTTCCTCTATTGTTTTCACCCAATTATGATATAAACTTATCGGGTGGATGGTGTTTTTGTATGTATCTTTTTCCTACATTTCTGAGTTCCCACTGCGATGCAACACTGGGGCGTATTCGCTTATACGTGTCTCCCCATCAAAGAGGTGGGTAAGAATTAAATCCGGTCGAATCAATTTCCACACCACAACAATGTATGGGACCCACGACAGAAGCGGCTGACGTCGTTGCATCCAACCTCCTGTTTAAGAAAATACAGTATATCGGTATAATATATCTTGTACACATTTATTAGTTACTTGTTTCACACAGTCGATGCGTTTTGTTAATTACTCGGTAATTAACAAAACCCCCCTGGGCAATACGTGGCGCCGGCCTAATGCGTCCGCATCGAGGAGGTGGGTAAGAATCAAACTCCCGGTCGAATCAAACTCCAGGGCACAGAAATGGAATGGACACACGTCGAAAGGCGGCTGCCGTCAATGCGCTCCATTCCGTTAATAGGAAGAGCTCTACGCGGCGATGCAAGAAGCCCCGAGTCCTCGACGGAGGCGCGGGGCCACCTGTCGGTCAGCCAGTGGATAAGACTCCGGCTCCTCCACCTCCGACCAAATTTGCTCGTTCGAGCCCGGTCCACTTAGCCCTAAATTTACGTGAGGGTGGTATACGGTCTCGTGCTCCTGGCCGCTGTACAGTACAGGCAGCGTGAGGAGAATCGACGATTCGAGAGCGTGTGTGTATTATGGGAGGTTCTCTACCATCGATGTTCAGTGTCCGGTGACGTCATCCGGTACGTATTTTGACGCGTTGCTGTAAGAAGCATGAGCTTATCACCGTAGACGCATACACTCACAGTGACGGACTGACGGATGGATAGACGGACGGAGGATGCTGCAGCTGTTGCGCACAGAGTTCACAGTGGACGGGAAAATCGCTGTCGATGAATGTCTGGTTTCGCGCAATATTTGCTTCGCGCAAGTGCTCGAATTTCTTCCCGCCTCCCACGGTCAACGAGCGAGCTCGGGTAATTCATCGCACTGGAATTCGCTAGCTCGCAGCACAGAAAGGCACCGTGAAGAAGAAGAAGAAGAAGAAGAAGAAGATGCAGACAGACTGGCTGGACGAGGGAAGAGCGAGGTAACCAATCCCTCACCGGACGCTCTGTCCCCCGCGCAAAATCTTTAGCCTCCCTTTGGTGGGGGTTGAGGTGGGTGGGGGGGGGGGAATAGGAACCGTTTTGTGAACTCTTAAGCTGGCTGCGCAGCCGACGAAAAGTCTGATGAGATGTTCGTGAAGGATTGGAGTGAAGGAGCGTTTCGATTATCGGAGAAGGTTGCAGCGAAATATATCGGATCGAAGGCAGGGGAGAGGACGTAAGGGACTCTTCTCGAGTTCAGAGGTTCAGTCGACCGCTGGGGGAAGCAGAGCGCAGCGCGGACATTCTCTCGTATTGGTTGATTGGTCGATGCTCTCTGTGTGCGTCTCGTACAGACATCGTTGTCGAATTTTCAGCTTTGAAAGTGAGAGCTGCTGCTGCTGGGAAATTGAGGAGCCCGAAGATGTTCGAAGCTCGATGTAGAGATTTCCAGTGAGCCAGCTCGCCCTCGTACCAAGAAACCTCGGTGCGCGAAAGTCGTGGGTCTGCACTTTGCAATTTCAAAGCCAGGCTATCCGAGCTGGGCTGGCCTGGATGGACCGAGATGGGGCAATCTTCCAGTTGTGAAGGTGAGGGTTTCTCTCGGGTCGCCTAGCGAATTGCAAAGTCAGAGAGAGAGAGAGAGAGAGAGAGAGAGAGAGAGAGAGAGAGAGAGAGAGAGAGAGAGAGAGAGAGAGAGAGAGAGAGAGAGAGAGAGAGAGAGAGAGAGAGAGAGAGAGAGAGAGAGAGAGAGAGAGAGAGGAGTACTCACACTGGACTTCTTGCTCGGTGGGTAGATTTCGGATGGTTCCAGAGCATGAAGGGGCATGAGTCCCTGATCTTTATGGACCAGGGCGGGATGGATTCGTGCCGAGCAAGTGTCGACCTCTTGCAGAGTTTCACCTGGACAACTGAAGAAGTGGACGACTGTTACAGAAAGTCGCAGCATGAAGTGCAGGATCGAAAGTATGAAGAGATGGACGATCGAAGCGGCGAGAAAAGTCGCGTTCATAGTTTGGAAGAGGAGTTGCTGGCGGAGTCAGATGCTATAGAAGAGCTGGAGACCAAGATGCAGATTCGACTCATGGTCGCCGAAGCGGTTTGGAAGGGCTTGTTGCGGGCTGTGGAGGATGTCTCGTCGAGAGCCACGGACGTCAAGGAGGCAGAGTTAGTGAGGGTCAGGCAAGAATTGAAAAGCAGAGATGCAGTCATCGCCGATCTCACTCAGGAGTTGAAGACGAAATATGATGAGCTGAACGAGGTTGACGAGCTCAGGCACCATGACCTTCTGGATGAAGTCAGTAAAGGGAAGGATGTTGCTCACTGCTTGGAGGAGAAATCTCGAAGCTTGGCCCTCATGGAAGACAAAGTTGAGCTTCTGAATTGCAAAATGCAGGAGCTGATAACGGCGCATTCTTCGCTCATTCAAGAGATCGGAAGCCATAAAGAGAAGATCGAAGATCAGCGCAGTCAGATTGCCCAGCATGAGTCTGCTGTTCATGAATCTGAAAGGCGTTGTCAGATGCTGCTACTTGTCGTCAAACACTTGCAAGATGAAATTGCAGTTCTGAATTCCAAGCGTTTAGCACATGAAGAAGCGGCAAAGCTGGCCGAAACCGAAATGCAGGAGCAAAATTGGAAACGCGAGGCAGAAATCACACTCATCATGACAGCGCTGGAAGGGAGAGTGATGGATTTGGAGACAGAATTATCCCATTTAGGGGAGGACGCTTTGGTGAATCAGGTCGAGACAGTCACGTCGAAATCCCGAATTTTGCAGCGGCTGTCTTCAGAACTCAGAGACTTGCGGGCTTCTAAAGTTGCCCTCGAAACCAGACTCGAAGACACTCAAGCAGTCGTGAGATTCTGGGAGGAGAACATGCGCTCGGAGGAGCTGAAGCTGGCTGATAATGCTAAGGAGTTGAAGCTTGCACAGAGGGAGATTGCCGAACTTGAGCGAAAGCTATCTCTGAACGAAAGCCTTCTTCGAGATTTTGAAACCGAAGTGAATGAGATCCGAAAAAGCGAGGACGAATTGAAGGAGCAGCAGAAGGCACTGGATGCTGTGAATGGAAGTCTGAGACTGGAGCAGGAGAAGACCGCTCTCTTGGAGCAGGAACTCCGCGAACTGAAGGAGGGCCATCTAGCTTGCAGCTTGGAGGAGAATGTTTGGGAGGTCAACTTTCAGGTTATGTTAGTGAGTGCCTTCATGGAGAGCACGTTTCAGGACTTTTTATCATGGTCAGGGAAGAGCAGTGGACTTTCAGAAAACGGCGAAGAAAGATGTAATCGAGTTTTATGTGAGAAATCTGAAGTAAACAGGGTGGGAAGCCGAAGTGCGTTCATCTCTGATTCTGGGACGCAGTTACAACACAATACGGAAGGGAATGGTAATGAGTTATTAACAGCACAAGCAAGATCTGCGGACATTTGCACCAAGTCACAGAGCGTAGAGCGTAGTGAAAGTGAGAATATGAGAAATGATGTAGAACGGAAATTGGTTGAAGAAGAGGAACGAGGAATTGAGCTGCGTGAAACTCTACAGGAGATCGAGTGGCGAAGTCAAATAGAAAACATCCTGGTTCTTGGGTATGCAGAGAAATTTTGTCGGGAACAGCTAGAGAGGAAAAATTCATATGCTTCGAGATATGTTGAAGTTAGTTGCAGAAATAGAGAACTCGAGAAAGAGGTTGCAGAGCTAAACGACTTGAAAGTTGTTTTGGAACGTCATTTGCCATCTGCTTGTAGAGAGATAAAATCAGGGGTTGAAGAACAGATCCAGAACTTACTCGCATCAATGCACCGGATGGAAGGTAACTTTGCCGAGAGATTAGAACATCTCAATGTACGTCTGCACCAAGCTGATATTTCACTCATCCAGAAGTCGGCTTTGCTTTGTCGTAGCGAAGAAGGTTACGAGCTAAATCTCGTTAATCTTCGAAAAGCAGAGGCAGAAGTTGATTTTCTGGGAGATGAAGTCGATGCTTTGATGGATACGTTAGAGAAGGTGTACAGAGTGCTCAGTCACTATCACCCCGTTATCCAACTGTATCCAGGTCTAGCAGAACTTTCCAAAGAGGTTAAAACGCAGGTCCTTCAGCGAGTTTCCGACGATGATGGATAGTGCTTGTGACACAAGCCTTGGTGCTCAGATCTGTACATAAGTGTCTTGCCCACTGGTTGCCACAAGATCGTAGGGATCCACAAATCTAGAGTTCAGTCTGCGATTTTCTGCGTGAGTTATATGGAGTCGGCGCACTTGAGGGTGCTTAGGATTTTTCTCAATCACATGATTGAAACAAGATGCATGTAAGATATAAACCTCGCTAGTAAAAGGTAGTGATGTAAAAAGGAAATTATTTCGCCCTTGAAATGTAAATGTAATATGAAAGATCTGATTGAAGACCCCAATTCAACAGTGTATGCCAATTGAGTAGAAGCTACTACAGTACTTCTAATTCCACGCCTATGTGGCAACGGGGCTTGAAACAGGAAGAAACAGGTAAAAAGGAATACCTAAAGAGGCCATACTGCCGAAGGATTGCACCAAGAGTTTCACCATTTACACCATCGCAGTTCTCTACTTATTCCTTCGTCCAGCCAGAATGGTGAAATTTGAGGAGCATGACAAACCATTCCACTTCATTCCACTTTAGAATAATTCACCGACCGCCACTCTCGGGGGTAGAGGGCAAAAGTGATGAAAAATCTTGAAGCGAGTTTCTGATTTCGAAGTTGTCAAGTATGGTACTTGTATACTTCCACGACGGCTGAAAGTAAATTTGGGTTCTTCTTTGTAGAGACAACGCGGACACGTCCTCCGACTGTAAACTGAGGACCACTTTACATCTCTGAACATTCGTCGCCGTGATCAGGAATATGGGACAGATTTCGACTTTTGGCAGGTTCGGCTTGCACAGCCGTTTGAACAGCACATTCCCTTCTGGTCGTGGCCGACGGGGATCGAACGCAAAAGCCTTCTTTCTCCGTTCTGCGCTGCCTTCTTTCTTTCTAGCCTCTGTTGGACGAAGGCCAATTTGCAAGCGTCGCAGAACCTACACCTCCACATACGCGTACAGCATGTCCGATTGTCTGACCGACCATCAATGCCCAAGGAGAATCGAATGCATAACCGTAAGCTAGACTTCGAGATACTCTGACTTCTACCCTACCCTACAAGGGAAAAGGTCTTGACATGATTGTCAACCTCTGAAACGTTGGTGTGTTAGAGATCAATCAGGGGATAAAAATTTATGGATAACAAACCTGTTCAAGAGTACTTCGATACAATTAAACCCGAATGCTAAGAGTGAACTAAATTATAGACATATGTCCAGAAATGAGATCCAGACATTCGATCATGCGGTCACAACAATTATCAGGTTGCTTCGTCTTGAATCTCATGATGCTGAGATAGTCTTCAGGGAGATTTACTTTATGAAGAGTAAGCCGATATTCTCAGCTGCAGTTGAAAGGGTTGTAACTACGAAAAGAATTTTCTTGCTACTCGTCTAGCACATCGACAAGTTTCACGAGAGTGGAGCCTTGAAAAGAATGGACTATCCACCGTGGGCACCGGGTAAAGGGTATCATGTTTCTAGAAAAATGCGAGAAAGTGGAATCTCATGACCTTGCGATCGGCTAGTCAAGCTTCCATGTTCTTCACAGGCTTTCAAGGGGAGTCACACACATTCCTTCTTCAATGCGACAGAATGTTCAATTTGTTGGTCGTCAGAGTTGTGGTTGAAGGTAGCACACCAACCAGCGCTCCACCCTTTCTGCCCACAATAACATCAGCCTGTTTGTTTTCCTTCCATTGAGGACCGCAAGACTCTCGGGAGACGGACGACATCAACTGAATGTTTAGCTCACTTATGTTTTGGGCAGGAATTCCCGGGCTCTCTAACAAGTTGCTAACAAGGGCTGAAGGTCGTTTGCCGAGGGACTCTAAAATCCTCGTTGCAGTGAAGGGGGGACAGTGACAACATCATCCAGTTCCATGTTCTCGTTTGGGTACTTTTCCACGGGTGTAGAATACCGACACTCGGTCCGGCAAAGAAACTGAGACATAGTCCTCACAGGTGAAGATCTACATGTAACTGAATATAGCAGAACTTCGAAGCATCCACGGTAAGACTGAGTCACGAAGACGCAAGTTGGCAAATGCGAGTTGGTGATTGATGGTCAAAATTGTTTAAGAACAAATCCGAAAGAATAGTGATTGATAATACATCTCACTCATACCGCCACTAGCTTTGGCACGTTCGAACCATTAACTTGGCCAGGGGCCTGCTTTTGTGCAGTCTTAGTTGCCCTTCTTTGAGTATCTTCTTCGTAGTGAGTGAAGGCAGCATCCAAGGCCTGAAACATGGGCTGCACAAGCTGAGATATTTGATGGCGCAGCTCTGCAGATGCTGACTCTTTCGTGTTTTGTAGGCGAGTGTAAATTTGTGACATGGCCTCCTTCAGCCTATTCGCCTTTTCCAGCAAAATTTTGGAAGTCAAAGGGTAACAGACCCAGAAGTGTCGCAAAAGCTCGTGGACAACAGCCGATTGCTGCAGCAAGTCATCCTTCACAGGCTTTGGAAGGCTGTCAAGAACATTCTTCTCAGCAGTTCTTCCTAGTGTGAACTTCGTCCCCGAAATCTCCCTCGTCAAGTCCGTCATGACTTTCAGGGCTACAGCAGGAGCCATGAAGGACGAATCCTGTAAACCGTTCTTTTTCCAAGCGGCCATTTGTTCATGGAAAAAGTCCAATGCCTCTGCAGGATCAGAAGAAGTCGGTGCTGCAGGACCAGCATCTCCCGCAACTCCAGCTGCTTGTGAATCGAAGTACTTTCGGGGATCCTGAATGCACAGGGGCACATGAGGAGCCTCCTGTGGCCCCATTAAATCTTCGTTCACAGTCATACTTCTTAGCCTCTCCAGTCTTTTCTGCTCCGCATCTTCTGCTTTTTCCGACACAGCCTGGGCTTGTTGTGCTAGGGCCAGGGCATGAGCGACTGTGGCAGTGTCCTCGGCCCCGGACAGCCCATCTAATGGCCGGCCCTCAAGGACCACCGCGGCGTGTCGATTTATGTCGTTCATGATGCTCCTGACTTTGGCACCTGTGTTATACTCCACATCCTCCTTGGTTCCATCTCTGTAAATTCCATGCCCGGGTAAGTGAGTGTAATCGTCACCCACATCTGCTGCCATGTCAAGCGACGGATCCACCTTCCTTATCTTCCTTCTAGCTTCACTCTGAATGATGTCATCCTCTGCTGTGAACACTGCAAGATCCTCGTCATCTGCAGCTTCAGCCGCTGCAGCTGCTTGATTTTTGGTCCGATAAAGGTACTCTGCCCGACAGTACTTTGTCCAGAAATCAACATCACTCATCTTCGTGGGCACATTCAGAAGAAACGCCCTGTGAACAGCTGGCTTCTCGGTGAAAATCTGATGAATGATCTCGGGAGTAAGATTGAAGGTAACCTTGTTCGTTCGACCATCTGTGAGAGGTCGCACATCGGCAAGCATGGCAGTCTTGAGACCTGTCTTTTGTTTCGGGCCTCGTGTAGGATCCTCATCCAGCATGTGCTTCCGAGCAGACCAGAACTCCGCTTCAGACAGCACCTGACCCATAACTAACTGGGAATGCAACTTTTGCAACTCACTATCAGTTTGCAAGAGCTTCAGGCGCCGTTCCATCTCTGCTAGATCAAATTGATCAGATTGAGCTCCGGGAGTCATTGGTACATTGGGTTTGGCAGCTTGTCCTGCTGTTGCTGCTGCTGGCACTCCTCCTCCAGCAGAATTTTGCTTTCCCAGAATTTTAGCCACATGATCACGACACGCATCTCGGTCTTTGAAATCATCGTACTCAAACACGAATCCTTCAGCCTTAGCATCTGCACCTTTCGACAGGTTCAACAAAGCTTTCTTCCCCTTGCTAAAAAAGTGGGCTTTGATAACACTAAATTCGACATCCAGCGGACCGGACACAGACGCATCAGCGGGAACCCACTTGAATCTCGTCTCACTCATCGTCAGAATGCCAGGCATTGCCGGACCTTTCTTCGAAGGGCCCATGTATTTGGCCTTCACCGTCAACACGGTGGAGTCCATTGCACGCAATTCCCCTCCCTGCGCACCGGAATGCCAACACTTCTTTACAAAACCTGACAAAGGTCGCAGCACGAGAAACAGGATACGATGAAAAGAAATCATGAACTTGCAACACAAAGTTGGTACGGGGATTTAACGAAGGTTTTGACATACTTCTTTCCAATTTATTTGCTGCTGCTGTTGGTAGGAGCATCAGCATCGGTGAATCGCCGTCATCCCAGAACCGAGAGATCAAGCTTCTTTCTGAGTTGGCAAAAGGGCTGTGGAATCCATTGCTTGCACCGCGCTCTCCCACGCTGCAGCGGTCGACAGCACACCGTTAAATGCGACATCACAGAACTTCGTAGCTACTGGATTTCACTCAGCCCTAATTGACGAGATTTCTGACTCTCAAAATTCTCTCGTCCGACCTCAAACGCCGCAGAATCTGTCAGCAATTGCGCACAAGAATCCAAGCCATTCGGGCTTCTACTCGCGAAATTCCAATATCCTCCTCGTCTTGAATTACAGGGCCACTAGAAACGCCAATGCTGCAAACTCTGTGCCACGCCTGGAAATATCATCCCACAGAAACAAGTCCGATCCTCGCCACCACAATCATTACAAGCGGCCTCCAGCTCACCGCCCTCCATGAGTACTCTCTGTCAGCTACCGTGAGCGCTAAACCCTCAACGCCAGGAGAAAGACAGGCATCAGGCATTCATGAAAACCACATTCCTGCACCGAAAATATATCTTGCACGCTTTCTAAATAACGGAGGAAATGAAGCGGATTGGTGATACTTGGCTATGTCAGTAAAATCGGGGGCCACGTAAACAGCCAAAAAGGGTGAGAAGCGAGTGTGTACATTGCATAGGATCTTCGCGTAGTGTCAAGTTTCTTCAACTGTGTGTGGAGATTATGTTCGTTCTGACTGATTCAGACTCCGGTATTGATAGCATGGTCCTTTCGAAAGATACAGTTGTTTTATGTACACTTGAGTAAGTGTTGAATATGGTTGTGCGAGAGTTTTTTAAGGATTTGCAAAAACCATTCGAGTACTTTTTTCACTCATCTCTTTCGCTTCAACGTCGAGTTTCGATATGTTGGTTGAGTTTGCACCGCAGTTGTACAGATGCGTTATATTGTGTTGTTTTCGAACGGAAAGTATATGTTTGATTTTAGTTAAAAACGTTTTAAACTGATTTTTCTGGAGGTAGTTCTCGATTTTTTTACCACCGAGGATTATTCACGGGATCTACATATTCCATCAAGTACAATATATTATATTAGATGGGAGGTTGTTGTATGTATGTTAAACCTATCCATTTCTCTTCCAACATTTTCTTTTAGAGTGCATCGCAACTTTAGAGTGTTGAGGGTTAGATGTTCCAATAGTACACGTCACTCGTCTGCATATTAAAGGCCATTTTTCATTTTCTTTCGTTATATCCAACTTCCTTTTCAACTTTGTTCTTATGTTTTACTTATCCAATTTTCCTACCGACTTTCGCTATAATGTACGAATTTTCTTTCTATTCATTCATACTCTGTGAAACTTTCATTTCTTTTGATATACCCTTTTCAAACCGTTTAAAGACACATACCTTCAATATCCAATTCAGGAATATAAATTATAACTGAATAAACAAAGATACTACTCCTGAACGGCAGACTAACGCCTTCGGAGGTAAGTACGGAAGTAAGATGCCAGTTTACAATTGGTGGAATATGTACCGCATTGTGACGTGTTGAAACTTTTAAAGTTCTCCATATGATCGACTTGTGCCCATGCTCACACTGATATCAATTTTTCTGCCCAAGTTTCGAGTGTTGAACACAAAAACATGAGATTTGGTGGAAACACACCATGGCGAAATACGATCTTGCATACGTGCATTCTCAATTTCGTTACATATAGAAAGCCTCAAAAGTTTGATTTACACTCGTATTTTTGTAGGTTGTACATGACACTCTGCTGCTATAATTTCTCCCTCACGCAGTACGGATTTTTCTTACTGCTCAGGGATGGAAGGGGTGCCGAGATTTACGCTAGCCTTGGCTCGGGCGAGACGCTCGTTCACTGCGTCCCAGCTGATCAGCTCGTTCACAAAGGTGCTCAAGTAATCTGGCCTTCGGTTCTGCATTAACCAAAATCAAAATGAGCGATCTGCATAGAAGTTATATCTATAATAACTCAAAACATCTGTTATACCCAATCAAAAGGTACTTTGCAACCTGTGGCAAAAGTATACTAGTAGTACTCATGCAGCAAAGAATGTCAACATTAGAAGACCAAACTGAGAGATCAATGTAGCGAAGACAATTGTTAGTAAGTCGTTCAGGAAATTTCAGTTACCTGAAAGTCGAGGTAATATGCGTGCTGCGTTGTCAAAGTAGATTCACCGGCGTTAGTATGGTAGAAAACGAGAGCAAAGTGTGTATCACCTTCAAGCTTGAGAAAATTATGATCTAAGACAAATGAAGTAGAGGTCTTGGATTGACGAGTCTGTGAAATTCAAGATCCGACATATTGGTCTGGCTAAACACAGTCGACAACAGCTAGGCAGAAATATTACAAAATGAAAAATCTGCATAAAAGATTTCTTCCCTCAGATAGGTGTTCATATGTATATTTACCTCCCAGACGTCCACAACAAGAAGAGGCTGCAAAAAACATAACAGTGTGTTAGGAGACTATATCTTGCACGGAGGAAAAACAAGCCAAGGACTAATTTCAGAAGTCATCATTTCTGCAACACATGTAAATATCCACAATGGCTTGAGAGAAACTTACAATGCTGCCCCAGAGGATAGGGGTAACTGCATTCGGAGTCTTTTCAATGGCGAGCTTGCCATTCTTCACTGCAATGAGAAGTCAAGCATCATAAAATGAGCTGGAGCTCATCTTAGAAATAATTTGGAGTCTTATTTTGTATACTATGTACGATCCGTAGATTAGAATAGTGGAAATATATGCATATTATATTTGACGCATTTGTGGTCATTTTCCACTGACAAGCCGATAAAGATGATATCCGGAGGACCCATGCATTTTCGATCTACTATAAACTCTACAAAATATTTTCATGAGAAGATACCTACGGGAGAACCTGATAATAAGAGTGGAACTTACACACAAGCCAGGCCCATCCAGAACCGAATTGGGTGGCTCCTCCAGCCTTGAATTCCTTCACGAAGTTGTCGTAGCTTCCGAAGTCTCTGTTGATGAGCTCTGCGACCTCACCGGTGGGCGGGCCACCACCTCCTGGCTTCATTGACTGCCAGAAGAAGTCGTGATTCCAAATCTGCATAGGGTAAATTGAGCTATAGTCAATTTCATTGCCACAACTGACTGCAACTTCTTCAATACTTACGGGACCCAATCGACGACATGGGCATAGTTCAGACCACACACCTGGCCGGCGTTGTTAAAAGCTGGGGTAGGGTTGCCATTGTTGTAAGAGCTCTGGACAATCTCTTCAAGAGTGTTTCTCTCCAAGTCAGAGTTCTCGATCTGCCCGTTCAAGTTGTTGACGTAAGCTCGGTGGTGCTTTCCCCAGTGAAATTCAAGGGTCTCCTTGCTCATGTGTGGCTCCAAGGCATCCTGCACAATTTTTAAATGTCTTATACGTTGAAATCCTACGACAAATATGACGTCGAGATGAAAAATGATTCTCAGATCTATGATGATCTATGACTGCATTTCAGCCATCTAGCATTCGGAGATTAGAAATAAAAATGCAAGAAGCTTACCAGAGGGTAAGGAGGGTCCGCCAAGTCGAACTTGGCAACGGGAGCACCAAGCGGAAGCTTAACTTTCTGGAACACACCACATCAAATCCATCAGGAGAAGTTTAATCAGAGCAACTCCAAGCTTATTGCATAGGTCCCAAGTGATAAACCCGATAAGGAAATTTTCCTATGGGCCAGCTCGAACAGATTCAATCAAGAGATGCGATACACAAGGTAACCACGACTAATTACGGTTACAATACACAAGCAAGCACAATTGAATCACATTTGTGCAGCGGAGACTTTCACCGACATCCCTCGGAGTGGCATGAATACATCGGCGGACCTTTGGTTGTATGGAATGTACGCAGCTGAAAATGAAGAGCAAAACAGGAAAAGCATACTTGGCAAGAAATTGAGTGGGTGGTGAATGAGCTGAGGACTATTAACACCCCAGCGTGTAACACTATATTCGACACAGAGGCACATTCACGACTCCCGCTTGGCTAATTTCCCAATAACCCTACACGCCGTTCAGCATTCGCCATCGGCTCACAGGCTCCCGGCCAATTCCTCGTCCGCATGAACAAGTGGATCACTACCCTGAATTCTTTCGAGTAGACACTATCCTCGACCAAAACGAAATCAAATCCACGACCCCAGAAACACGCAGTCACTCCAGAAGATGCTTCAAACGCAGTCCACAACCAACCAAACCCAAGAACACATCGACGAACCCAACAAACAAACTAAGGCAAGTGACGACGAAATTCTCACCAGAGAGGTGGCATTTGAGGGTCGAGCCTTGGACGACCGAAGCGAAGGAACAGGCAGAAGGCACCGAGTCCCGGTAACTGCTGCCATTGCCATGGCTGCTCGCTCGCTCGATAGCACGGTTGCGGAGGGCGGGATGGATTCTCGACTCTGGGAAAAGGGATGGGGTGTCGGAATGAGGTGAGCTCGAGGCATGCACACGCCTCAAGTACAGCCAGCGCCTGCTTCCGTAGTCGAAGATTGGCCAGGCCCCGGCAGATCAGATCGGTCCCTCCGCAAATCGACTCTGCCCCTCCATGGCCACGGCCACAGGTCCATTTTCCTTCGTCCAGATCTCATCCTCGCCGTCCACCCCATCGATATGTCATCGTTTGCTTCGTCTTTCTCCCTATCCTACCTGTCGACGCCCATACCTGGGCCCTGCCCTCCGTGCCATGTAACCATGTCGAAGATTCCTGGACTCCGGTGCATTTCTGCAGGATTTCCCTGTCTTTAATGAATTGTTGTAAGGGAAATCTCCAGCTCAGCTCTCAAATTATTTTTTTCTCCAACCTAAGGGCCCTCTGAATTACGGTATTTATAGCAAGTAACTTTCTTTGAAAACACATGTTTCTTATTTAGAGAAATTCTTGATTTTAGAAGAGATATTTTTGAAGTCGAGAATAGTGCTTTAGAGATAAGGCCGAACCTTCCTTGCGACGATTGCTCTTTTCCCTGACCTGACCGGAACTAGGATCCTTGTAACCCGCACGGAGAGCCCCTTGGAGTACAGTAATTTGTGTTCAGGAAGGTCTCCTGCTCCTTACACCGAGAAACATCTTGCAGACAACGAAAGTTCTTGACAGCATGGAGCTTACGTGGATGTTCCGAACCTACGTGGCACTCTTGGACAGCAGTGAAGTAGACAGGTTTCGACTCTGGAAACGAAGACTCGAGTGACTGGAATCCAACTGTTGGGAGTCAGCACTCGTGACTCGGCAGGCAATTTCTTCCCGAGCCGGGTCCGGTTCGGGACCTGATCGATTCATCTCCACCTGTCCCAAGCATCCGAGGGTCGTAGCCTGCTTCGCAGCGCCTCGGAACGCTGGGTGGGCCCCGGCTTGCCCTACGGGACGTCGAATGGTTGTTGACACGCATCAACCACGTGGATGAGTTCTTTGCACTTCGCAAGCCGTCGATCCAGTGCGCTTTGAGCCTTGGATCGAAGATTTATCCGTTCCGAATTTCAGCTGCAAGCGAAGCTCGTCATGTTCCAGAATGTTCTGCTGATCATCGACATGAGGACTTGCGAGCAATGTGTCACTTCTTGAGCTCATGCTCTCAGCCTTTTGTCGTTTAGGATCGAGAATGAAGATATGTACATCAAACTTGATGAATCCAATCAAAAAGGATAGTCAATCCTTCTCATTTTTTGCAAGTCATTCCTTCTCTTCCAAGGAAAAGAAATCTGGAAGCTAGAATTATTCACATAAGGGGAACTTCAATGATAGTTATTGAGGAGTTTCCATGATATGCAACAAGTGAGGATGTTGAAAATCAATCACCATGTTAAAAAATATCAAAAAGATTAAATCACAACTTGTTGTGTTGAAAACAGAGAATATTACTCGATGGTATCACTCCCTAACACAAATAGCTGATTGGAATCCAATATATATTGTTTTACACGATGGAACCCCAACCACGAGGGTTTGACAGTCACTCCTTTCTTTGATAGTTTCACACCTTGTTTGCCCGTCCAATTTTGAACAAATAAATTTGAATGCGTCTGACCATACCTTTGTAAACTATATGTGCAACGCAACAAGAGATAGAGTTCGCCATGCCGAAAGAGTTGATAGAAGATCTCAAGAACAGCTATGAATAGGATGCATTGATTATCATCATCAAGACAAGCAAGGAGAAATGTATAGTGTTGAAATGTGATAAAATCGGGAGTATGATAATGTGCTATAATTGACAAATGAAATGTGCCAAAGGAAGATGCACAAGGAAGATGTTATATGCAAAAAGATATGAATCTAGCTAAAAAAGTTGTGAAAATGGAATTTTACCTAACTTAAGGTTATTCTTATTATCGTTTTGAGAAAAAAGGCATTATTTCAATTTTCAATAATATTGTCACATACAACTTTGACTTATTGGTTGTAATTTATTGTGACATTTATGAAAGTAATAAAATTTTACTGGCAAAAAAATATAAAACACATTTATTTGACTAGTTTAAATATTTTAAGTTGATTAAAATCACAATGTGTATAATGCAAAATGAAGATAAAGTCAATTTATAATATATTATTCATAGTTGTCAAGTGAACAATTAGTGTGATTGTTAATAATTTTTGAATTATATCTATCATGTCATCAATTTCATAGTTGTTAGGTTAGCTATATCTTGGATAATATCCAGTTTGTGATAATCATGGTTATGTTAGCTAAGATGTGCAACTTATCTCTTCTTCTATAGAAGAGAGAATGAAACATTCACTACTTACTGTTTAGTATTGCACTTAGAGAGTGACCAGTAATGAATAGAGCTCAGCTACGGAAGCCGTGTATACAGTTATCTTCTAGTGAACTTTCCACTATTGCCCGTGGAAGATGAATTAGGTTATCTCGGTGTTGTGATTGTCGTGCGTGCTAATCAATCTGGATGGTTGGGTAATGAAATAATGGTGATTATTAATCATTATTTCATTGTACATGTTGGAAATATATTTATAAAGAATAAAACAAACATTACAAGTAATTTTTATTTTTAGAGATTATGTTTTATCTCCAAATTAATTAATCTTTTGATCTCCAGTTTTACAAATACAAACTTGCATCATTTATGTATAGATCATTTTTGAATTACAAAAATAAATCATGTCATTATGTTATAATAAAATAAAAGACATTATAAAAGCTGAATATGATGTTTATTTTTAATTTAGTATATTTAAATAATATTTTTAGCTCTTATTTAACATAAAATTTAACATAATATTTTCTTTATATTTATATTTTTTATTTTTTGAACTTAAAAATATCATAATTTTTTAATTCTACATATTTTTATATTAATTATTTTAAATTATTTTTAAAAAATTGAACATTTCATTTTTTGACTCTTTGTCCCATATTTTTATAATAAAATTATTTTTTAATTAAAATATTTCTTCTTTGATTTTTTATTGTGTACAAAATTTAGATGTATTTAAAAATTTTTGAAAAAAAAATCTAAAATTTGTCTTTATGAATAAATTGACAAAACATAAAATATTTATAAATATTACAATGTGAATATGATTTCTTGATTTTTTTTTTCAAAAATGATATTGTTAAAAATTACTTTGGTTCAATGTTAGGACTTTAATTTTGCAAAAAAAAAAATTATAACAAAAAGTAATTTTATTATTATAAGAATTTAAACATTAATATAAGTTTTATATTGATCAAAATAATTTCATAACTGATTTGCAATATCAAATTGATCATCGGTGATATTGATAGAGCATTTGATAAAGCACAAAATCATTTTTATTTTTATTGTTAAAAAAAAGCGTCAAAATAAACAACCAATATGGATAAAAACATAATGCAAAAATGAAATGTATCAATTACATTGCTTCATTTGTTCTTCTTCAACTGTAACAATTTTCATAATTTATAATATAACAAATACTGAATTCTTGATTTGTGTTTAAGTAAAAGGTGGAGTTGTTTTTTTTTTAAAATTACGACTAGTTAAAAAATCAAAATTTGAAAACAGTTACAAGCTCCATATTGCTTCTACTTTTCAACTTCTTGCTTTTGTTTTGAACTCTATACAAATTGAAAATTTGATAGATAAAAAATCCAAAGAGAAGACAACATCTGTCATGTAATAAATAAAAACTTAGCGTTCGAAAAAACCGCCGTTTATAAACTTTCAATAATGTTTACAACTTAAATTTTCTGAAGAACATGGCATAAAACAATACTACTATTAAATAAATGTGATTAATTCTACTTGTCTCTGCGGGACAAGTAATACAAGAGGCATAACTCAAATACTTTCTACTTTAAGATGAGAGATAATAACATAAAATAGTGAGATACCACACATTTAATTAACAAACTCGAGACTCATAGATATATCAATTGAATCCAGGCATATATCTCCATCCATACGAGGTATTTATGGATTGTGGGATGAATAGATGCACTAGACTGGGCGAGGTTGTACAAGCGCCACTAGTCAACATTTGAAAAGAAACAATTTTTTAATGAAAAGGTTAAGAACTGCTCCGCTGGAATGTGCCTTGATGTGCAGACTTTGAGAAACTGTGTGGACTAGTACGGTGTGGAAAACTAAATCACATGGAAACTGGTCATCGTTAGAATCCTAAATTGCAGTTTCAGAGTACTCTAAATGTAGATAGTTCTAAAGTCGAACAGCCAGTTGCAATTTGTGAGCAGGTCTCGAATCTCACCAAATCAAAGGGTGCTTGTCTTGGAGGATCCCATCCCTGTGCTCAACACAACTCTCTTCACTTCCCTTCTTTCCCATCAGTCCTCTCCTCTCGCATCCTCTGCTTGGCATTATGCAATCTACGTCTGAACAGTGTCGATCAGAATCAGATAATAGGCTACACAAATTAGGAGAGTTCTGTCATGGTCTTACGGGTACGTAGATTATAGCTCGGTGTTGCTTCGTGCCGATGCATTCCTATGTCTAGATTCTTTGGTTTGCTATGAGAGACTGTAACCTGCATTCGAGGATGCGGTCCCGTGACTAGTACAAAGCGTTGTATGTAGAGTTGGAGGCACAATCTCAAAGGCATGCCTTATTCGCATTCTTCTATACAAGGCATGCACGTATCGTATGTACGAACAAACATGTACGTATCTACAGAGCTTTTCACAATGTTTTTCTTCTAATAGTGCTTTATTTCCACGTAAGAACATTGTCTGATACGTAACATGTACTTATTTTAATACGAGCATGCCTGGAAGAATTTTGTTGTGCCTCCAACACTAGTTGTATGTCAGTGTGTGCATGAGATAGCGAGCAGGCAAGCGCGCTGCTCGATCCACCTTGCACTTAGAAAGCACGATCGCCATGGGTGATCTGCATGCGCTTGTCTTTGAGATGAGGTGGAGACATGTCAACATGTCAGAGTTGGAGGGTTCGGAAACTGGTGCTCCCTCCCCATGAAGATGAAGATGAAGATCTCAGACCCGGCTCCGCTCTCACTGCGCTGGCGGTGGGTCGTCGTCCTGCTCCTCATTGTCATGCTCCTGGTGGCCGCCAGGAGTTCGATGGATGCAGCCTGAGAACAGATCACACCACCTGCTGCAAACTTGTTCGACCGGCTAGAACCGGTCAACAAAAGTCGTAAGGATTTATGATTTATTGGTTCTGCGCACGTGGTAGAAATGGCAAAACTGCATCTGGTCGATTCGATGCTCTTGTTGATATGAAAACTGTGAATTTAGTATTGTTGCGAGCTTCCCTGTCAAGTAAACTCAGGTATGAACTGCTTCAAAAAGGCTGGACTTTCCATGGTTCTGATAGAGACGCGATTGCCAGGACTGAACTTGAGCCATACTTAATTCAGAACCTCACTTTCCGGATGATGGAAGAAATGGGCCACCGAGACCGTAGACTCTTCCGTTGGTAGTGTAGTAAGCAAGGTACAGATGACGGTCTGGATTCCCTCCGTTGCACATCACATCACAGCGGGAAATATCTTGCGCTTTTGCCGTACTGTGGATCGATGCTCATGATGATGACAGATACAGAAACTTCGTCGGCTGCTGCAGCTACAAATATAGGAAGCGCTGACGCCTGCTCGGGTTTAGACTGCATCAGCATTTTCTTGCACTCTACGCGATCCAGAGCTGGTCTGCCCACATAATGTTCTCAGCTACCGATTCTAACTACTCTCACGGCCTCCCGCGTTCAGAGGAAAGCTCGAAAGTCGTCTAACACTTCTTCCAGAAAGCTCTGATGGTCGGTCGTGCTCATTCATAAGCGCATCGATTTCTTCAGACTTACAGCAACCTGCAGAGCGTCACCTGCAGCTTCGCTTTAAAGAGCGAGTCTCGCAACGGGGTCGTTGTATCAAACGATGTAAACAGAATGGATCCCCATTCATTAGATTGGCGTGAAACTTCCGTAAGCCAAAGGTGATCTCTTGGCAATCACACCTGGTTTATTGCTGTAACCTTAATCGTCGTATTGTTTTACAAATTTTGATCCTAAGATGAACGTAATGGGTCGTACTATAACGCCTCAGCTTGCTGTCTAAAGAAATGTTCCTAGCTTCTCGAATAAGTTTTTACTTATATACAGATGTGCCTAATCTAACGATGCATCGGCCCTCACGTCAAGAACTTAACAAAATTTCTATGAAAAAGTTTGTGACTGCCAAACTTTTTGTTCCACCAATGTGTTACTATCAATCAACACATCAATTCAACTCCATCCCTCCCTGGTCAGTGATAGTCGACAGGCGCAGGTGCTTCGTGTAGCTGCTTGCCCTCCTTGCGAATGTCCTGAAAGAAAGAGGAACGAATGATTAGTCTCGCTGAATCTCGTTGACAAAAATGCAGCTACGATGAGCGATGGTAGAAGCTCAATTATCCGGAGAAATCATTTCAGGGGCCAACGGGAGAACTGCGATGGAGATCACATACCGAAGCGTAATGGTTAACATCACGATGATGAGCTTCATCGGCACGGACAACCGTGACGACATCTTTAAGGGTGGCATCCTTGGGTAACCTCCAATAGTCGATGGCAATGGCTGGAGCTGGAACGTTCTCAATGTTGCCCTTCTCTATCTCCTCCAGGAATCTGGTGTAGGAATAAATTGCCTCCTCCTCCAGGTACCCAGTGAAGCGATGGGCGACACGCGGGGCGAGCAGATAGAAGAGAAAATAGGCGTTGAAAAACACTCCTTGGGTCGCCACCACGAGAGCCCTCTCATACCAGTTGGGTTTAGCCACCTCCATGAAAGTCATCAAATGCATACGCTCGTTCTCTGCTTCCTCCAGCAAGGCCTTGATCCACCCACCGCTGTGCTCAAATCTTCGAAGCGATCGTAGATGCAGTAACAATCCGCCCACCATACCGGGAACAGCTGCGACCGTCTCAAGCATCATGGCTCGACATCCATATCGTTTCTGAAGACACAACAAGTGGCCGAGATCGCATTAGACAACACTGATTGGAATGCAATGATTGGAATGGCCAAGCTCAAATCCTTCGTGCAGATACAATGAGCTCAATTTCAGGTTCTCTTGGCAGCAGAAACAGAAGCTTGTCAAAAGCTACTCACCTGCTGTCAAAGTGGGAACACTGCGAACCAGGGCAGTCAGTGTATTAAATTCTCTGGCTCCCCTGCACGCACCCAGTGTCCGTTGACAGAGACCATCATAGAGCTCTCTGAGATCCATAAATTGAGTAGAGCAGACACGATCCGACTGATCATGTTTGCTCTACACAATCCAGTCGTCACGACTGGAAGGATTGCGAGGCAAGTAATCACACGGTAAACAAACACATGATGCTTATATTATGCTGCTTGCTTCAATTCTTACCCTGAAGAACAAGTCCGTTGGCACCCTGAGTGCCTTCACCGACCAGAAGGCAAGTCTATCCTCCCAATTTTCTGGTTTGTGATGCTTCAGCAGATCAATTGTAATGTCAGGTGTGTACGTCTGCGCAGGCTGCACATGAGACATAATTAAGTTAAAACCAGCGTCCCCATGAATCACACGAGATATACAAGTTGTGGTCAAGAGAAAGACCACAACTTGCTGCTTGAGGTCAGAGTCTCAGCTCCGCATGATAGTTTGGCTTTCTGAAGGCATCGGTGCTTATGCATAGAGAGAGAGAGAAATTTCGTTACCCGGAAGCAGTTCCATGGCCATGGTGTACCATCTTCACGTAGATTTTCTTTCGGAGTGATGCCCCAATAGTTCGACCGCACCAGGTCCCCTTTGTCAGAGTTTTTATTGGCCAATTCCAGGCTTTCATCTTTGTCCTCATCTTCGCTGCGAAGAGCACTCGAGTTGCTAGCCAGCCTGATGTGAGGTAAAGTCAAAGAGCCCCTGGTGCTGCTGGCGGCCAATCTGCTGGCGGCCCATGGCAAGCCAATAACTCGGTTCGCTGCCTCAGCCTGGACAGCCCTCGGCAGGCTCAGCCCGGAGAGTGTTGTGATTTGCCGAGCCGAAGGCCCAACTGCACCATGCTCAAACTGCCACAACACAATTCGAGCAGCAGGTCTCCATGATCGTCTGATCGCCCCCGCACTCATATCTAGAACTCGTCCACTCAAAATCTGCTTCGATCACGATGCCCACACCACCACACTCAACTCCAACTCTTCCACTTCGCAACTCGAACTTCGCAATTTCTCTGCTTCCCGACTCCGAATTCGCTGTTGCCTGGTAGCTACGCTAGCCCGAGGAGGCTAGTGTACGTCGCGCATCACACGAACTACTTTCCCCACTCGATTGATTTCGACACTGCTTCGATTGTACGTTGGAACTGGAACTGGAACTACTCTTTCTCGGATGATTTGAGGCTCGCTGCGAGGACCGCCTTTATACGTTGCCCTTTGATCGGAGAAGTTACCGACCCTTCCAGGCCCTTGGACTCCCCGAGTTCGTTAACAGACACGGAGCCGGGACGAGCCGGTCAAGCGAACGTAAGTATATTCGCCAGGTGCTGACGCAAATGCAGGATCCCGAGTTACGACGGCCGAATTCTGCATGTCCGCACCTCCTCATCGCCTCTTCGTTGAACCCGTCAACGGTCAAAGAAACGCACGCATCTCGGAGAGACGGCGCCGAGGGTGGAGGAAGATCCCCGGCCAGGTTCTGCCACGTTGGCGAAATGGACCGCACGCACGTTCTCGCGGGCGATGGGGACGACTGCGGTTGCGAGGGTGGCGGCTACGCATGCCGCACGGACGCATTTCCAGCGTTCGCGTCTTTTCTGTGCGTAAATGGTCCTCGCCCGTCCGCGTCTCGGGCTGTGGTGTTTCGTCGAGTCCTTCCTTTAAGGTTGCGTCGACTGCACGTCTCGTCTTCGACCTCACGGCCTGCACCGGATCCTTCTGTAGCCGGTGTTCCACTTGTCCGCTCCCTTTGCAGCTCCTGCCTCTCATGATGCGCACCAGGAGGTACTCAAATCTGGACCCAGGTTTGCCACGGTCCGGTTAACCGTTGACCGGTTCAGAAAAAAACAACCGGTTAACCGGTCCCAGAGTAAATTTGGGACCGGTTAAACGGGACCGACGATGAACCGGTTAACCGCCGGTCCGGACCGGATCCTGTCCAAAAAATGCACTACATTGCATTGGGGTGACGAATTTTCTCCGGACCCGTTTCGATTAACCGGTCCCAAAGAAAATCGGGACCGGTTAACGGGTTAACCGACAGTCCAGACCGGACCGTGGCCAAGCCTATCTGGACCCATTTCTTACGCTAGCATATGACCTTAATTTTCTGAATCCAGCATGTTCAGACGATTTTGTGCTTGTGTTTGAGGCTCCAGAATTACATCCATGGACAGGATTAGGCGTGTTCATATCTTTTCTCTATCATCTCAGTGATCTTGTAATATGATATGGTACATCGCTTCTGATCGAAAATTGGACCCGATTACTTCCAAAGCGCTGGAGTACTACTTCGTTATTGATGTTAGTACTTAAAGATGGTTTAAAAGCATTGAACGATAATCAACATTTTACAAGCATTGGCCAATTCAAAATAAATTCAAAATAAAATGATGATGAAAATGTCATGGAAGTTTCGCGTATTGAAACAAACACGATCATTTTCCGCAAGGAAATAGCAAAGGATGTGTATAGACATGATAAAAATTAGATATATAGAAAATTTTCAATCAGAATTTCACGATGAGCTTCTCAATTCTTCTCTTTGTGAACGCCGGAGGCACCAACAAAATCTTAACATTCTCTCCCGATCTCACTTTCTGCCGGAGCTCCGGAAAACGAAGGTCGCCGCACGAGGAATTCTTGAGCATCCGGATTCCTTTTTATTCTTCGCATGGACTTCTTCGCCTCCGTGCCGCCCCGTGCTCGCTTCATATTGTATGCATTTGGAGTCTCCTCCCCTCCAACAGTCTAAACACGGTCGTCCCACTTGTTCAGGAGGGAGTGCACCACAAAATACACACTTTATAAATAAGACAGCTTCGGTCAGTGTGTCGTGCATAAAGCGAAGAAACTGTAGCAGAACTGTCCTGCTATCCATGTTAGATTATTAGGCGTTCGAGACAGGCTTGTAGAGTTTTAGGATCTGACATAAGAGATTATGGAGTATACTTGTAATCCTACGGTAAAATTTTCTCAGTCAAGATAACACTCCCTCATTTGTCAAAGTTTAGCCAGCTTAGCGGTTCTACGATTTTGGGTTTCCTACACAGCACTATACACATTGCTCTATTTCTGGTTCAATACATTGGCACACATCAAACCCAAGCTACTGTGAATTTTCGTTTTTCGAAACCTTTGGCAAGGGTTCGTATGCTGGTCTATTGCACTCTGGGTAAGAGGATGTTGCAAACTTGTGCTAATCTACTGCCTATGACAGGAAACATTAGGCAGTTATTCCATTTTGAAGTGCTCTTCGTTACAAGGAAGTTGAGTAATATGTTTGCAAGTGTACAAAGAAATAAAAATACGAATCAATTCAATGATCACCTTTTACTTTTTATGAACACATCAACACGTTTGTGGTTGAAAAATCGAGGTGTGAGAATAATGTTTGAATGCGACTGTAAGAAAAGCAACGACAATGGATATGAGAGACAACGAATCGGATAACTCCAAACACAAACCTGGCCTAACATCAAATTGTAAATTTCCTAGTTCGATGTGATCAGCTCATATGGTATTATCGAGTACCACTTCCTGAAGTTAATCCTTCAACCAGAAACAAGAGAGTACGAGAACTGGCGGCTCGTAAATTATGAAGAACAACGAGGGCCAGAGGAGAAAGCCATGCTTCTACCGTTAGGAGCTGTTAGACATAAGTACTGCAACGTATAGACAATGCAATCAATATTTCTTTTAAACGATTGATTTATCGATTTGAAATAATATTTTATTAAGATATAAGAAGCATGTAAATTCATTCCAGTTTCAAGTGTGTAAAGTCATCAATGATGCATTTCAAACCTTAATTTGATTGGAGACCAACAAATGTTTCTATGTATCCACGCATGCCAAATTGATTTGGGTGGCTGCAGAATTGATTGCACAACTTTTTGATTGTCGTTATCGTATACTAATAAGTGAAGTAATTCTGTAATTAAAGAAATGAGGCCACATTGTGTATCGAAATGAGACAAACATATATATTTGCTAAATTTTATTATTTTACATATAAATTCGCTATAACTTTGCTAAAACTGGCAAATCTTTTGCCTCAAGTATTTTGCTAAATTTCAAAAAATAATGACTGGAAAACGAAGGGAAGTTGCTACATCGCCACATCACACGATTGATTACATTAAAAAAAAACTAACCCTCTCATTCGTTAGCGCGAATCTTTAGACCCTTCGAGCTTCCGAGTGCAGTTTCTACACCTTGTCATTAACTGCAGGTCCATACAGATACAAGTTGACAACGAAATATGATACACAAAAAGTCATGCTCTCTAATCAAAACCGCCACTGAACTTGTTTGAATCACCGACTTCATCGAGAAACTGTCCTAATCTTTGTAAATCTTATGAATTTGACGGGCACACGGTATCTGTATATTTAATCAAGCAGTCACTTCAATCTGGGTTCTGATGGCAGTTTTTGTATCTTAGATGATACTGCTTGTCTGATCAGCTTTCGTTCAGATAGCTCAAAATTCTTAAATCTATATTGCGGCCACTGTGATCCGGTTGTGAGCCTACGAAACCGTATGGACATAGTATTTATGCGTTGTCTACCATTGACTCTCCTCAAAAGACGTCCCACCGGATCCCTAGTCATAGACGTCAAGTTATTAAATCAGTTTTTAAAGTCCTGAAGAGATGTAACTTTGAACTTACTGAATAGAAAGGGGATCAAATCGATTGGTTGTTTGAAGAGGAATTTCAGATATTCAGATTACTCTGGGCACTGCATTTATTGATGATTGTCTAGAAGGTCAAACATAGTCTAGCTTCTGAGGAATTTGATCGTATTACAAGTTGAAATGTCTTATCGGACTCTAAATCAGAAGGCTCCCAACACATCAATACGTGGGTTGAAGTTTCTTCATGCCCAACGATGCGGCTTGGTTATGATCTATGTTTAAAATGGATATTGTGGAAGCGTATACAAAGCAATGTTCGCATGCACTGTCAAGAGACGAAAAGTCTGGGTCTAGACTTTATCTGAAAGAAGAACTAAAGCTTCTGCTAGAAAATTACTTATATGCATTCAGACTGAAGGTCTGTCTACTCAATCCTTTATGTACCAGTTACTGCCTGTTCAGAAAGCTGCTTTCAGTCTGAAATCGAGTGGCCCCAGTAACTCAGAGAACATGGACATTGAGAACACCGTGAGCTTGTGTGGCCACAAGGTCTTACAGACTTTTCTTTTCGAAATATCATTGATAGATCCATGCACCAACGACTGAAGTCTCTTCCGTTGATTTAGCTCTTCAACCAAGGCTCTCCAGCCACACTTACGTCGTAACATTCCAATTTCTTGTTGGCATCTCATTTCCAGTGATCATTAGCTTCATATTTCAGTATTTCTCATACTTTGTTTTGTCTTCTGAAATTACTTTCTAAATTGAGTATTCTATAACATAACTTTTAGACAACACATGCTTTTGCTATTAGGGGAATTTAACTAGTTAGTGCAATCATGTCAAGTGATGGACTTTTATATGCTTCATCATTTGTACACAATTGACCTAACCACTTTAGATATTTTAGTTTCAATTTTCCATTGTGCTACTATTGGAGCCTAGAGTAATGGAGTCGTTTGGCTTCATTTGAGCATTTCTTGATAGTATCTTCTCATTTGATTGATACTTTCGCATGTAACTCATATTTATTATCCTTTAGTTATATCGACCTCAACTGAGACCGGTGAAGATAGCATCACATAGAATTCTTCTCCAAGGAAAAATAAAAATATCTTGACAAGAAGAAATTTGATGAAGTACAGTATTATGAGTTTAAGCATAACAAAAAGCAGTTTACTCATCGAGAAGATCATGTTGCAATTACTAGGATAGTGTCTCATAATCTTTGCTCTGTTTTGAGAATTTTTCTCAAATTCAAGCGAGTGACCAAAACGTTCTATCTTATCTTCGTGTCAATGACTTTCTCTCCTTTCTTCAACACTGTCTTACTTTCGAGTATTCTATTAATACTGCTGCAATTACCCACAATGCCAGCATGCTAAACTGTCGCGAAAATTTAAACTGATTTTCTCATAAAAGTTTAATTGATTCACACCTGCATATTACAAGTGAGCAATCGTTTGATACTCCAACTTTCAATTTTAATATGGACGACTGCTCTGATAGGTTCTAAACTTCCATCAATGAAGATGTAATGTAGAATAGTTATAATTTCTACGTTCCTTGTTCCTACACTGAAGTAGAAATATCACCAGTCCACTCTAGTTCACAAACTTATCTCAACTTGTGGTTTTTCATTCTAACCTATTAGACTATTCCAACCTTATGTGTCATGATTTTGAATGTTTGAGTTTTGTGTTTACTTTATCGTCATAGTTCACAACATAGAACATTTGGATAGGGTAGAACATTCTAATTTATTGTCTTGAAGTCATCTTTCATCCGTTGCAGGACATTTACTGTATACACTCAAAATCTAATAACAACGATCAGTCAGTGACTTTGAATCGTTGAAACTGTACTCTCTTGTGTTGTCGCAATGAGAGGATTCCAAATGTCACACATGTTGGTGTTTATGGGAAAGCTGTCGTGCTTCTCGAGGGCAATGACAGACTAGTAACCCGTGTTAAATACATAACTAAACACCCTGGACGAAAACTCTTGGATCGCTGGTCCAAGTCATGCTCCACAAACAATTCACAATTTTCACCACGGACTCGTGATTATTACGTGCACTTCTCGAAACATTTGTTGGGGAAAAATCGTGCGAAAGTTCCACGCTCTGAAAATTAAACGAAACTGTAATATCCACACTTTCAGTAGACCCCTGAAATGGATCAAGACAGTGTTCTCTGGACAAGTGTGAGGCCACATTTTTTTTTTCATGCGAGAACCAGGGGGTTATATAGTCTCTACTTCTTCTTCCGTTGACCAGGGACAAATCTAGTGACATTCATACCTACCCTTCCAGCCCCAATTCGCTTGAGATAAGACACACTCTGATTAGGTTGCTATGAAAAACACAATAGCTTCCTCTTCGAAGGTGACTCAGCACACCCTCTTTGGAGACTTTACGCAAAAAAAGGCGGTGCATTAAGAAATGGTGCTGTGTTCAGGTCATTCACCACAACTGATAACATCTAACGAGCAACTAAAGTCGAACGACACAAATTTTTTAAACCACAATCCAGTAGAACAAAATCAACCATCTCTATGATGATAGGCACCAGAGCGCATGGTGCCTATCATCATAGAGATGGTTGATCCTCTCTAGAGAACACGTGATTATTGAAATTAAAGAAAGAGCTGACGAAGCAGAAACACAATCAGAAGCAGACCATCGAGTGATAAATGTCAGACGTGACTGATGAAGTAGACTGATTGGGGACTAAAGCAAATAACGCCGTGTCAACAGGTTCATACAAAGAAGGCAGTGAAGGGATTCAAACAGATACCTTTGCGCCAAACTGATTGGCTGACTTAACAAAATGATTACACCTTCAGAATCAGTATTGAAATAGTGTACAACACTCGAGCCAAAGTGATCTAAATTTGCAGAAATACACATATACATAGCTCTTTCTCCACTTGTAGTTGAAGTGCGGACCATGCTGTCTATAAAAGTTTTAACTACGGGAGGTTATCACTTGGTTCTCCGTGGCTCATCCTCGTTACAAAGCTCTGCGCCCGCGTTTGCACTAATCCGACTAATATACAGGGTATCACTTTTGCGTGAACTACTTGAGGTCTGGGCAACTAAGACAATGCGCTAGGAAGTACTCTTCACAAATGTCTCAGCAAAACTTTCTTCTCCACAAGCCTAACACAGATGTTAGACAGGATGCTCTTAGAAATCATTGACACGGACCTAGTGCATTCGTACATCCCCGAAACTCTGATCATATACCGGATCCTACAACCGACAATACCATGACAGCCAAAGCCTTAAAGGATAAGGTTTTCAGCTGGTGCTGCAAGCTTAAAAGCTGTTTCTTATTTTGGTGGTTCGTTATCGTGCACTCGGCAGGCAAAAGAATCAAAACGGATCTCAACTTTTGCATGGCAGCTGATAGCCAAATAAGAGCAGCACCTCGTATGAGCCCGAACATCTTATAACGGTCGAAGGTCGAGTTGATGGATAGCATCCTAGCAGCAACGTGGAGAACCACGGCAAGGCCACCACCCGCTAAGACGACAGAGCCTTGGTTGAGCACAACTAAAATCTCGTTAGACAACCCTTTTCTCATTTGCAGAAAACTCGCAATACCCGAATTCGAGTGGTTCAGAGGAAGGGTGAAGAAAATATCGCAGAGCTTCCTCTCTTCACGTTTCTCAGAATGGTTTCTCTTCTTCGTGGCTGACTTGGTGCTGCTGCTGCTTCTTGTCTGAAAAACGGTCTTGGATCTCGTTCTCCTGATAATAGACAGCAAGCTCGTCAGATGATAGAGACTTGATGACAATAAAGCCTTCCACATCAACTCCGAATATCCATAAGTATCCAATAACTACAGCACCTCTCTGCTGAAGAGAAACTGTTACTTATAAAGACTTACTGTGTTGTTTTCGTTGTTTTCTTCGTCTGGCTTTTCTTAGTAGCGACATTTACTGACGTCACCACAGTTTCTTCTTGTTCCCTGCAAGATAGAAACACGTGTCTTAGGCACTGCAAGACAGAAACATAATAAATCCAGATTAACAGCCAATTAAAAATGGCGATCAGCACTTATGCTTCAGGACCTAAAACAATGCGCTTGTCTTCAACCTAGATTCGCAAGGTAGTTCATCATACCATATACAGACCATAGTCTTATCAAACTTTCCTAGTTTGACAATCATACCCACTGCACTCATTATTACATTGAATGAAAGTATTACGATGCAGCACTTGACTTGTGTACATCCTACTTATCGACCTCAAACTGATTGGAGATAGGAATATGTACCATTCCAACATAGCCTGGATTGAAGAGATTGGCAGAGTGTCGGTTGAACTTGGGGGAGTTTTGGACCGAACACCAGACCTCCAGCTACTAGGAGGGTGCTCATTTCTGTTCAAAACATCCTCCAATGTTTCGACCTGTGAAGACAGAAAAACAAAACCAGCTCCTGATGTGTATCTTTCTTCGGATGGCCTGAGAGCGGACTCTTGCTCGGTGGCATATTCCAGTACTTTGGGGGCTTCTAATAACAATGACTCAGAGGGACTAGATATCCAGTTAACTGCAGAAGGTGCATCTTTCCACGTGAATCGAGTCTGCACACTGTCAAAACTTCTAGATATCGCTGCTTTCAGAGGTGTAAAACCATGATCATTCCAATCAGAAAACTGCCCGTTCATCGCTAATGGCTCGGCTCGGAAGCTTTGGTGCTCAAACGTCCCGAATTCATCATCTCCCCAGAATTCTGAATCATCTTCGCCAGCACCGAGGTAACTATCCAACTTTCGCCACCACTTATCCAAACGAGAGGAAAACCTTTTGTCCGGTCTTCTCCTTCCCTTGAAGTTCCCTGTAGTGGGTGGTGGTAAGAATTCTGAAGTTACTTCGGCCAGGATCTGACTAATCATCCTTTCTGCTTCGCATGACCTGACATTCCGGTTGGTTTGGACATACGATGACAGCATTTCCACCATCCTCCGCTGACCTTTAGGGGATACAGGAACCTTAAGCAGCTCAACTACGATAGGCACCAATGATTCTACGTTGTAAGTACTAAAAGCTCCCCGACACAGAAATTCCAGCATTTTATCCAGCTCCCATATGTCCTCCAGCCCACCGTATTTGAAGACGATAGACCCGTCAATCTCGTCTGCAGGGTAAGCAAGCCCGTTGGAGATGAGAACGACGAAACTTTAAACTTCCAACACAACACAAAGACGTCTCAGGGAAAAACGTGTGAGAACCAGTGCACTGCTGCATGGCTGGCATTACCTTCAATTTCAATAAGGGCCGGTGATTCGGTCGCTGCGTGATTTGAGCTGATAAAAATTCCATTCCGGAATATTGTAGAAGAATTTGAATTGTTTCTCTGTCCTCCCTGAAAAGGAGAACTTAAGAGATCCGTAGTCCTCTGAGTCCTCGTTTTAAGGACTGGACCTTGCAGACAGACGGGAGAAACCTGAAAGATAACGAAGTGTCAACACCTGCTCTTTAAGATCGACCATTACAGTGTAAACCCCGAGTACTTGACTCCACAATAAGGAGGAAAAGATTCTCAACAAAGCAACCCAGCTCCAAACTAGCCTTCAACGACAAACCCAGCATCTACAGACACAAAAACTCGTTTCACGAATTGCGATAAAGGATCCTTACCCCAAAAAGGCACCGAGCACTGTTTTTATTCGACTCATCTTCGAACAAGAAAGGTGCACGGGGAGCACGAGAGGAGGAGGAGAGAACAGACTCGCTCGGAGATGCGAGCACAGACTGCGAGGCCACGATGGGCTTGACCAAGCTCACGCTCGCCATCGCAAATTCTGGAGAATGAGAAATTCCTCGTCCTGGAATCCCTTTCAAATTTCTCGAGGCCGAATCCGACTGGCGAAAGAAGAGCCCAGAGCGCTCTCCTCTCTACCAATCTGTGACATGCACAGCCACACTCAACGAGGCCTGCGCGACCATCGTCACGAGAAGAGCGCGGACAGTCTGCGGCTCCGGCTTCCTGCTCCACCACCACCACCACCTCCTCCTCCTCCTCCTCGACGGTCCTCGAGGGAACGAGAGAAGGTGAGAGATGATTCTAGAATCCCAAGGACGATTTCAAGAGGCCACAGGCTGTCGAAGACAAGGCATGGCCGTGCCAGCTCAGCCGGATGGGAGCCTTCACTTCCAAGGCCCCCGCCATGTCGACAGGTCACAAGCCCATCGTCTGACGTTGCCGGCGACGGTCGACCATGGACTCCGACAGCGGAAAAGTGTCGACGCCTCCTCCTTCGTCGGCAGCAGGAGTCGTCGACGCTGGACGGACCGACAGGTCCTGGATCGATCGACGGGGAGAACGAACCGGGACGTGCGGTCACGGCAAGCAGGTGGTGCTCTCGCAGCCATATCTTCGCGATCGTATGTGATATGTATGCTATCTCTCTTCTTTCCTCTTTTCTGTTTTCTTTTGTATGTACTCTGCATTTTACGGCTTGCCTTGTCACAGCTTGTCGTATTAACAGATGCCTTTCTGCCAAAGGTCATCGCTCCGCTGCCAAAGGACTTCCGCACAATCGTGCGGAGGCCTGCGCACTGTTTCTTCCCGGATATAGTGAAGGAAAAGTTTCCAATGGTGCCCTTGGTCCTACCTTAAACCAAATGTAAGCTACGTGTCCTGGGCCTGATCTCGTATTTATGGGAAATTTCTACCTTCTAAGTTCCGGAGTACATGAGATTTTCTCCGCATACGATACGAGCACCCGTTCTGTTGTACAGTGTATTCTTCATTGAGTTCAGTCTTATAAAAACGTAATATTTACAGGATTTTTCTTCCAATGCTGATATTTGGATTTCCCCTGAGTTTCCTTTCCTGAATAAAAGGAAACTAGCTCATGAACAAAATCATCTTTTTTTCTTTTGAAAAAGGGGACTGAAATTATTTGATATTTTCTTTCAAAAGCATTGTATATTCGTCTTCATGCTTTAAAGGAAAGATCTCAATGAATCTGCAAAGTATGTCCATGTTTGATGATTTTATGATTTTCTGCAACGTGCACTTTTCAGAAAGCTATATGTAGTTTAGCAACAACGTCGCGCATCCAGTTCTGAGCCATTTAAGTTGATTTTCCCTTGACTTATACACTACAATAATTTATCAATCTTACCTTCTTTGTGAAATGACTAAAATCAAAAAGAAGTGAGAATTGCTTTGCAACAAACAGGGTCTACTACAATGTGTAAGAAAGCAATCTTGATTTTCAAAATTTTTATTAAAACATATCTTCATTTTTATTAAGACATATCAATATAAATTTGAAAAATTAGATTTATATATATTAAAAAATGAAAAAGTACTTGATTTATAGAAATCTGATGCTAAAATAAAATTTCTAGCATCTAATTCAACACTCAATTTCATTAAGATTGTTAGAAAAAAAATAGATCTAAATATATCTTTCCAATAATATTTGTACTTGATAACATTGATATAAAGAACTTTAACAATCTCCATATTTTTTTACATATTTACATCCATAAAAATCTTTTAAAATATCTTAAATCTAAAAATTATGCAATTTAAGATACATAACAGATAAATTTCAAAACTCTGATACATATTTAAATCTAAATAATAATAATAATAATTTTAATCTCAAATAGTCTAACAACAACACGATTTATCAATAATTAAATGGTTCAATTTATACATAAGTCTCATAAACTTAATATCACATATCAAGTTGTGATAAAACATCAAATTTTTAAAAATTATATTTCATCATTATATCACAAATGCTATTCATAATATACTTATTTTATCATAAAATCATAACATGGATTCAAAATTTAAAATAAAAATAATATAAAAATCATAAGTATATAAAAACAAATATTTCAATTAACAAAATTATATTTTGTATTTACGGTATGAATTACCATGAATTTTGGTAAATAACTTTGACATTAAATTTAATCATAAATATTGAATCAATTTACTAAAAAACTAAACATATTTTTCAAAATAAAAATACAGATGTCATTAAAGATGTTATTATTTATATTAAAAAAATATTGCAAGCACATATTGAACATGTCATTGAATGTTTTTCTTTGAAAAAAATTTTTAAATGCATAGAATATGAACTTTTGCACACGATTTAGTAATAATATATAGTATAGTTACGTTTTTAGATTTTTTAAGTGTTGATGTCTAATCAAATTTGAAATTTGTGTTCTTGAAATTAGTCACTTTAGGCCTGTGCATAGTCTACAAAGTCTAGTAACTATGATGTAATTTTTTTAATATAAATATTAACAATATCGGTCTCCATCGAACATTTGTTGGAGAATGACTAAACAATACTACCAACAAAGTTGACCAAAATATTTAAACGTTCCAAAAAACAATACAATGCCCATGCACACAAACACCGATGATCGTAGAATTTGATGATTTTTTGAGATACTTTCATTGTTGTACATGGTGTAGAGCTCTTAAATTTGGATCCAATCTTGTAGATTTTGAAGTTAGACTAACCCCAATCGAAACAAGCTTTATGTTCGATAATAAAGAAACTAATATCATGAACTTTAAGTTTCATTGATTCAAAAGTATATACTAGTGAACAGTTGAGTGAAGACTATTGCAATAGGGATATTTATCTTGCATTGCAACGCAAAGTTTATAAATTTCACAACGATATCAAAAATAAAAAATACAATGTTACGAACAAGTAACAATCAAATTGATTTATTGATACTGTTGACTGTCAAAAAAATGACCACAATCTTTAATGAAGACTATGATGTCAATATAGGAATTCGACAAATCACTACGGATGACATGAGTATATTCATTCACATTATCGATGTCGGAGTTGTGATTAAGGGTGAGCATTAAGTCAACTATTAACTTTTGCAAATTTGTTGTTTGTTGGTTGAACCTTAGACTATGATCTTAGAAGTTCAAATGATATTCATGATGCATTTTGTGATGGCATTTAGTACTCATCATACTCATTCTCAGCTCCAGATGCAAACAAAAATCTAATGAAATCTTGGAGTAATGTACATTAATCCTCTTGACATTGAACATGACGTGTCATCAAATTGTAGATGTCTTGAAATAAATTAAATTCATTTTGAAATATAAACATTTACTATCAATGTTGCATAGCCTGCATCACTATCAAGTTTCACGTATGTTTCCTTCAGCATAATGTCCAAATATCAAACACGAATAAATCCTTTCAAAAAATACTATTACAAATGTATGATAACACCAACTTCATAATCAATCATGTTTTGAGCTCCGTCAAACTATGAATGAGTAAATCACGAATGAACACTTTCAAAAACCACTATTGCAAATGTGTGATGACATTAACGTCATGATTAATCATGTTTTGAAATCCGTCAAACAATGATGAGAAAGTGAAAAAAGTACGTCAAATAATTTAGAAAAGTTTTAAAATTGTGTCAAAGCAATGTGAATTTTGTAAAATAGTGTTGAGATGAGATGCAAATTGTAGGATTTGCGGTGTCAAACAAAAAAAATATAATTATTGATGTAAGAGCTATCTAGGCAAATATATGCATGAAAGTCAATAGAGAAAATCCACACTATACAGAGAATTTTAGTAATAATTTGAAAGGTGGCATTAAATTGGACGCCTACATATGTAATGATCTTGAAGTCATTCATTTTACAGATCATAGAGATCATTACAACCTCTGTACCTGTTTTACGCGAAGACATAATATGAAAAGATTGATACCAATTAAATTGTATTTTATTGCAAAATGGTATGTCATGTTGATATTCATCGTCACATAGTAATTTATCGTGTGAGTATCAAGCGTCAATATGCCATGACATTAACGTAGAATTGGACTTCAATATTTTTGAGATTACATAACTTTGATTATGATCTTAATAATGTTTTTAAAGTTGGTGTGAATTACATGATCTGTGTCTTAATCTAAATAAGATAGAATTGTGTTTACGAAAGTCAATTCAAAAGAAAGTAAATTTTGGATTTTGGATTTTTCCAACGGAGTGGCAAAAAAACTTTTGAAATGATTGAGTTAGTTTTTGGATAAAAAGATTCAAAACCTTTTGTTAAGAATAATTTTTAGACGTTTTACATCAATTACGCGAATGATCTCAACATCTTTTTTTTAAATAACTTTATTCAATTCTAAAACAGTACTTTTTTTTACACAAGTGTTCTCAGCATCTCTTTGTGAAACTCGATGTTTTAATCTGATTTTAAAGATTAGATATCTCTAAGATATGGAATTAGACATTTATTCTAGACTAACTAATCCACTAACAACTGCATATACATCATGAAGATAAAATATATTTATATCTATTATAATTTGAATTATATGCTTAAATATATATTATACATCATGTACACATTTGATACATTTTTCTGTTTTTTTAAATGATTATTTTTCTTAAATTTTCAAGTAATTCATGAATAATCAAAACAAAATATATCTCTATGTATTCATTTTGATCTTATAACATATCATAAATAAATAATTTTAAATTACTGATTAATGAAATGAAAATTAAATAAAAATTATATAAAATTTTTTAATTTCAAATTATACCATGTGATATATATATTAAATGTGTTTTAAATAATTTAATTAATTAATAATTCTGATTTGATTCACTACATCATCAAATATAATATTTAGAAATTTGAATTTATCTAAATGTAAATATTTTGACTTAGTTATTACTAAATTAAATATTATACAAAATAATGTCTGTGAAATGTATGATGTAATACAACTAATATTTGTTAGAATGAAGTACATAAGTATAAATAAAACAATTATATCTATGTTTCTTCTTTGGAGTTTGTGTAATATTTTAGAGCAAGTTTTCTATTTATGTTAGAATTTTACATCAAAAATATATTGTCACCTCAACAGAAATACAAAATGGCTTTTGGATGTTTCAGCAAATAAAATGAAATGTTTAGTGCAATGATTTTTACATAGATGATACATATTAAATTTAAACTAAGTATAAAAAATCACATAGTTGCTTCAATTTGTTAGTTAAGATTTAATCTAAAATTGTATGAATTGATATTGTTCAAAAATAAATTACAAAATTATATCTAGTACACAAAATAGTAACAGTTTTAAATTTTAATTATTGAGATGTATCCCTACAAGTCTATTTGCCACAAATTTTTAAATTGTATATTCCTAATATTTAATATTTTTTGTCTTTGAGCTCTACAATCGTTTTTTATATATAAAATTGAGTAATCTAATCAATTATGATTATTAACTTTAAATTTAATAAGATTAATATTAACATTTACACAATCTTCATCTTGGTTCATATCTTACAAATTGTTAATACTATCATCACTAAATTGTAGCATATTTTTTGAAAAAAGTCAAATTTGTCTTGTGTAATTCACATTAATTTATTCTTTATGAATGACATAGCAATCAATCTTATTTTGAAGAGTTATATTTACATTTTTTGGATTTTTTCTATTTTTAATTTTCATTTATTATCAATCAATGATTAATAGGTTGAAAAATTAATTAGTTTTCAAATCTTGTTATCAATCCACAACTGTAAATGTTTGCTTAATAGCAATATACAACATTTATGTTGTATTTTGAATATTTGAATCGGCTAGTTGATACATGTAGTAAGACATACTTATACATGTTATCCAATTGGTTTTCTGTGTCTTTACATGTTTATATTGTTTGTAATAGATTTGACATATCTGATGTTTCTCATATGAAAACATCTTAATATATTTGACAAAGCTTTTTCAGATATTGCACTAAGACCGTTATCTTCTTTCTTCCTATGCTTATCGTAGTTGTAGAATAATACCGCATCTATTATGGCACGGGTTTTATTTTGTAATTGCGTTGGTAACAAACCCGAAAGGCTTAACCAGATTATGAATGCAAAAGGGGATGCAAAACATGTAACATGTAGAATCTATCACGATGATTTTAAGGGTATACATACGCCGCTGATCCAAATTGGACGCCTTGAAAATAGAAGAGATTAGATTAGATTTCCGAAGTGAAGGAGGTATCACATTTGATCCGAACTTTGAACAAAATTGTTATATGAAGCCAAAATTCTAATGGTCTAAATCAAACATTTTGATGCTTCACATGCAAATTTGAGGTAGAAGCTCTTGATTTTTTTCTATTTTTTACATTCATTTATTATCAATAAAATATTAATAGGTTAAATATTAGTTTTCAAATCTTGTTATCAATCCAAAACTGTAAATTTTTGCTTAATGGCAATATTTTATTTATAAAATTTCTCATATTTTTTGTAACAAAAAGTTAAACTTACGTCAAAATCAATATCTTATTATTATCATAATTAATATCATGAATTTATAAAATAAATAAATCATACTGTTGAATATATAAAATATGAAAGTATCAACATGTTTCATCATATTAGGTACATTATTGGTTACCGATCTAGTGCTCTTGGCACTAGCTAGGGACTGGATTTTGGGATCTTTTATCTTGTTTGTGGTTTTCTCTTGTGTTTTTCAGCCTTTTGACCCTTTGGGTACCCCGGACTTGATCTATTACCATTTACATCTTGTAAAAGCTGTAATAATCTATTTAAATTATATTGTAATATGTAATTTTGACTGATATGACAATATTCATATTTTTAAATAGGGATTAAAAAAAAGCATGATTCTAACAATTAATTACATATGATGTACTTTACTAACATGATGTACTTTACTATAATACTCACACAATCTGCATATGCAAAAATATGATATTTATTAAGTATAATCTCCAGCTTGAATTTAATTCAGTCACTTAGAGTAGTATAAATCGCATAACAAAACATTTCCAAATAATTATAACTAACCATTGATTTTTCATTCAATTTAAATATATTAATATTGATTGCACTTAAAAGATTACAACTATTGAATACATTGATATATAATCATTTTAGTCTAAAATTTGTATATGTATTGACTAATCACACTATTTGCTTTTTCCATTAAAATTCAGTCAAGTTTCTTTAAAACTGCAGTGCATACTATACATTGTAGTTTGATTGCCAATGATGTCTACTCTTTTAAGTAACTTCAAAATTACTCAAACTTGTATTTATTGCAATTATCAGTATGTAAACTTCTCACCTTCTGATCAAATTAAGTATTAACTTGGAATCTCTAGCTTTGAAAGTTGTAAATATTTCTAAGTTTTAAATTTGAATATAGAGTCACACAAATCTTGAATATTTATATCATCTATTCAAGAATGTGTACACAAAGTCTTTGCAAAAATTTATTTTTTTTGAAATTTTTTATATGTATATTCATATGTAATATATAAAATGTATGATAAAATAAACGATCAAATACATTTCACTTTTATTTCAACTTCAAAATAAGGTTTGTTTGTTTTTATAAAAATAAATTGCATTCACTATCATGATGTTATTTATGTTAGGAGTATGAGTTTATTTAAAATTGCTTTGAGAATTACAAGATGACTCTGGTAATTCTCAAAGCAAATACTTATAAATTTTGAGTTGAATATTCAGTGAGAATATTCTAAAAAATGTAGTGGGAGTTTTTTTATCAATTGATAACTTGTGAACGAATGAAATGGAGAGATAGTTGCAATTTACACGACAATCAATGAGGTTATTTAAACGTTTCAGATTCTAAAGATGAAGCGAATTCCGTGCAACAACATGAAGACATGCACATTCATTAGCAGAATCTGTTTACTATTGAAGAGAAGAGGAGTGCGATGACGTTATATTTTGCAGAAGGAGTTGCACAGATTCGCAATGCTGCAAATATTTTTAAATATTGAGTACTACATTATAATCATATCTTCATCCCATTCGATTTGGGATGTACGGGGTATGGGTTCGAGTGTCATAATTGGAGATGGATCGTTTTGTTGCTCAATGCGCACGATTTTATCATCATAGACAAATGGATGAACACTTATTACAATCAACAGCATCGAGTTTTTCTGATAGCACATATGCAATTCATTGCATTTCAGAGTGACTTTGCCCTTTGCCATTGAGGGAAACGATTATTTTGTGTCAAAAGGCTTGTTTTGAAACACTGTCACAATCAGTGAATTGCATGTAAGCCGTATTAGAGATCCATTTGGAAGCACCAAAAATGGGTTTTCGAAAGCAAAGGCTATAGCGTTTTTTTTCTTTCCTCATACTTTTTCATTTCTCTGTCCGTTCTTGATGTGCAAAGAGAGGAGAGGCGAAAATGCTTTAGCTCAGGATCCCGTCAGAAGACAGCCACAAGTTAACCATCCAGAGAAGATTGGACCAAGAGCAGAGGACCTACTATGGTATGCTTGAGGCCTCTTGAAATCATATGGAACTGAAGAGGTCTTATACAATCTACGTTGACTTTGTTGTCGTTGGAAACCGGACGTGACTTTTACATCCTGTGGAAACAACTTTTTCAACCTTTCCCGCTTCAGAAAGTCCAGAGCTCTCGTCTGTACTGAAACATAATGAATCGAGGACAAATGGAAAAACACATCCGGTAAATTGGACATAATTTGCCGTTGATGATCAGGTTCTGCCGTAAACTATATTCTGCTGTCATCAGGCAGAATGCTTTGTGTAGTTGATATTGTAAGCAGTTGTTCCTGGACTGCTGAGTATTGGGACAGATGCGCATCCTTGGAACGGCTGCAGCTACAGCAGTGCCTACATTCATATATTCTATGTAATATCTGGAAACCTTCCACAGAATATAGGGCTTGTCAGATGATCACTATGTGCATGCCAAATTCGAACCATATGATAAAAGTGATCAAATTTTTAACAAGTGCATAGTATTTGCAGGCGATATTTTTCCATGTCTCTGGAGTACAATCTTATGAGTAATTCTTTCGAATTGACTCTCTCCATATGCTTGATGGTTATCCAGCTTTTGCTGCAAGGTCAAAGATTGATGCAAGCTGTTTAGGTCAAAGTGATGAGAAATGGCATGAACGAATGAAACATGGTTGATAATATTCAAAAGATGCTGCCTTTAACAAGGGAAGACAAAGAAGCTAGTATTAGCCAGCTTACGACTGCCTAAGAGTGTTGAAGCTCTTGCTAATCGTTATTGGTGTTAACAAACGTAACGAAAAGATAGCTGTATGGAGTATTAAATAAAATACTGAAGATTGTTTAATAAAAATACTGGTAGCTGGCACACAGCTTTGAAGAGTAGGTTGTGAAGGAGATATAGGAGATATTTTTCATTCAGCATACTTCAATGGAATATGTCACAACAGATAGGTGTATATTTCCTCGGATCATATGAGCTTACGCAAATACTAACTAAACAGAGTGCACTGTGCGGTGACGAATATGTTTTGCGTTGGTACTTTGGCAACTTACTTCGTTGTATAATGAAATGTGATTGTTAATGTGTATTTTAACTTTCCGGCTCGTAAAAACTACATAATATTTAGCATAGTGGCCGAATGACTTATACTTAATGGACATTATTCAGTGCGAAATGTTTTCGCAAGTTTTTGAACGGGGAAGAAGACTCGAACACATTTTCACTCATCTCGGTGTATGTTCAAAAGACAAAAAGCCCTCAGTGAAAACGACTTGAAAGAGAAATAAATCTCCATAAGGAAACCTCGATAAAAATTTATCCATTTCGAGATTATGTATTCTATAAAGGAGGAGAGCAGAAACTTTGAAAAGTAGGTGACAGTTAAACTAGTTGGCAGTGGTGCGACTACACCTACACCGCATTCAAAGCGCTCTTTCATCGTACACTTTTGACAAACAACATAATGTCAAAAAAGGTCACAGATTGAAAAGAAGATAAAGCATCACTCACAATAATATCAGAATGTCTTCTCATCTCCGATGAGAGATAAAACGAGGCGAAATGAACTGGACCAAAGAACAATTTTCTTCACACGTTTAAATACAACAATTTCCTACTTTACAAGTGAACAGGATTGACATTACTCGACGACACCAGCTCTCTGAAACAAGAATGGAGGTTTCTTGCTTGCACTACATCTAACGTGCCATCCGTAACCTAGCCCTATACAAGAATGTGTTCATTCTCGGGAGAGTGAACAAGAGCAAAAGTTAGTTTTGTGTCGTTTGAGGCTTAAAGGACTGAATTTGAATTTGAGGGCCCCACAAATCAGGAGCGATGAAAAAAAGACGTGAAGAGGCAGGCAGCTAGGATGGGATGAATCTAAATTACTTTGTAAAGGTGTGAGTTGTTTCAGATCCCAAGTGGAGGATGGCGGAAAAGTTCAATTGACTAACAGAAACATTCGAAGCAAAGTGAAAGAAATATCAGGATCAAGTTATCGCGCAATTCTGCGCGTGATCCATTCGAGAAAAGTTGCAAAAGACCCGCATGATCAAATTTACGGAATGGGGGAACTTCTCGTGCGACGAAGTCGACCACCTGCGCGGAAACCTGGAGGAGGTCGTGGGAGCAATAGCACAGCGCAGATACCACCGAGCAGAGCCGATGCCGAACCCAACAAGAAAGCTGGCAGATTTCCTCCTCCCAGCAGCTCATCCCAAGGTCCAGCGCCCACCGAAACAATAACCTGCAATCGTTCACAGCATCGGCTACGTGAGAAGCAGGCGGCCAAGCACCTTCCACAAACTGGTAATCAAAGCTCTCAACACACTTTTTCGTTCCTCAACGTCTACATACAGCAGGTTTCGCTTACCTGTGGAATAACGACGGCAAGATTCAAAACGCCCATGGAAAGACCTGCACATCCAAATCCCAACAGTTAGTTCCGGCAAGTCTGACAAGCAACCTGACGTCATCACTGGCCTCTGTTTACAGGAATCACAAGATAAAGCCACGGAATATCTCATTCCATCTCCTGCGTCAGCTATGATTTGAAAACATTTGTGAGAACTACAACAAATATTTTCCTCCCTTTTCGCTAGTATATAACTCCTGGTTAATTGTCCCTAGTCCTTTCCTCAAATTTTTTCGTCCTCATCTAAAAGTCTATTGTAGACAGGTATCCACCTGCACAGGCCCTCCGATATTTACCAAGCATGCAGATTCAGTCAACAAAGTAAGAGTATAATATTCTACTCTATCCAGAAGCATAGTAGGAATTACCTTGTCCTCCGCCAGACTTCTCGGTGTAGGTAGCCGTCAGGGAGTATGGCACGCTGTATGTAACCTGAGACCAAATAATTTTGAGTAAGTTTCCATGTCTATAGGCTGATACAAAAATCAGGTGAAGCGAAACAAGCAAAGCTGTAAGTTAATATTTGAATCTATCAATCAAATAAACCTCCACGGATTGAAATAAACTGCAGCCTTCGAAAACAAACGAGCAGTCAGTCACTTACAGCAAGAGGAGCTCCGAGAATTGCAAAGACGGACAGTGCTGAAACAATGACTCCGGTCGGGGGACCGGTGTAGAGGGGAGCCAGAGAAGCTCTTCTGGCGTAAGTGGTGATGACCGCCATGCTGGCGAAGGAAGCAGCCATGATGGCATTGCCCATTCCCCAGACGCGGCTGGGTCCGAGCTTTCGACACAGAGGCTCGATCATCAGGGACGTGAGTCCGAGAATGACAGATTGCATCATGAGACCGAATGAGCCCATGTGCACACCATCGTAATAGAGAACCGAGCTCTTCGATACCTCAGCTCCAGCGGGTTCTCCACGGTAGACCTCACGACCCATCCAGTCGGTGTCGAATAGGAGAAAGGGAAACCAAGCTAACCATGTGAGGGCGGTGACCAGCAGAATCAGCCACATAGTGCGTGGCAAGTCTCGCAGGGCGACCACGAGCTCCCAGAAGAGAGCTTCCGAAACCTGCTCATCATCCTCGTCATCGTCCTCGGGATCCTCCACCTTCTCCACGGCGTTTGCGTGAGACACCTCCTCGTTAGATTGTCCATCGAGAGGTTTGTCAGCGATCAGCAATGGCGTCGTGGCGTTAGCTTCCGTGGAGTTGTTCTTATTGCTGTACGCCGGAGACCAGGGGATCTCCTCGGCAGCGGTTACGCTGAGAATGGTTGTAAAGACCAGCAGGATCACGCCGATCATGAAAGCAGATTTCAAGTTGGCGCATGGAGTGTCGCAAGCAGTGGTGGCACTGAACCAGATCCATTTTTCCCACTTATCGTAGGCGCCGGTTGCAAATCCCAGAATGTTACCCACCGCCATGAAGAGGGAAAAGAAGGCATTCGCTCTTCGGGTCCTCCTTTGGTCTTTGCCTGTAACGTAGACGACTCATACCATTAGACATTGATCTCAGTAGAATCTAATCTCCAGAGCACACTGGGTCTAACAACTAACGAAGTCCCATCGTCTGCAGTCGCACTGACGACTCCCACCCCATGTACTCAGATCGAGCACGTCGAATTGTTTCAGCCTTAGGGCACGAAGTCAAGCAGATTGCGCGCATGCAGATAATACAAAATAAATCAACCGGCACGCAGTACATGCTTCACGTGCTGGCTAGCAGACTAGTGACATGAGAGTTTACGGAATCTCAAAGAATAATGCTGACATTATGGCGGCTCCATCACCAGTGTTCAGAATTTTCAAAACAGTCCAGTAGCCCCTCTCAGCCCAACCCAAGCTGCATGAGGATCGGACCGCACTGCTTCAAATCATGCATCGATTGAGGACGGTCAGAATATTCACCTGTGTAATCGGCTAGCAGAGCACGGCAAGGTCCTTGCAGAGTGTTGTTGGCCAGGTCCAAGAGCCAGAAACCCAAAATGAAAACCACAATGGCCCTGGGTCTGATAGGTTTCGAGAGATTGTCGCCGAACAGATACCCCAAATCGGCCGCGAATCCGATGGTGAAGGTGGCAATAACCACCAGGACGGCGCCGGCCAGAATGAACGGCCGGCGTCGGCCGTAGGAGCTGGTGCAATTATCGCTGTAGTGACCCACGACGGGTTGCACGAACATGCCAGAGATCGGGCCGCAGAGCCAAATCAAACTGGCCCATTGGTGAGGAATTCCGAGCTCCTGCACGTACGGAGTCAAGAGAGACAACTGCAAGGCCCACCCGAATTGCACCCCGGCTGCTACGCTCGCTACTCTCGCTAATGCCTTCAATGGCACCCTATTCTTCACCTTCCGCCTCCCCGGCTCTAACGCCATGATTCCTTGCCTCCCTCGCCGATCAAGAAAGCCACGAGACCGAAGCCCTCTCGGAGATCGCGCCTGGAGCCTGAGCTGGGCTGCGGCTGCCTCTCGCGTCCTCCTCCGCCTCCTCCTCCTCCTCCTGCTCCAGCTGCTCTTCCTCCTCCTGCTTCTCAGTGTCTTAAACGAAATTCTACTTATCACCCGAGTCGCCCAGCGCCGCTTCGATGTCGAGCACCGCCGACGTCAGAAAACGGCAGAGGCAGACGCTCGAGCTCCAGCTGCGTCGCACAATCGCCTCGAGAAGTGGCAAAGAATTCCTCGACCCTTCTTGGCCCCATGTGTTTGCCTACCAAGTGTCTCGGCCGCCGCGTGACGCGTGTCTGTCCACGCGGCGCTCGCCCGCCAGCCGCGAACCCTGCCTCACTGGCTCCGAGCCGCTCACACCATCGCACCGCTCCATGCAACCAGGTCGACTGGTCGGAACCCCTTTCCGAAGAATCTCGGCCAACATTTTGCCCTCCGATGCCGAAGCGTGTTGTGCACGGACGCATTCCGCGACCCCGATACACAGCCCGCGCTCTGTTTCGCAGCATCCCTCTCGAATCCTGCCTCGCATCATTTCTTCTCCGCCGTCGATATTTCGGGCCATGGGGTGGCAGTTGGGTCCCGGGCACTCTGGAGCAACTCTATTCCTGTCTCTCGAGCCTCGGGACCAATTCTCGCCGGCGGTAATTTCCTCCACCGGAGAACACCCCTTTTTCTCGACTTCTCGGCATTCTCCATTTGCCAAAACAGCACCGGATGCACATGTCTCCAAACAACTTTGTCTCCGGGGTCAAATTTTCATTCCTCGTACTCGAGGTTTTATTTGCTCCCGTGCGAACGCGAACGAGGAACTTTATTCTATTTCGCTTAGTTAGGATTCATACTTTTATGTAAAAAGTGATATCCAACCTTAAAATAAAATCATTAGTGTATTGATTAATACGTTAAACATTGATTGTAATATCAGATTTTATCTAGTGTAATCAACAAAAATTACTCATATAGAATTATAATACTGAATAATCCACCTTAATGTGTTTTGCAGTATGTGGGATATAATATCAATTAATATACTCCAGTTGATATTATAGAACAACCCTTCGTGTGACATATCATAAAGATAAAAATGTACGAAAATTCTCAAATTCTTGCTTTTGTATCCAACCTCTACATATATAAGTTAGACCTTCAACGATGTTGTCGTAAAATAAACGTCTGAAATAAGCAATGCATTATACACCTCCTGTGGATTTAGCTTTCTTAAGCGTAGAACACACCATGAGATATGTGAAAGGAGGCTGGTTGCTTCGTTCTATGCATGCTAATTGAGTCGTATATGGAAGGATAGAGTTTTAGAAAAATTAACAAAAAATGGAGCGGAATATCTGTATTAATAGGGACAGGAGTCTAAACGACATCTTAAGCACAGGGCGTTCAATAACGAAGGTTTTTGGACAAGCCCTGTAGAAAATCAACAATTTTTAAATGGAATTTCTCGTCGTCGTGATATATTTGATGGAACACTCAACCTTCAAAAAACAAACTGGTTAGTTTTGGACGGAAATGGGAGAATGAAATATGAGATACCGGTGACCTCTGCAGGGTGTATATGTAAGTAGACAGTTAACCGGGACGACAAAAGTTAAAATGGAGTGCTTGCACCAGAAACCATTCAAGCTTTTGGCAAATGGTTCGACTAGCGACGCGTGCAAGGATGTGGCAGACTGGCGATCTCGATGACTGGACTTGCTTAATTTGTCCTGCAACCATCGGAATAAATACATTTCGTCGCTACCTGGTAAAGCAAGCTCGGTTACTGCGTACATCCCTTCATTCCTTCAGCCAAATTCTGTGTCAACGTGCTGACTGAAGTTAGTTACCGCCAAGGTTTCAGGGAATGTGGTGGAGTGAAACGGAGCTGTCACCACTTCAGATGCGGTTGCAGCTGGAAGACCGGCTTTACCTGTCTCTGAGGAGGAGGCTCGCTTATAGTTGAGAGCTTACTTTTCAGCCGGACACTGCTTTTGTAGGGCTTTGATTCTGAGATCTGCCAATTATATCTCGCCCAGTTCACTGCGCTTTTTACTGGTGTCCGGTTTTCTAGGGTTGCTTGAAAGTAAATGAAAAAACTATCCTAAAGAGCACCTAGTCCAGAATGTGTGCAATAGTCACTCTCTCGACCGGGTTTACACATGGATACCTACCTTTACACGTATATTGAGCTCTACGTTGTACCTTTTTCCAATCTATTATGTTTTTCTTTTTTCTTTTTTCACTTCTGCAAACAAGCATTTCAAATTTGTGAGCAACATTTCAAACTCATCAATAGTGCAAGATTAAACTCGTACGTCCCAAGAAGTTTCTAACATTTTGCAACTAGCATTTGCAAGGATATCTGTAACTTCAAACTTGAGTAAAGTCATCATCCAACTTTTAAACTTTTTATAAAAACTAAAACATTTTCAAGGATAGCTATAACTTCAAACTTGAGTAGAGTCATCATCAAAAATTTAAACTTTTTATAAAAAATTGTTGGAATGTAAACCATAAATACACCAGAGAAAGAAAAAATTTGAATCACAACTTCAAGAGAAGGATAAATCCGGATGGTAAAATATTGATCAAATATAATATGAACAAGATCTTACAAGCAATACATTTTTGTACTCCGAAATATGGATCCTGGATTTTAGAAACTGAATATGTTTATTTAAAAAAAAACTTATGTTTATTTTGTTGAAAAGTTGATCAATTACAATTATAACTACTCTATCATGAATATCTAGTTCGTAGTCTGAACTGTCTCTATAATAAGTACTCAAAAGAGAAACAGAAGAGAAAACTTATATTTCCAGGTTTTTATCATATTTATTTCCTTTAAGTGGATTCAGGTATATGTTCGAGCACATATATCAATTCATAGTTATGTGGAAAATCAATCAGAAATTTCCCAAACATTCATTGACCTCCCACTCCTATCAATGTTTGGTGATGGTTATAATAGTCACTCGCCTAAATTACCTAGGCGAGTGACTATTTAATTAATTTATCCAGAAAATTAATTTAGGCACTTTGGTGTTAAACTTCGCGTTAAATGCATTTGAGAGCTAGCGAGTGGTTGGGAGGTAGAGGGAGAGAGTCACCATCACACTAGGCTGCAATATAGCTATGAGTCTTGCAGAGCGAGAGAATTAAATTTACAAACTTCAGGTTGCAACTCGGTGAACTATGAGTCCGAAGTGGTAACAACCTAATTGTTACCACGCTAATTGAGTCAATCATAGACTAGATGCTAAGGTTAGAAGCTAGAGTGAACACCACTTTAGGTTATTTAGGCGACTCGGTATACGATCGCCTAAACTAACTGAACCCGATTGATAACTGATTGAAGTCGTGATGACCGCAGCCGGACATAAACTGTATACAGATCTCTAAACTATTACCATTCATATCCTACTAAAATTGAGCACAAATATATTTTTTTATTTTTAAACAATTTCATGACATTATAAAAATCATCATTAATTATTTATAGATAATCAAATTATATTAAGAAATTTAATTAATCATTTTGACATAAAAAATAATATTTCATGTTGCAAAATAAATTTTAAACGAAATTAGAAAAATAAAAACAATCTACACAGTTTTAAAATTATACAAAATTAAATTTATCTTAAGAAATTTATAATTATTTTCATTTAAGAAAAAATAATTATAATATATATATGACATATTTTTTTCATTTCATATGCAAGACTTAAATCATATGCATTTGATAATTTAACCAAAAGTACATAAATGAAATTGTGGCATTGTGCATAATCCAAGATCACTGATCTGTGCAAAATTACACTGTCCAATTACCTAGAAAAATCAAGTAGCAAGAAAAAAATTAATTGAATTATGCCATTCATTCAGAAGATCAAATACTTGTAATTTAATTAATAACATGATTTGTAACTAAAATTTTTGATAGTTTTGCAATTTTTATATTTAAAATCAACATATGAATTTATGAATAAAATGAAGATATCTCTTAAAATTTTTATTTATTTTATATCTAAAATTAAATATTAATTTTCATGTTAAGACTATTTTTAATATAATAAAAAATAAAAAATTAATTTCAAATTATATTGATTATTATAAAATTTTGAAATCAAACCATAAATAATTTGAAAATTTTTTCTGTATTTTAATTCATTTATATGAGGAAATAAATAGTTAAGAATTTAATGCAGTAATATTGGACAGAACATGTAAAATTTAGGATAAATCGTAGATGAAAAAAAGAGCAAAAATTTAAGGTATACAAACATTCAATTGATTTATTTGATAATTCAATTTTTTAAATAATAATGGTTTTTTATTATTTTGTCAATTTAAATAAAAAATATTTCTAGACATTGGTCTATGATTTATAATAAAACAAATGTAACATCTATACATGTATAGTTGGAAAATGGATTTTGTAATTTTGTATTTATGAATGTAAATCATCACATTATCATATTCAAGATACAAAATATGATTGATTTTATTAGAAAAATGACATCATTTGCAAAGTTTTTTAATTCATATTAAAATTTTGGTAGGCTCAAAATCAAATATATGATCAGATTTGTAAATGTTATCATACTTATGAATTATATCATATTGATAAAACATGGTAATTCTCACGACTTTACTTTTGTAGATTATTGGTAGCATCACGCTATAAATTTAGACTTTACTTACAAAAATATAAAAATTATATCAATGTTTAAATAAGAAAAGGGTTGTTAAATTCACCCCGTCGCAAAGTGCACGCTATACCGACGAAAACTTATGAGCAAATGTCTAAATCCAGGTTTGTTTGACTCTCTTAATCTCCCTTGCACTGGTTCAAAATTTGTTTGTTTTACATCAGATGCATTGCTTTTTTTGTATCCAGAGAGAGTGAGCATACGATAAATAAACAAAACCTGTAGAGCTTTAATCTCCCGCTCTCACCGCCAAGTTGGCAAGTATTTTGGGTGGGAGAAGTGATAATAACTTTGCTCAAATTACATTTCGCAGTAAGTGAGAACTTCTGATTCATACTAGTCATTCAAAGTGTATTAGAGTGATAGAATGAATTTAAGAACTCGGGGTGAATTTAACAATCCCCAATAAAAATGATATTTTTTCTTCAAAAGCATGCATAGGTTATGTAATATTAATTGCATATGTTTTTAAACTATTGATCTTGAATGCTAAAACAAAATCAGATTATTTTTTATTTCATTTTTTCTTAAAATTATTTCTACTTTCTAATACAAATAGATTGAATATTTTGAAGAATTCAAGTCTGAAATTTAAGTTATATTGTTATCATGAAAGAAGTTTGAATTGCATTTATGATTGTTAATCAGTATAGATACTAATTTTCTTGTATTCTTGACAAAAATTCAATCGTGCAATTCAAATTGAAATTCAATAATTCAAATTTCAATCATCGATTCATATAATGTTGCATATGTTCAGAAACCATATGCCACAACCTATTAAAATATGTTATCAAAATGTTATCTCATATGTATGGATGTCATATATCTCTATGCCATACTTCTTAAATAAATTTGGTGATGAAGTTTATGACATTATATAAAGTGCTGAAATTCATTAGTTGGTGACTACTGAAGTGACGTGTTTTGATTGAAATCTAAGGTTTAATTTTTCATCATCGGTGTTCAAATCAGTGTGTCATGCTTTTATCATAAACTGCAAATTGTCCATGATAAATGTACATAGCTAATTGATGTGGATTATTAAAGCATGTATCGGTTTTATTTTTGATAATAAAACTTATATTGATCAAATTTTAGTTTGCATAAAAATATATCTAATATAATTTAAAGTCGTGATTTTTCATACTTATGTAGAGGAGGCTTTCTCTATACAACATCTTTCATCACAAAAAATTGAAAAACTCACAATTGATTCATTCGTATTAACATTTTTCTAAACGTTTTGGAATTTTACAATCCCTCCAGAATATTGAGCACAGGAGCTCGCCGAAAAGTTCTATTTTGCTTGAAAAATAAACCAAAAGAACGCAAGACAAGTATACGAAGTCCATTAGTGGCGAATATTTATCCACACGAGCTCGATATAGGGATAGACGAGCGCATCCAGCAATAAACTATAGGAAGGAGAGAGACTCCGAGCTGTTCAGGAGTTTTATGTATTAGACGATTTTATTGATATTTAGAAGATTTTTAAGCATTTATTATGATTAAGAATGGAGCTTTTACCTACACCACCAAAAAATTTAACCATTTCATTATTCTCAATGATGGTGAGGTTATTATCGTGTATGCGACACATGTTTCGACGGAGCAAAAGCCAAAATCATGACTTGTATAAAAGATTGTGCTTAATCTGCACTAAACAACTCAAGAAAGTGTGGGCGTGAAGTACTCTACCAGTTTGAATCATGAGTATAAAAAAGAAAGTCGTAAAAATATCGTCTTGATTATGGAAGAGTAGAGAATCATCAGAGATTGAAAAATGGATAAGATACGAGGCAGGAGCACCAGAAGCATAAAGCTTGGCTTATGCAGCATAAGTCAAGCTTTATGCTTCTGGTATGCTATCAAAGCATAAGTTATGCTTGATACCTTCTCTACTGTTACAAACTTCGAAGCAAGACCTGCGTGTCGAATCATGTGGTGTGACTTGCAAGGTCCCGGATGATTTGGAAGGCATTCACTGCAAGAATGAGGGAATACACTGTTGTGTGTGAAAGGAGATATCCGAGGTGGATGTACGAACGCTCTGGCGGGACATACATTAAATGAAGATTTCAAACTGTAAGAAAAAAGTTCTCGAGCATAATAGAGTCATTGTGCTCTTTTGGTGGTGGAGGCTGTCCTCCCCAAACATTCTTCGTGATTGGGCCAATTGTCAAAAACCTATCACAGACGTTTTTGCGCGTTGCAGACACACCAAATGTCATGAGTTCGTCCAACGCATGAGACTCAGGGATGTTATTCACGTCTACTGCTGTGTTAGTTCCGCAGCACGTAGAATGAGAGAAGCCAGTGACGAGTTGAGAGCGAGTCTGAGATAATTGTAGATGATGCAAAGCAGCTGCTCAAATGTTGAAAAACCTGAAGGAACCAAGTAATGTGGGTGACAAAGTGGGTGATGGATGAGTTAATAGCCATGGACGCATCCATACGATAGGATTCTTAGCTGGAACTAATCATGTAGCACAACATGTGAATATAAATCGAGTGGAGCAGCGCAGTGTGCTGTAGTATGCGATAACCTGAAACGACACAAGAGAGAGAGAGAGTCGAGGAGCTTTTGGACTAAAATGCCCTGGTCAAAATCAACACCCTCAAGATACTTGTAACTTTCTAGCTATCATCGATGAAATATAATAGTAGCATAATTGCATATAATGCGATTATATGCAATTATGAGAGTATAATTGCATCCATTGCATCCAAACATATAAGTTATTTGTTAAGATAGCCAGGAAAATTATATAAAATTATTAACACGACTTCTATATATTCATGATACTATCGAGGTTGGTGTCTTCCTAATTGTTAATCATTTGCCCTTTTTCCAAATTTTTATATATTCGTGGTGAAATGAGCCAAAGTTTGCCATGCGATGCTACGACGTTTGACCTACAGAATATGATGCTTTAAGTATTATGCTATATTTCCCAATGTGGTGCTAACCCATGTTACCCGTGTCCTTTCATCCATGCGTGTACGGCTTGATGAATCTTACCATCTCTTTTGTTGTTTCCTGTGTATTCTACCACGTGCTTTGATAAAGCACAGCTCAGATATTTGAATATAATTTAATGTGAAATGTCGAATCTCACATATAATATCAGAGCTAGGATGTTTACCTGTTTAATCGGGTCGTATTCCGATATTACAGAGCGCTGGTATACTACACAATTGATTGACAGGAACATATGAAGAGAGGTCATGGAGGACAGCAGCAAAATTCTACACTGCGTAGGGCATATGGTCGACACTCGTACTCGGTGTGCTGCTTATCGACATCTCTCAATCATGCACGCAGATTACGTCACCTCCATTCTCCTGAACTGTACGGTGGAATTGGTCAGCTCAGATTCGGAGATAAAACTTTGTCTTGCGTATAGAGCTCTGAATTCCACAGGAGATGCGAAATGAGCGCCGGGAACACGATTTGTTTTTTAGAGCTGGGCAGGAGGAAAAGCTTTTCCTGCTGACAAGTGACGTTGAGTTGCTATTCCGCAACAAAGATGATCAAAAATCGAGCGAATCGGACAAAGATGAGCCCGGAGGATGATGTTGAAAATAAAGTCCTCGACATAACGACCGGCATATATTCTTTTGAGGGCCCACTGTCATCCCAGTGAGGGCTACAATTTGACGCAGGCCGAGCAGTTCATCGACACAACTCAACATCACACTTCACCCATCATTGTTTTTATTTCTGTCCTCCTCTTGGCCCTTCCCCGAAGTTCGTGGGTTTTGCATCTGCCATCCGTCCCGACAGATTCAAGCACACAGCTGACTTGCTCCATGCCCTCTCTATTATTATATCTCCCTCCCATGCGGCTGCTGCTTAAGTGTCCGAAGTTTTACACCAACCGGCACCTCGCTACAGGCTGACGGTGACCAGGTATGTATCAAATCATGATTAGTCTTGAAGTCGTTTCAACAACTACGTTCAATCGGCAGGCATGCTCGGAATCGACCAAGGCCGGTCGAGCTCTCGCTCCCTCACATGCTCTGCTTCAATTCTTCGTGTGCCCCTTCCTCAGCTCTCACCAAACACGTCTGCGACCTTCTTTAGAATGGGGCTCTCCAAATTTGCTGTCTCCCAAGGTAGGTGGGTGGAGGTGGCAAGAGACCCCGTCACATGGGCCAGACCTCACGTGAATCCATGGAGATTAATTAGCACGTGAACTGGAGGAGAGAAGGTCGTGTTGTGTGTACTCGAGAGGCTGCATTTGTGAGTTCATTCCTGGTAGGCGTGTAGGAGTGCACAAGGCCGTGAGTTGAATTTCCCGAGCCGTGATTGACGCGAGGTAGAAGAACATGAGAACTCCAGCTAGGGACGCTGCCTGAAAAGCAAGGAGGGAGGAGGGATGCGGAAATGGAGAGCCCAAGTTGTGAGTGAGTGAGTGGCGACTGGCGGAAGGCAAGAGGAGGAGGAGCTCATTTTGGGGTGGGAACTGTGAGAGTGAAGTTGAGCCACAGCTCGGGGCCTCACGACCGAAAGGATGAATTAGAAATGAAAGGAACAAATTTTGAGGGGACTCTTTGGAATAATTTTTATTCATAAATATGGAATCAAAACTACAGAAGACGTGGTCCGACCCCTCTGGCGACATCTACCTCGAAATTGCAGCGACTGATCATAGCGCTGTGGGCAGTGCACTCTCTAATGATTTCACATCTTTCGACTCCAGAGTGGGAGAGGTGGGAGAAAACTGGTCGTCTCGAGGTGATGAGAGAGAGAGGGTGGAGACGCTCGTCGCATTCAATGACCTTTTCCCGAATTCTTCCTCTGCGACTACAGGACGACTTGCAGACCGCAAGGAAGCAAGTCGTCGAGGCGGTCTGATCTGATCTGCACATTTCGGGAGTAAGGCTGGTTTGTAGAGAGAAGTGAGTCACAATCGCTATCTCCACCTCGTCTTGTCCTTCTCGGGAAATAAAATTGACTTCTTCTTCTTCTCATTCCCATTCTTAATGGCGAGCAAAGGAGGGACGATGGGGATGGGGTTGCTTTGGAGGAACTCTTCGATACTAGCACGGCCATCGCTCACCAGAGTTTTCAGAACCTTCTCGCCGGCATAATCGATGTCGTAGCGAGTGCTCTGGACCAGAGTGTTGTTGACATAGACAGTGGAGAACTTGAACAGATGCTCCGGATGGTAGACCTGAGTGATCCAATCGTCCGAGAACCAGTTGCGGAAGAGAGGAGGGTAGAAGTGCCGGAACACGTCCAGGTGCACGCGCGAGACGAAGCTCTGAGTCAAGAGCAGCCTCGCAGGGTTGCCGAGGTCGCATGGCCCTGTCACTCCGAGCCCCGGGAACACCTTGTTGGACCGCAGCGCGTGCACGAACTTGGTCGTCCAATTGTTGGACACGAACTTCACATCATCGTTCACCTGATAGAAGTAATCGGCGTCGTCGCGATACGCTGCTCGGGCCAGCCGATTCCAGGCCCAGACCGGCTTGCCCCTGGTGCCATTGTAGCGGAAGAACTTGAGCGAGAGCGAGTAGCCTCTCGACAAATCGTCGAACGAATCGCGAATGTAGTCGAGGTTCGTGGTGTTGTCGTAAATAGGATCGTCGAGATCGAAGCCGAAGTAGATGGAGTAGACATACCTTCCCCGAGGCTCGATCGTTTTCAGCAGCGATGGCAAACACACTTGCAGAAACGGCACCTGCGAGACGGATTTCTCCAGCCCGGCGCGCGCAGTGACCAGCAACGCGACGGAGATGTCGGAGCTCGGAAATTTCAGCAACGACATGTTATGAGAGCTGTACACGCCGTGCATCCGCGACGAGGTGCGCGCTAGACTCTCGCCGCCGAGAAACGAGCCGAACCCTCCTCGAAACTGGACGAAGAGCATTTGCACGACAAAGATGAGCGTCAGCACAATGACGCACAGCAGAACGCCTCGCCATCTCCCGGTCACTGATACGCTGCTGGTGCTCGGCCTCTTGAGCTCCATGGCGAATGAATGGCACCTCCTCTCAGTCGCATACGTCACACCATCATCCTTCGAGCCCGCCCCAAACACCCCACCCCACTCCTCGTCATCTTGCCATCCCCAAACGCCGTTCTCCTTACAAACACTAACGCTACCGCTTTCGATAAATGCCACCACGAATCCACTCCGCCTCAGCTCAGCTCAGCTCAACTCAACTCACTCTTCCTGTTCCTCTCGGTGCGTCGCCTTCCCTTCTTCCTTTCATTCACGAGCTCCAACTCTGTCACAGCCGCGCAAGAGATCCATGCCCTCGAGGGTCGTCGACGACCGTCTCCACCTGCACGGCAAGAAACGTGCGAATCCACAGCTGGACTCCCTCCCTTCCAAACCAACCCGCCGCTCGCTGTCGAAATTCGACACAGCCCCGAATCCCCCACTTCCACTTCCACTCGATGTCGAGAGCGCGATGGATTGAGTTCCGCAAGAAGCGACAGACGCACCAAAAGAAGAGACAGACACAGAGAAGAAGTCGAGCTCGAGAAGAGAAGAGAAAAGAGCGAGAGCCACAGGAAAGAACGAGCGCTTCGGAGCTTTCAGGGGTCATGCGGCATGAAGCTTGAAGAAGAAGAAGAAGAAGAAGAAGAAGAGAGATGGCGATGGATGGAGGGAGTGTCGTGTAATTCGAGGGAGGGGCTGGTGGGTCAGTAGTCAGCTCAGTCGATGATTCAGGATTCGGGGCGAACGAGGACAGACAAGGGGGAAGGGGGAGAGAGAGACAGTCACAGAGACTGCGACACTCATTGATAGAGGGGTCTTCGAGCTGCTCCCGATCCGACGGTACATATGAGTACTGACAGACCACCGGATGCAGCCGTGGCCCGCTCCCTCTTAGTACCGCCCAATGGGTTGCCAGGGGACAGGGACCCAGGCCAGCCCCACCTTTCGTGTACCAGTCCGGACTCGAGCCCCAGAATCGGTGATCAGTCAAAGTTAAGGACAGTCTTGTGACCACTTCCACTTGTACTTTAAGTACGTTCTCTTGGATCTCATAATGTGCGCTAAATGTTCTCCTGTCTCCACTTTATTTGAAGGTCTGCTCTGACCTTCTACAGTAAAATCAATAGTATAGTTGTGCTAAAGACAAACAGTTTTTTCTTTTTGGATATCGCCTATAATGGCACATCGTTTGCTCAAATGATCAAATGTTTCTCCTTCTATACACGTTTTGAATATAGATCGTTTGAAAATAAAGTGTTCCTCCTTCTGTAAATGTCATGTACAGATATTATGACGGGGCAATCAAAAGTTGCAAAAGCGAACAAATCTCTAAATTACGGGGATGTGTGAGCATATTAAAGTGCTAAGATAAAGTTCTATATTAAATTCTACAAGATCTCTAAGAAAACATTAGTCAATTTCTCCCTCTTCTTGGATGGAATAATGTGAGAACACCTGCACCCAGTGAAAATATAAAGGAACTACAATGCATGATAACAAGACTATTGCATTCCTCGGCGATATGGATTTATAGCAATGCAGGAATAATACAATACATTATTTCACATGATTTGTACAAACCATGAACTACGGCCTCTATGGATTTTAGTTAGGCCTCCATAGATAGTTGTCGATATGTCCTAAATGTCAATTTCGATGGAAAATAGTTTTCAACCAGCAATTGACGCGTCTCGGTTTCACCTCACTAACTGCGTCATTGCCCCAAGTGCAAAGATGGAGAAGTCATGGAATGTAAAGGTCACGTGGAGCCTTGTTATGTCAAGCTCACATGAATCAATGTTTCTAATTGCATTGAAACTCAGGTTTGTGGAGTGGTGCATAGATCGCAACTTTCTAATGGCCACTTTTGATATGGGATCAGATTGTAAGTGGTCAAGGCACATTCGTCGAAGACGCGAAAGTAAAGAATCGGTTGTTGACTTTACAATCAAGATTTTCACAGGTTCATGTGAGCTTGACATAACAATGTGTTAACAACTCTAGGCTCCAAGAGTATCTTTACCTTTAAGTGCCTACTCCACCGTTATCGACGCTTTACCGCAAACTACATGGAGGGAAGATGATGTACTACAGCAAATTGCTGGACTCCATATAGCTGGCCCCATTTCTCGATTCCTTTCCTCGATTGCTGGTAACTGATCAAATTGTCACTGGTCAATGCTGTTTTCACGAAAACGCGACTGCAAAGAATCTTGTGTTGACTTTGCAACGTCAGAGATTCATTGTGTGATTTGCATAATTGGTTCCGTTATTTCTGGGAGGGGAGGTAGAGAGTAGAGTAGGTTAGGGTGGGGATAAATTACTTACTAGTTGTAGTATTACGTTTTTGTATATGTAGAATAGAATATGCAATTATGCTTTTAAATTTAGTTCATATTGGTTATCCATCTTAACATTATGGAAATAAAATATCATGATGTATGTAATTATTATTTTATATTAATAGTATGGTGTAACCTTCTAATATGGTATTTATAAATGCTTTTATTATGCTAATTTTTTTTATCATTTTCATGAGAAACATGTGACTATGTGTATCATGTGCTTGTCTTATTCCATGTAGTTAAAAATTGAATATTATGAACAAAGAAATGTTTTGTAATGCTAGATTTCATTTGGTTTTTTTTTTGTATTTTGTAAAACTACTTGTGGTACATGTAATATATGCATCATTGTTTGTTTACATGTGCAAGATAAAACATCACAAGCAAAAATGCATAAATAGGAAGAAGATTGATTACATCTACATGTTTTATATGTGAGTAATATAGTATATATGTGATTTTTTAGAAAATTACTGATTTCTTGATCAAAAGTATATAATAATTCAAATTTCAATCATTTTAAAGATAAATTCTTAATTTATTTTTCACATATGCACTTTGTGAATATGATATAAAGAATTCAATAATCATATCAATTCATCATAAGTTAATAGTGGTCTTATTATTATAATTATGTGTCTTAATTTTTTTTGTTGAAAAATAATTAAATAAGAAAATTAATTATCTAAAGAAATGAATATGGTAGTAATAGAATCTCTCAGTATGAATAAATATAAGGAAATAATGTAAAACCAAACTCATAAATTATTATAAATATTTTTATTATACTGCTATCAAAATCCAAACAAATTTATTATTACGTATTTAGTAAAAAACAATTATCATGTTTTAAAGAACCAAATAAGGTTCTAAAATGAGTTTAAAAGTTATGAGTGGTGAATTGTCTGAGACTTGTCATGGTTTAATGAATATAGTGATAGATAAATATATATTTGAAATAGATTGCATTGAAATGTATTTATAAATATGAAAATATTTATAAAATTTGGAAAATTTATATTTATATTTAAATTTATATTATTCAAAGAATCATTGCATTATAAAATATATGGACCATTTTTAGATTTGAAAATAAGTTTAAAAATAATTTGTATCAAAATTTTTTTATGTAATATATGTGAAACAAACTACTAATTCTAATGAACTATTAATAAATTTATAAATAACATTTGTCAATAAAATAAATTTAAACGAAAATTTAAATTTAAAATTCAAATTGAAGTATTCATTGATAGAGATACTTTATCAATTATTTAAAATATTTCTTATTTTAATAATATGAAAAAAATAAATTATAAAACACTATATATAACTGTAATTATAAAATATATTTTTTCAACATTTAATCTATTTATATATACAATTCATAGGTGCTTAATTTTATTTTAAATAAAAATAATTTATTTATTTTAAATTGAAATTATTACATCTCATAAAATTTGTAAGAATCAAATCTTAAATCAATTGAAGCACAAACATCGCAAGACATTGCAATTTTAATATTTAGAATATAAATAATTTGATATTATGTATATGTATATATATATATATATATATATAATTCATGAACAATTTATCATATATTACACAATATACATATGAAGATGATTAATTTATTATAAAAAAAAAGTGATTACGATGAATACAAGAATTTTGAGTTGAAATAAATACAATTTTTCATTGATGAAGCTTCAAATAGTTTTTGTTTTATGTATATTATATTTAAATACAATTAACCTCATAATCAAAAATATTTGCTAAAACGTGATCTTTGTTTGTTTGCATTTATTGCCTTTTTTTCCTACGTGATCCACAATGTTATATCTCCTATCTTTATTAATAGAACTCATACAAGAATCAAATGACTAGATTCAAGTGACAGAAAATCACACCACGAGTCGACACAAAAAGTAACGCGGTTCACACTTCTGAGAACTACATCCGCGACAAAGAAACGCGAAAGAGTGTATTGCTAGTGGTATAAATCCAGCGTACAATCAGAAGTATCTGGGATTAAATATCCACGTCCTGACGACCTTTCCCAGTTATGTTTCGCTAGACCTGAACCATCAATAGTTATCCTATTATTGTAGAATTTAAGCACATATTGTTGCTTGACAAGATCTAAAGCATGATCATTTACATGACTATTATCTTGTTTTCTCAAGACTAATTCAAACTTTGGATTTTTAATAATTTCACACTAATTTCATCATCAACATTACTATAATATCATTGCCTTACCTACAAGGTCATATACAATTTTTGTGATAGATTTTTTTTCAATGACACAACACAACAATTCACAGTATCAAGTTACTTAAAAACTTAATCATAGTTTCAAAATAGTATTAATAATCTGTCATGTGTGAATATGTGAGATTTATGAAAACGTTGTGAAAAACTAAAAATTAAGAAAATTTTGTTTCGTTAGAAATGAACCCGAGAAAAATGCATTTCTGAAACATTTAAGATGTAGTGCTAACAAGAGATGATAGATTACCATCTTACTAAAATGCAACCTTAGCTTGCTTGGTAATTTTATTTATGTTATTTGTCTTCCAAATCATGTACAAATGCAGTCTTGGCAGAGGCATAATACATGCTTCTTACTCTTTACAATAACCTTGAAATCCAATCTTCACAGGTAAGTCACGGAAATGCGATATGCTGAGACTCCAGAAAACAAAGTAAAATAAACCCGAAATCGTAAACTCGAAGGGAAACCGCTCAAAAGAGCATCCAAAATCACCGTTCTATTGAAAACGAAAGCTCAATCTTCAATCTCAGCACGAAACCTGTACAACAGCGAGATGCGTTACGAGAAAGAAACACGCGACCTCCACCACGTCAGAAGATTAATCATCTCGGGAAAGCTAGAAGATATCGAGGGAGGGAGGATTTAGGGTTGGAACGGATGGGCCGGAGGGCAGTGGAGCTGACGGACCGCGGTGGGTCCCTCGACCAGCCGGCGGCCTGGCGAATGGAAGCCAGACGATCAGTGTGCACTCAGCGTGACGGGGTGGCGAAGTCTGCGACCATGAGTCTCGTCGTCGGGAAATTGGCTCCTGTCGCCGAATGTGCGGTACGATTTCCTGTGACATGGTCCAGCGTCACACGACGTCGGAAGCGAAAACCCCCGCCGCCCGATCACACTGTACGACGAGGCGTCGTCGATCTGGATATTCCGCAAAAGATGCTGGCGGGAGGCTCTGTCGCCCTCCTCCTCCTTCTCCTCCTTTCGGCGCACTCGCCGCTTTCTTTTGCCGCTAATTAAACCGCGCCGTCGCCGCCAAATTTTGGCGCGGGCCCCGCGTACTCAGTCAGCCCTCCCGCCATGTCCTCGAGGGTTTCCCACGGCAGCGCTCCACGTCGTCCGTTTGCGCACAGTACCTCCTGCCACACCTCCTCCGATCGCTGACCCATTCGCCCGAATTTGTCACTTTCATTTTCGGTTCATTTTCGGTTATAAACAATCTCATCGGCACCAAATTTCTTGCATTCTACATTTCGCTCCGATTATTTCCACAAGTGTCTTGCATCTCGTCGAGGAGAGAATTGGGAATTATTGTCCCGTTGCGACGCTTCCTTAAAGGAGTGAAATTGCTGATTGTAAGGTGGAGGATAGAACTTACAAAAGTTGCGAAGAATACACATTTGCGTGGATTATGCACGCAATGGCACGTGGTGTGGCAAAGGTGATCAATTCCGTACCACCTAATCCGGGCTACATGGTTCTTGATACTCGGATTCCATCGTTTGTGAAAGCGTTGATGGCATCATGATTAACTAAGCTTGTAAGGAGTGATGGAAATTTGAGGTTATCAATCGTAAGATTAGAGAGATGATCAGCTGTCGGCTTTCTGCTAGATTCTCAGTCCTACCTGCGGCAAGATACGATGTACTTTCCAACATGAACATCGTGTGTTCGAACAAATCTGTTTATCAGAGGTCCTCGTTGAAAATCTCTCGTACATACCTCTCATTTGACTTGAACATGTACCACGAGTACATGCTCCACTCTCCGAGTCCAAGTCGCTCTCATCATCTCCTACGTCACGAGCCTCTGACGTGTACACCGACATCAGGGCTCTTGCAGTCCCCACAGCTCATCCTCGAAGAGTCTTCCTGCTAGTGGGCGCTCGGTGGCGGTTTAGTAAGTGACAATCAGATGCTCAGGAGAAATCGAGTGGAAGTTTCCATGGGAGGTGTTTTTCCCCAACTGAACGCAACCCGAGAACATGCACTAGGATTTAGGGTACAGGAATCAGGGTGCATCCATAAGGCACTGCTTATCACAGGCGCTTTGTTTTTCAGATTCAGGATTGTACCTGACTGGACTGCATGCCAGTACTGACGGTACGGCTCATCTACTCTTCAGGGTTTCCTTTCTCGGTGCGGCGCACGAAAGATCTTCACGTCTCCCACAACTTTCGAAAAGATAATGGAGGATGTCGCAAGAACCAAAAGAGGCTTATGTCGCATCAAATTGAAGACTCAACGGCGAGAGGAGTGGAAATATCGGACAATTCGTGTAAGAAAGGATTAGGCAGTGTTCTGCTCTGCGCTAGGGTCCCACCCGAGCACTTTGAAGGTGCCTCGACCGTCCCTCCTCCCGGCCGGTCGGTCTCGGAGCGGAAAGACCGACAAACACTTCTTGAAGAATGTTTTCTTCCCGGACTCGTGAAATTCACGAAGACCTCGTTCGAATGAATGAATGAATGACGCATACCACCCTGTCTTAAGAGCGATCGGCATATCCTCTAAGCCGACCGTCGTCGCTGAGAAGTAAAACATCAATTTACAAATTTCATGGTACGAGGCACGCTCAATCCAGGAACATCCGTCGATCTATCGACGAAGATGATCAATCCACATGGGACCTGTGGAACTGCAGATTGCGGAGACGAGTCGTGTCGGTGGAGGCGACAAGGAGACTAGATTGAGGACGGTACGATAGATTGATCCTTATCCCGGTGCCCGCGAGAGATTTCTCGCAGCCGAGTGCAACTTGTTGTCGATCGCAACAGGCTGGCCGCCGCAGAGGCGAGAGGGAGAAAACTCGAGAAATCGAGCGCGGCGAACGACGAGGAAGCTTCGCGAAGAGAGTGTCAACTGTCGTCGGATGACATTCAGCGGGCTGGAAAATCTGTTAAGGGAAACTCATTGCCCGTGCTTCGAAATCCAAGTACCACTCCTTCCCTTATCGCCACGTGTAACGATGCGGAACCGTCCGCGATAGCAGTCCCCACTTGCTCCAAGGAACTCCTTACCTGTGATCCCTTGATGAAGGACGGGACCGCCCACTGCACATCCTCATGCTACCCCGTGCATTAACGGGGATCCCAACGAAATTTGGTTGAGTGTGGCCGATTTTCTGCATATTCTGCAGAATATATGGTACTGTACGCTCCTCTCCTCCTCGACCTGCTGCTCCTGCTCACTGCAAGCGCTCGAGTTGGACCAGTCTACAAATTTCTCCAGAGAAAAACGTGTGTCCCAAATCATGACCGTCTCCCAGGAGTACTTCCCGGGCTTTTTCTCAAATTGTACAGGCCGCAGAGGGCACCGACCACCAATGCAGGCTCCGGATCATACGAAGGTACATGCTTTGCGCACCCCTCGTCCGCAGTTTCAAATGAAAGTAGTCAAAAGAAAGTGTGCACATCTCGCACTTTGTGCTTGCTCCTCAAATTTGACTGTAGCCAGTTTGAGATGCTTTGGAAAATTTTGAGATGTTGGACAATGTCCTTCACTTCTACGTTCACACGATCTCTGAGTTAATTCCTTCTTAAGAATAACCGAGTTATCGACATATAATATACAATTATATTCTTAGTGCTTACATTTAAGTGACAATTTATCTTACTTTCTGTACATCATTGTAGTTTGCAATAATCACGAAAAGCTTCAATATTTTTGGGACAAATGATCACTATTAGATGTTAAATACGTATTTTATAACGCTCATATATGAGTTCCAAACTCGTGAGTTGTCGTAGTGTTGTTTGTCTGGTTTTTTTTTACTTACATAATTTCTATTGATGATTCAACATTAATCCTCATGTATCTCTCTGTTAATTGTGAGTCATTTAACGTGAAAATATTAGAGACAGCGGGTAGACAATAGAGGAATATGCAAGAGAAAGTAAAACACGTAGTCTAACTATTGATCCATACTTTATGCTAAGTTCATGTTTATGGTTTCTTTCTCCCCATTATGTAGATAGTCATCAAATCATTTTAATTGTTCAGTGCGTATCTCGATTTTTAAGAGGTCCCTACTTATTGAACATATCTTTTTGTGTCTATTTCATGTGTTGACTACGACCTGTGTGTAGTAAGTTTACAATAAATAAGGGGTAAAGAACTGAACAAACCAGCTACAGCTATTATGGTGTAATTACCCTTTCGATTCCATCCGTGGGCAATTTTTTTGATCTCCTTGTCACTCATTATTTGATACATCTCCACTGCACACTTACTTCGAATTTGTGTCGAAGCAATTCTACACTAGTGTATACATCATTGCACAGTGTAGTCCACGACATTTAATGGTGTATACCCGTGTAGTATACACGAGACAATTGATGCACGAGTATAAAATATGGAACTGTGCGTAGGAGGAATATATTTTTGAAAGTATATCACCTTATGGGATTATAAAACCGATGAAATTTCTCACACATCTTTACGTCGAATTGATCTTTGTCCTTCCTTACTTTCACCCCAAAGTCATTTTTTTTTAACTGGCCGCATGTTGCATTTTACCTCAATGGTTACTTATGTTTACTCCACACCCGCTGCAGGCGAACAATTTCTTGGAAAAGGAAAAAAGATGGCTAACTTCTGGTATACTTCACATGCTATTTTACTCCTATTTTCATTCTACTGCTCTTAACTCTACTATCTCTCAACATAGATGAGGTGAATTTCTCTCCGTAGAAAATCCCACATGTTAGACAACGAACTTTTGAGTTTAGGGTGTCTAAAAGATCACTATTTGCATCCAAGGACTCAATACAGAGTACACCGGTAAGAGAAGAAGTATCCAACTCGCTGACCGTTTCACTATATATATACTCGTGCATCTTGGGAATATGACCGTCTTTCACCAACTCGTCACAACTTAGTGTAATAAATAGCCGGATGACAAGGCTCAATATTCATGCCGTAGCAACTTGTGTGCAGTTCATCACGCTCTATTTGGCAAACTTGAGCAAAGTCCAATACCTCTGTATCATCTTTCTCTTGCGAACCTGTATTTTAGAAAGAGGAATAGAATCTGAACGGGGACAAACGCGCCCAAACTGAATCAGATTGCTGATTTGTCCTCACTTTCGAAAACAATATGTTAAAAATGTTGCTACTCCTTCGATCTGCACGATCAACACAAACAACGATGGCTGTCTTAGAATCCACGTGCGAAAGTTAAAAGTGCTGTTTGGTCCCTGGGAGTGCGTGCACCACGATACGGATAAGAGCCTCTTTTGGTATTAATCATGATTTGTTCAGGACCAGATATGTTCTTCCTTGTCCTATTAGTTTTTAGAATAAGACTGTAGTACGGTCCATGTCTAGAAGTTTAAGATCGCAAACAGCTACTGGCAGCAGTAGTGGTGTACACCAAGACTTCTTGAAAACCCTATTGACTTTGGAATAAGAGCTCCTTTGGTTGGATTCCGAACATCATGGATGCAGACTGAGCAGGCATACCAAAAACGTAACAATGCGTGTTGTTGACAAACCTTGTCATGTACAAATTTTCCGCCGTATCCACAACTACACGATCTCCAGCAACTATAAAAGAGGGTGCCTGTAAGACGAAGGAGAACTGTGAGTGTACACAACAGGCCTCTCATGAAGTTTCAAGAGGCATATGCACTGGAGAACAAGCAATAAGTACAGGGTCACCTAGCAGTCAGTACTTCCATGTACATATTAGGTTCCCAATATTAAGGGAATGTCAGTCATTCCCAGTTCTGTCTATGTCCTGCCTCTCAAGGTACAAGGCAGAGAGCAGCAGAACTTACCATCAGCTGTTGCCCGTTGTCTAGTACAATTTTTTTGTATCTGTACAGCATGGTCACATACTTAGTTTTGCATAAGACCAAGTTGAAAGAAGTCATCAAATTGATCAACTTGAGAAACTTGACATTGAGCGAAGGTAACGATAATCTTGTCTAGGCTAGAAGAGACATAAGCCTGGTACGCACTGTGGTGTTGCTGCTTGGCCCTTGAAAAAGGGCTCGGCTTCAACAACAGTGCACGTCACACGATCTGGTACTGTTGCGGACATAGGCTTTCCATCGAAGTACTGTACTTTGACCTCCATCCCATCTGCTTAAGAAACACACACCCTTCTGCGTTCAACTTCAAAAATTTGCAGGATAATATTCAATAAGAAAGAAAAGAGCCGAGAGCCAATCACATCGCCAGGACATTGGTCCAAAAGCACCCGATTATTCATCCAAGAAACCTGACGATTTCACTTGCCAAACGTACCTGTAAGATACGCAGCTGCTGGCCCAAAAAATGCTTTGGGAACCTCTAGTTGCTCGAAAGTGTTAGGCCTACATGACAAAAACGTATACACGAAGTCGTTCGTCAGAAGTGTTTATATTGAGGAATAGTGGTTAACTGTACAATTCAGGTGTATAGTTCCTCTCCGACTAAAAAGTATTAGTATCGGCACTCAAAGTCTAAAAGAACAAGCAATATGAACAAAGCAAAGCATTGCGATGACGCAATCAATCCTTTCAAAGCAGATGGAAGTGATCCTGCGCAACAAAAGTTGAGGACAATGAAACCTACTCCATCAAATTTATTGTATCACCTTCTTCGTACAAGAAAGTGTACACCCTGTCATCGACAAAAACCTCTGAACATTCATACAAACAAGGAGTACTTTAGAAAGGCTCCGACACGAAATGCATGTCACTCTGAGCAACCAAGTTGGATAGTCTCATTATCACACGCAGGTCCGCTGTTCAGATCAAAGGCTCCTCGATCGACTGCCTCACATCACAAGCTTCAATAAGTCTACTTCACACCATACACAACATCTGCCTGCCAAAAACTGAAGACCACTGTCCACCGTGCTGGTTCTCTTACCATAGAATAAATACAAATGCGTCATAACAATCTTTACAACAGAACGAAACCGTTCAGACTCCGACCAGATCTACCTCCCCGACTTACTTTCGATAGCCTCTCCAGTGCGGAGTCTTTCGGTGGATTTCAGGCCACTTTGAACATCTCGAAGCTCAACCTGGTTCCAAGAGAAGTAATAAGTAAAAAAAACTAACCGTGTGAAGAGAGAACTTCTGTAACGCTCTCTCTTCACACTGTAAAGCTTTGAAACCACAAGCACCCTGTCTTCCATATTTTCGTGACCTCAGTGGATGACCGAGTTCACAATGGGAGCCGCACGCACTTCGTGCACCCTTAGAGCGAAGATCCTTAGCACATTTAGGAGATAATCTTCTTGATGCTGCGTACAGAACATGAGATTGCTACAGCCAACACTTTGTACCTGGATTGTTGCTCCTCCTCGTCCTTGTTGAGTGTGTTGCGTCTTCAAGACCTGAAGCCAGAACAATCCTAGCCATTATCTACAATTACAGGCTTCACGGCTCAATGATGATAATTTCCTGATTAGCAGCAAATTGAGAAAGCGAGCCTTAGATTGATGCAAGTTCGTGACGAAACGTAATCAGAGGGTAGCCCAAACTAAAAGTAGGCCTTTCAATAGATATGTCCATGGAGTAGATTTTGAACAACATAAGTCAAGAAAGAATCACTCATGATCCAACAAAGAGAACTTCAGATCTTCTTCGATGTGATTGATATGCTGATAACTGAGCGACTTTACAAAAACAGCTACAACTCCTATTAGAATCATAAGCAATGAAAATATGACAAATGTCTCACCTGGGTTATGCGCCCTGCCTTGCCAACAAAAGCATCAACATAGTAGCAGATCGAGTACCGTGCACACTGTCAGTCTCGGTGACGTCAAGATGCAAGGCTCAAGGAACTTTTATACCATATAAGAGATATCTATTGCTCTTGTATAGTGAATACTTATACTTATATAACTTCAACTGCATGTTCCTGGCCGATCTGACGTTTCAAAATGATAAAGATTAAAACGTTGACCTTTCCGCATGATTATGAAGCCACTTTTCACCTGCAAACACCAAAACGCCAGAACTCAAAACGTCGGCTTAACTACATCTTATGAGCTGGCAGCACGGGCCACAGAGCTCACACCATCCGACCAAAAACTGATTCCAGCCAAGGCTACAATACCAGGAACCAGAAGAACTTGTTCAATGGAAAAGACAAGTCATATGTTATGTGTTACAAACTTACAACAATGTATGCTTTCAGAAACTTAAATTTTTTACCTCTGACCTCTCGATGGATTATATCATGAACTAAGTCAGATTCGAAAATAAACCTGAGAGTATGGCGAGAGTAGAGGGTTCTGCGTTGCCCCGTAGTCATCTCCCAGTGTATGCCAGCAAGTTCCGGTGGGGAAGGGACGGGCGGGGGGTTGGGTAGGGGAGGAATTAGGAGTTGGGATTTCTGAGACATGGGTCCTCAGACATGCACACCTCATAGAAGTGACAAATATTTCTCGAGTATAAACAATTTCGAGTGTACTTTTAACAGAAATATTGAGTGATATTATATATCATCAAAATCTAGACAAACCTTATTTCTTTTTATAAGTCTATAAGACTGCACACACTACAATACGTAACATCATATCTATGATCATAATATTTGCTTTAAGGATTATAACGAGGTTGTGAGAAAAAAGCAGAAAAAAATGTGGGGCGAGAGTGACCTAAGAGGAGTAATATATATTACAAGGTTCAAGCCTCCTTAACACCAGAATGGTCCCGTCCGACTCTCCACATGCAACTTGATAAGCTCATGACCAGGGAAGAACTTCTAAGAACACGTTGTAGAAACTAGCATGCCGCACTGATCAAGGCTGGACAATAAATCTTTGCAACTGCAATCCCAGCCGGCCGTCGCAGGACCACGAGAAAAGCAAACACAATACCCAGAAGTGACAGAGCTAAGTCCTACACCAAATGCAAGAGTTCATGGGGACAGATGTCTTCAGCTAGTAACACTTTTACTTGTGATTTTATCAATTTACATATCACAGTGATGCATTTGATTACATTTCAACTGAGCAAACTTTGATGAATTAAGACGGTACGTTCTTCGATGGGCGTTCTCTCCAAAGCCAAGGATCAGAACGAGCCTGTTTACTAAAACTTGAGACGGAAAGATAAATTACTTAGAAGTTTCGAGTGGAGATAGTCCCCACGGCCCCGGACAAATTGCAGTCAACGGAATTCTTTTATGACTTAAGCGAATCTCCTCGTAACTTTCATGTATCGCCAGTTGTGCAAGCGAAATTTTGCAAGTTTACTTTGAGGATAATTAACTTTGTCAAAATGAGCTCAAGCACATCTAACTCACATGTGACAGGAGATGCAATAACGAAAACGGGAGCAAACAACTCATCCAACAAATCAAATTCGATCCACTCTTACATTGGATTAAATAAGATTTGATAAACGGGTCGTTTGCTCCGGTGCAGCATTGCACAGTCCACGAGCCTCGACTGGAAAGCGAGAAAAAGCATAATCACCTCCGATCCATTGATTTTAGCTCCGCGCGAGTGACGAAGCACCGAAAATCTTCCACGATCTCCACCGACCAGTTTCAAAGACCCATCCCACAGAAACGCTTGCGGCTTCGCAAGTCCCCGACCTTCGACACAATCGGGCCCGCTCCAGCTCCAGAACGACCGCGAAGCAGCACAACCAGCAGCACTCGCGGACTGCGCAGAGCTAGGAACGCTCTCCAAATCCGCCGTGACGGCTCTCCACATGCGCCGCACCAGCCGCCAATTCCTGTGCGCCTCTCTCATTTCGAAATCCTGCCGCTCCACACTCAACTCTCCCAAGACAAATCGATCGGCCTCGACATCTGCACACGCGGCTCCCTCCCTCCTTCACTCCCCTCCTTATCCCGCGGCAGCACGAGCTCTACAAGACGATCCGCGGCGCTATGCTTCCCTCAAATCGAACTCCTTCCCCGGCCCTTGGCACGGGTACCGTTTTCTGAGCAAGGGCGAGCATCGTTGTGTATTTTCGGCCTCCGTGCTTTTGTCCGAATCGCAAGGGCGCGATTAGCTACGACTGTCAGTGAATGCGATTCATGCCATGGAATCCATTTAGTGACAACGAGGCGACAATTCATTTGCCGAGGCAAGGAAGGAGCCAAGGGACCCTCATATCTCCTTTCCTGACAAGTATTGAACCATAGCTTCCACTCGAGCACTTAGTGGAAGGAATGATTTTGTTTTGACCATGGAATAAAGTACTCGCAGAAGGTCACGATGTTACCGATTTTTGGATTTTGTATCAGATGTCGAAATCTGTGAGTACTGTAAGCTCAAAAAGGCTCCGTTTGTGGAGAGGTTGGAGCCTAATTAGACTCTAATTAGGTTGTGTTGTACTCGACCCATTTCGACCCAAGTCCAGAGAATCTGCACCTTGGAACTCATGTATTGCTGATGTGGGCAAGCCAGAAAAATTCCGAAAATCGAGTCCGTTTAGACCGAAATTATCGACTGGCACAAATGGCTTCCTTCTCTTTAACAAAATTTTTAGGGTCCTAACAAAGTTTAATCTATGCCTTTTGATGTTCAAAGATTCGCTGAACTTTCACGATCAGAAGCGCGGGTTGCCATCGAAAAATCTTTTGAGCATTTGTTCGATTACCCTTACATCGACTGATACGAACGGATTCGATCGTATTTACTGATTTACACTATCCAGAGGTATATATATTCATATATATACACTAATTTTGATTTATTTCTTGGTACGTAAACCGGCCTATGTATTCCATTACGGCAAATGATACCGCATCTCTGAAGGCCATAAGCACAATGTCTATTCTAACTATTAACAAGTATGTTTCCTCATGATTATACACAAGAAACATGTCTGCTACAGTTCTTCATATTAGTATATCAGTTTGATATGCGGTTTTTATACGGGAAGAAATACTCGCTTATGGTATTCTCTTCAGTTTGAAAAACAGCTCTCTCTCAAAAGCTTGCTATATAAAAATTTAGGTGAATCAGATTTAACATAGATATGTGTCTAAAATGTGACAGGCTGACTTTCATCAACACCGATAGATGAAGCAATACCGATAATTTGTTTCAGAATTCTACCCTACTTTGTCATTAAATTTTTTCAAGGTTTCCATGTCTTTATTAGTGTATGTAACACCCGTAAGTATTAAGTCTACATCAAATGTTGTCAAATTGTTGAAATTTTTCCTTGATTTATGGATATAAAAAAACATGTGATTTACACAAGTAGAATATAAAATCCGATAATTAGTTTTAATGAACAAACGCTTCTCCAAACAATTCTCTACAAAATTATGTTTAAAATCCAGTAATCTCGTCCGAAAATGTTGTGCTATGTCAATCATATTCTTAGGGAAAAACTTACTAAGTGAAATACTTTGATCAACTTACGACCAGTTTGGCAAGAGTCTCATTTGATAATTTACAAGAATATAGCTCGTTCGTTATGTTTGGTCCGTAGGTTTGTCATATTGAAGTAATCTTGTATTGTCACTCTATGTTCAGGATAACTATAATGCATCCGAGTCTGAATATTTGATATGGAAAGAATGTTTGGTATTACTTTGGAATAACTTGGTTCAAGACATATCTGTGAGATGACTAGGTTACCTCATTTGCCAGCCATGCGGAGGATAGAAGGAGACTGGAGTCATTAAAACAAAATGTCTTCAAAGATTGATGTTTGTAATAAATATCACAATTGGTCATTCAGGCATATAATTAATTTTGACATGTCAGTGAGAATATATTTTACAAGAAACATTGATATCAATCTACTCAACTTAAATAATGTATATTTTATTTTTTTTAAATGAACACCAGCTCTTGCTACACATAATAGCGAAAACTGATGTTGTTGGATCACTTTAGTCTAATTGGTAAACAATTTAAGCCAGATAGTTCGAATAGGCAGGCTATGGAGGGGCATGTTGACTTGTCGAGGTTGGCCCTTGCATCTTTTAATGGGGTCGTTGGGGTCTTCCCATCTTTGTTGTTATTATACTTTATGCCCGCTACGGGGACATGTCAGTAAATGTTGAGTTGCCATTGGCAGCCGCTCGTAGCTGAAACCTTTGTCCTCTGTACGGCGTAGCTGAACCCAGGCTAGCTTGACCGCAGTTAGTTGAGTTGAGTGAGGTGCTCCGGAATCTCGACGCAGTCCCAGGACCAGTGCAAGCGAATTCGATGAGAGTGGGACCTGGAGCCAAGGCCCGAGCAGGAATCTGAATTGCTGCAGAGAGCCGAGCGCTGCGGAGATGGTGGTAGAGGAGTCGGAGAGGGAATTGGAGTAGTGAAATGTGCTGGTTTTTATGTGCTAGAGCGCGGTCGTGGGCGACGGCTGCGATGTTCGTGTGACTGGAAGGCGAGTAGAGGGAGACACCGGTTGCTTCCAATGGCTTCGTTTTCCTCTCTGAGATCGGAAGTCTTCACGCGGGAGCATAAGCGGCAGTATGTCAGCTCGAAATCTCAGTGTTGTCCTCTGTGCTTTCGATTGGAGGGGTCTCGGGTTTCATCAGCTCAGCTCAAATGATTTCATGGGGTTTCTTCCTGTTGGTGCACGAGTTTTGTGAGTCCTTTCTTCCGCATCAGGGTTTAGTTTATCGCAGAGGGGGATTTTTTTTCTTTCAAATATTACATTCTCGATCTTTTTTTCTGCAGGCACTATGGGTCTTACATTAAGGGTCTCAGCGCCTATGACAGACACAAGAAGTTCATGGATGATTACGGTGAATCCGACAGAACCATTCGTTGTGTTTTTAATTGTAATTCGTCACAACATTGACTAAGAGCATCTTTAACAAACCCTGATTGTCATCTGATTATCGCTTGCAAAATACTCGATGAAAAGTTGTTAGTTTGTGAAGCCAAGGAGCACTCGTGTGTGTTCGTCGTAATGCTGCGAACACCACTTTTTTTGTGTGAATTCCAGTGTGCACATGTTTAGAGCACCCAGTACCTGGTGCGGATGGAATGTCTGCAATTTGGCTAGGATTAGTTTTTTGATAGATCATGGTTTTTTATGGGTTCACGGAGGGCTTGAAAGCCAGTAGATTAGCAGTCATCTGCTGTCCCAAGGCCTCCAAAAGAAGAAATAGGGGTGTGGAACAGTTCTCTGTCGATAGCTTTTTGCTGAGGGCTACACATGTCCCGACATCAGTGCTAGCCATGTTCGCTTTGATTTTGACTCATTTTAGCTCTCTTCAACATTAGAAGGCATGCTTGCTCTTGGAACTTGTCTGTAAGGAGGTTGATAGTCTCAGTTGTAATTATCTCTCATCTGGTATGCTTCCATGTACTCAAGCCTTGTTGATTTGTACGGCAGTGCATCTTTACCCCGGAAGCACGTCCAGTGTTCCCAGCGTACCCGTCAAAACGGACATGGATACCCTGCGAGAAACCTACAGGTTAGTAGTTGTTAATTCTTATTGTCCATCATAAGCCCCTTGCATGTTACTTCGGGTATTGAGGTTGATGTATTACTTCACATAACTCTAGCGCACTACGGAAAGCTGACGATTGCAAACTTCTGTAAGTTGCTTCTTCCGGTAGTCATTTCTTGAACGCCAATAACAGAAGGCGAGACATGCTACATTCGTCGTCTCCTACAGGTTCATACGCACGGACGAGGATGATGCCGAAAGAACATGGGAGCAACGTCTAGCGAAGCGCTATTATGACAAGCTCTTCAAGGAGTATCCCCATCAGCACGTGAATTTTCCATAAAAGTCTCAAACACGAACGGCAACGATTTCTACTATGAAATTTTATTCGCTTTCCAGTTTTCCAGTATCGTCCAGTCCAATAATCCAGCATCTTTTTGCATTTGCAGCCTGTGTAGCATAGAAAGAGTTCGGACTTCGTCCATTAGTAACTGTTTGCCTCAGTGCCTGTCTTCTTCCTTGAGTGTTTACAAATTTATCAGCTAATCCTTAATTCGGAGTAGATATTGCATCGCCGACATGTCCCACTACAAAGACAGCAAGGTATATACTCACTTCTTAAATCACTCTTTCGTCCATATCTGACTGGCCAGAGATGCTACAAAATTCACAAGATCAGCGTTATTAACCCTTTCATATGATGTTCAAAACGCCTGTGACTTTGTCAGTAAGTATGATCATCTGGAAGTGAGATTCGGGTTTGAATTGGAAGCAGCTCCAAATTTGTTGCCGTAAATATGTCTCTCATAGTAGGTAGGAGCTTTCCCTTGGTGTTTTTCGACTTGATTCATAGAAGAGATCATTGAATGAAGTCGGGTCTTGTCGATACCACAGCAAACCTTCAGAGAGGAGGTAGTGAGATTTGTGAGAACAACAGAACATGTATTAAAACTTATGCCCATGTTCAAATCCAATCAGACTCCTTGCCAATGCATCTGACAGCTTAATGGGGAAAGCATGGATCCACATAGATCAGGTCTGTGTTCGCATCTGAGCAGGGGCTTCTTCAAGAACGAACATGAAAAATTGTTTAGATGCTGTACTTTCGTTCCGTACTCCGGTATTGAAGTGTGAAGTATTAAGGCATTGTCAACTGAGTATCTTTTTCACGAGGATACTTGAAAGCCATTCTAATTACTGCACTGTCATTTTCAATATTGTGGACATATTTACAACGTGTAGGAAACACAACTAGACATAAGTTTCCCTTTCGAAAGGATTGGGTTCTCGTAAGTTCGCCTTCATGTCTGACGTACATCTACTTGTGACGTAAAAACTGTGTAAATATTTGTCAGTTACAAATAGGCTTGACTATGTCCCTCCTTTGTGATGGACACTTATGGGACCCCCTTCAAAGCTCTCTCCTGACGTCACACATGCAAAGCAAGTTGCATGTAGGCACGTTGTCTCTTGTTACACTGATGAGTTCTCTTTGTTTCAGCCACTCCTCAAGAACCTTGATAGATAGTAAAAATGTTTTTAGGTTTCAATATGAACTCTGCACTGGTAGGCCTCCTGCGACAGTAAGGTCAAAGCTCGTCTATTCTGCTTTTGATACTTCTGCCTGGATTAGTTCCGTGATTTCTTCGCGCCCTACTTTATGTACGTTTTGAGCAACCTGAAGACTATCTGAATGTATTTCACCAGCACGGGTGTGTAGCCCTTGGATTCATTCTAATCTGGTGTAAGGAAAATCAATTCAATATATGTCTTGCCGTCACATCTTCATTCTTTAGATACACCATGATGTGTTTACTTGCATGAATTCAATGTTTACCATACTGACCGATTTGTTTGGGCCTCAGATCGGGTTCCGATGGCGCACGGAGAAAGAAGTCGTTGGTGGAAAAGGTGACCGATAAACTGGTGTGGGTTTACGTTTGCGTTTGATGGTTGCCTGTGTTTGGTTTTTCCTTTGTGTTTGTGCTGGCATCGCGTTGTGGGAAGCTGCTAGACTGAAGAACATTTTGTAAACTCTTCACAACGCTTGATGGTTGTAATTAGTTGTAATTGACTTAAACCCCGGTGATGGGCAAGTGTTTTTGGTGAAAGATTCATACAAGATCGTCGGTTGAGTCATTGGTGACATAGTAGTTTCTGTCTAGCAACTCAATTCGAGATTTGGTTGTGCAGGTCAGTTCATATGTGGAAATAGGAAGTGCACTGAGAAAGAAGGGCTGAGCAGCTATGAGGCATGTCTGCCTGACCTACTGAAAGAATACTGGTCAACAAGAACATAGTTTGATTCACCCTCTTCATCACAAGCTCAAGTCCTAGATACCCTTTTGATCGTCGAAATGTGACTGCATCTGCCATTTTAGTCAGAGTGGGATTATCAAGATGTCGTTTGAAGATATGCGCGAGCTGCATGAGAAATTTTTGTTGACAGAATGCACCCTTCAAAAGTTATCATAGGTCATTCCTTCGTTACATCCTGATCTGTGGAAACCACTCATTGCATACTAGTAAATTCCTGAGCCTCATCTGCTTTCAAAATCTTCCGATTTGCTTCGGTTCTGTGCGAGTCTCGTCCTAATCGCTCATCATGGCTGCTGGACTCAGTAGTATATATACAAATGGTTGCATAATCCTCTGGATGCTAGAAGTGCAACTACTGCTTGTCTCGTTCACTTGTTCTCTTGCTGATGTTATGCATCGACGTTCTTGTGCATTATCTGTACTGGTTGGGGGCGTGGGGCAGGTCAACTTTTCATATAACGAATCCGGTGAAAACAGACAGGCGCTGGTGAAATTGAGGGTTTGTCCCAGGTGAGCTCATATAAGTGCTTATGCAGGTTTCATGTTGGTAGTGGATTGTGAGGGCCGCTCTGACTCCCCTGACGTGAAGAGGCTCCATAATCTCCTTCAAGTACTAGTCAGGTCCAAGGGTACTGTGCAAACAAAGCTTTACTTTGTTCCGTATAGTGTGGGAGTTGAATGTGGACAACTGCTTCCTGACATGCGACAGGTGCGCCTACAAGCTGAAGTACAGAAAAGAGAAGGAACTTGCAAGCCAGTTGCGCGAAGAGAAGAGAAAGGCCCGCAAGAGGCAAAGGTTTGTGATTGTGAATTTGTGCACTTGTGAGTCTTGTCGCGTGCAGCAAAGTTTTCATTGCACGGATGTTGGGAAAGCAGTACCTCCGACGTTCAGATCAGACCTCCTGCGAACTATATGGTCCAAATTTGATGGGATCACCAATGAGTGAGTCCATCATATTGATGAGCTCTCTCCAATGTTCCAACTGCAGGAAGGAGAAGCTAGAACGTCGGTCAAAAAGGCGACATACGTCAAGAGACACCGATGAGGATGATAGCGACGAGGACAGCAGCAGCAGCAGTGATGACTCCGAGTCTCACCACTCCAGTGAACACACGACAAAAAAATCAAGAGGTAGATCATTGTGGTTGACTTACCCGTCAGTGGCTTACGTTGCTGCGCGCTCCTTTAGTAGTATTGTCTGGTCTGACTGTTTTGTGCGCACGCCACATGTACAGGAGTTCCATCCACCTCAAGTACCATAGGAGCCTCCCAACAGCCCGGGCGCAATGATGAGTTTGATCAGTACTTCGAAGGCATGTTTTTGTAAAAAGCTGGCGACGGTGAATAGTTACTTGTAGGAGGCAGGAACGAGTAACTTTGTGATAATTTTTCAGCACTGCCTTTTAAGACTGAAATATAGAACATACGACCGAAGTTATTTATAGATCAGATCAACAAAGTAGCCTCCACATGGCATGAGGAAATTCAGGAAGCATTGTTCCAAGGGTTTGTACCAAGTTCTGAAGGCCAAGCCTTTTTTTAATTCAACACGCAAATGTTACCATAACTCGCAGTGTCACGTTGCCACTTTACACCCTCGAACTCTTTTGGCCAAGTGAACCTGGTCTGCTCAAGGTACTGTTTCGGAAGTTCTAAAAAACCGAAACTACAACTTGTGATTCGCCTTCCTGACACAATGCATTATTTACCTCCTCCGTAACTTTAGCGGCGTACGTTCTTCTAGCAGTCAAGAAGCTGGAGGTCACACACTAATCTTGTGGAGGGTCTTACTTTTAGCCCCCGATACCAATGTTCAGTGCCGAGTACAAAGCGAGACTCTGGTAGCGATCGTACCGCAAAGTTTTCCGCTGTCATTGAACCTAAAAGCTGGGTAAGTTCACCGACCGGACCATCAGAGTCCACCAGAACTGACATGTCGCAGAGGTATCTGCTCGTGTCATGCTGGTGTGAAACTGAAGTTAGCAAGCCCAAATCGTCGATTGAGCACCCCAAGCTTTCCTTAGTGAAGGTATTATGTCTTAAAAGATATGGAACGATACCTCGTACTGAACTTGATTGCAGACGTTTTATCTCTCATGGAAAGCCCGCGGAGTCCGGAACTGACGAACCGGACGTGGACAGGATACCAAGCGGTGGATGCGGTTGTTGCAATTCAGTTATTGACTTCGAGGCAGTGGGCCATATAGAAGCGGTCAGCAACCCTTGTACTGAATTTAAAGGCCAAATCATGCAACTCACATTTCTTTGTTCTGATAAGGAAAACCTGTCATTTGCAGCCCATCTCCCGGTCTTGGCGCTGCACCTTTGCCTGTGTGCTTCACAGCTACTGTACCATCTGCTTCGATCTTCCTCCAAACGCACAAAAGCTGAAGAAAGCTTCACCGGCAGCAGTAGATCTTCTGCCATCATTCATTCAATGATCATGTTCATATTGCAGCGATTATCGTCTCCAGTCAATATGTTTTATTCTCTGCTTGATGGATTCAGAAAGAGCCAAAGTCGAGACCGTGAGCAATCCTGTAAAGTTTTCCGAGAGTTCAGTTTGGAATGTCACTTGAACTGCTCGTGCCTGGACTGGATGTGCCTTGGAGGTTTCATCCCTGTTAGACTTGATGGGATCTTCCCATTTTTTTTGGTTTGTTGGTGGGATTTTCCTAATTTGGAGGTAAGCCAGTCAAGTGATGCATGATTTAGGATCAGGTAAGAAGGGATAAGTTGCCTCAAATGAATAACCCCTTTTAGTCAGAAGTACGCATGCTTAGAGTGGCACCACTAACCTCTTTTCCTAGTTCGATTCTAACGTACACATATTCGATTGGGTGAACAGATGCAAAGATCAACACAAGATTCCATGGAAGGAACCCGTTTAGCTGTGAACGGGCAAAGAGGCTTCGTTGAGAATATCTGAGAGAGAATAATTGAACCCGAAACAGCTCTTGGAGATTCACCTTATCCGGCACGATGTACTCCAAATTAAATGAATCAGTTACAGTAATTTGCAGTGTATTTGGTAAGTACACCCACTAGATTCAGCACTCCGTGTCTCCTGTTCCATGCTAATTCAATCAAATGTCCCTCTTCTCACCCAAAATATCCTCCTACTGATGAAGCTCTATTTGACCTTCAAACTCAGTCAGTCACGACCCTTCATCTTCAAGATATCAAAACTTACACTGCCACAATATATTAAAATAGTCATCAAGTACTGGAAAACATAGATAGACAGAATATTCCTCTCCATTTGCTATCTAGATTTACCGAAGTAGGTATGTGGGAGAATATTCCATGGGCTTGCTTTCCCAATACAACCTCGTTTTCATGTGCAAGTTCCTCGTGTCCTTGTCTTCAGCTTTGAATCTCTTTCGAGTTTTATTTCTCTCGGTTCGTAGTACACTGCTGAAGCAGCATTCAACTTCTACGATTGCTGATTTCCATTCTTGAATCCAAGTATTCATCCAAGTATGACCAGATGCCACCTGACCTGATCAAGCAGAACTTGTAGCCTCCGAAGGTCTCCTCTGTTTCCTCCAAACATTGGCAGAATAATCGGAATATAAACAATTAGTATCTGCTCATTGTGAGTGTTGGATCGATGGGTACCAGTTCTCCAGTTCTCTTTTTCTTAATGTAAGTCTCAGTAGGATTGATTCTCGGAGCGGCAGCGAAGGAATCTCACGTGAGCAATCTCATTAAGTGCACCAACTTAAGAATCTGCAGAGAATTCGTTTTGTCCTTTCATAAGCAGTGACTTAAGTCGATCATTGAAACCCGTTCAAATATTTAACCATCACGATTCAGGCCCAGACATAGTCCACCATTCACAAACTTCCGCATTACAGTAGTACAGCTAATTAACAAGTCCAGAGCACCGAGAATGCCTTAAACAGATTGTCGTTAGGATAAGTTCGACAAGATGCTCTCCAACATGTTCACAGTATCTCAGAATATATTTTAAATTTCTCTTCCTACTGAAACTTACAAAACTAAACTAAACCCTAAACTAGGACTACAGGAGGTTACTTACTGTACTTAAGCATCTTCTGTAATGCCAAGTCAAGGGTAGTGACTAATAATATGCTCTGGAAATCACTCAACATCATCATCTCAGTCTAAATGATGCGTTCGTTGTACACCTCTTCTACTAGTGGCTGCCACATAAACCATGAGTGATATGTACTAAAATTCTGCAAGTAAACCTCCTTGGTTGTGTTAACTTATCTATGGATGACTCATACTAACTGCATGGGCAAATTATGTCATCGACACCACTGCAACTCCAGATTGAACAGGGTGTGCATAATAAGTTACCGAATAAATTATCGTTAGCTCTACAAATAGCCAGGAAGATTTTATCGCGCCTCGAATCAATCTTGCCGTGGAGTCTATTTCAGCAGTACATCACAAATTGTCACAGCCTTCTCATTAGGCACTGACTAAGATAGTGGACAATTATTTAAATGCACTGGAAATGTCACAATTTTCTCGTTAGGCACTCACAATGACCAGTGGCATATTATTAAAACTTACCTACATCATTCGGTACTTTGACTAAGCAGCAGGGATCCGTGGGTTTTGTCATGCACAAGCAGCTTATGTCACATCTGCAATTTGCAGTAACCACAAATGACGAAGAGAAATTGATGGCTACTCACGTGCATATTTAAGCATCTATGAGCTCATCTCACTGCCACAGGAGCAGCTCCATGTACATTTCTGCAGTCTTTTGTACAGCTAGTTTCTTTACCGGCTTTACCCGATCAAATGCCCACTACTATCTCTTCTTAACACAGGATTTGATGAGGGAGGAGTTCTACATTGGAAACTCTCCTCAATTTGCATGATTCTCTTTTGTATATAAGTTCGCTACAGAACTTCTGCAAATTAAAATTTTCACAACCCTATAAACGGAAATTTCCAGTGCTTATCTGGTCAGAAAATTACAGTACTCAGGGAAAGCAAACTCTTATTATGCAATTGGTGTTACAAAATCACACCTATCTCTTTGATATGCTTCTATAGAGCAAACCACATCATAACCCAAACTCCAGTGCAGGTAGTTCACAGCTACTAAAGCTTTGACACAAAACCATGTGAAGATATGCTTGCACACAGTGTCTTCCCATCCAGCCATGTTTGATAGCGGAAAGGGGGCCAAGTGTATAGCAAAATCGATGAACATGTTAAAAAATATGTTGAACGATGCTTATTGAGTTTTACAACTCTGTAAGGTGCATTTATGGGACTTGGGATAACTTTCAAAAGGAGAAGTTGTACCCAGGTAATGATTTCGAGGGAAATGTAATGAAACCAATAAATACACCTTGACCTTACTCAATAGATAATCATCGTACGGATTCAGTTTACTTTTCCAGGTCCGCAGAATACTCTTTTTGGACTAGAACCTTCCCTCGCATTAACGTGTTCAAGAGGGGAGAGAAAAAAATACAAATGTTAACCTTTTGTTGCCACTGCAATGTAGTTTACGCATTCTTTGAGACATAAAATTATCGGGTTAAGACGTAACCCCTGGTAAACCCAAAACAACATGTTTCATTTTACGGGATCGGACCATCTACGACCTTGAACCACCACAGTTAGTGGTGTTCCAGTATTATCTGGGGTAATTTCGAGTAGAAAGATGAAATCACGGTTCGGACTCATGGTGCCCGTCGTTTTTTTTAACATGGCCGCGAAGGAGTCGCCAAAATACTCTCGCCCGACAGTGGCATTCACTCTCCACTCTATAGAACAAATCAGTAGGTTATAAGAACATAGCTGATGGTGTCCGTCGAATGAGGTCCCATCCGCTAAATTGAAACCTGTTGGGTCACTTCAAGTAATTTCCTCAAGAATGCAAGGGCATTAACCTACGTTGCAACATTGAAAAATATAGCCGGTTACGTTATAACTGGCTATATTTTACAATGTTGCTTAATATTGGACTCTGGATATATTAAGGGAGCGGCTAGTCTAATTATTCCGCACCCTAGGCTAATGTTCCTATGGTGTGCATTATTTTTCCCCCTTTTCCTTGTCCCGCGGAGGTTATACATCGAGAGATATAGCCTCCGTCCGGTACTGGTATCGACTCTATCACAGAGATATCTGTGAGTATAGAAGGGTGAAGAATGATTAGACTAAAGTGAGGATCATTAGCTCTTCCCTGTATCAATATAAACATGAAAAGCTCTTGTTCCCAAATTCCAACCTGCAACCTCCCTCCAGCTTTTCTCGGCGACATTGTATTCTAGCTCCGGGGATTTCGCTTTTACGCCTTGTACTCCCTGGCGTGAGCCGAAACCAGCCTCCTCTTGAGAAAGAACACCTTGCCTTCTGACGAGATGGCCGAGTAGATGAAATCCACACACCCACGCGAGAAATGCGATGGAATTTCCCCCGTCCTCCCAAGACCCACTCACCGAACCGTACACGAGAATTTGCACATCGTTCGTGAAGTAACAAGCAGCTATGACCTAACGAGATGAGAACTGTAAACGAAATGATGAATCATGTACAGGTTCACTCGGTCTATGGTTTGGTGATAACGTGTTTCAGGAGAAATGTACTTGATGGGACCCCTACGGCGGGTCACCGTCAATTATGTTATTGTAACTGCTTTGTTTCCACTTCAATGAAAAAAAGGAATTCTTCTCTAAGTTAAATTAAAGTTAAATTCTTCCCTTCCCAGGGCTCCCAATCTTCATATGCAAGAGCCCAATTTCTCACGCACCAAAATGATTTTACAGTTGTAATGTATGGGCGTAATCTACTTACTCTTTACTTGTTTTTCTAAAACTTTTGGCCGATAATTATTTATTTTGGTCCGTGAAGTATTTTGGGAGAAGTCACTTTTCAATAAAGAGACCCAGGGCTTTTCCTAACCCGGACTCAAAGCAATTACAAGAACTTGTAATAGAACATAGGTGACGGTGTATTGAACTGCCGTCAGAAGGTCCCATAGGGTAAAATACAACGAACGGGGTCCCATCAAGTAATTGACTCGCTTTCCGAGCGCGAATGGAGTACGTTTTGACCTTCTATGTGATAATACTCCGTCTCGATGAAAGGACCATAGCACACATTTCTCTTTCATGACCTATCATACTGCTTCCACGTTAATTTAGAACATAAAATGCTAAGGACCATCCATGGTATATTTTCTATTATTGAATGTTACGTTTTTTTTTTATTCAGTAAGTCCCCATAGACGATCAATGAAATTTTATATGATTAATTTACAGCAGAATAAGAAAATTATTAAAGATATACCCTAATCCTTATCCGTGATTACTTTCTCATGGAGAATACATGATATTGAATGAAGCCATTTTTGGGCCTGGACACTTTTCGCTCCAGGTTGGACTCTGGGAACAATAGCTTTTCATGCTCCGAGGCAATCTGCGAACTGAATTACGAGATTGTCATACACAATATCGAAAATTTATTAGATTCCAGAAGAAAGCGCTATGTGCTTAACGTAAAAGCTGCTTGCCTTTTTATCCTGTCTCATGGCCATACATGCAAACATGTGATAATATTTGTTCAAGCGTGATGACAAAAAAGGAAAAGTGGTGAGCTTCATATAATGATGATGGTGTGAAATATATTTTTCATCAGCTGTCGTGATTTATTCTCTTCTGTATATCCTTAACCTTGTCCCTGCTGTCATTAGGATGGCTGGTACTTGGCTACTCTGGTACAAAAAATCGTTAACTGTACATTTCTCTTGTTCGACCTTCAATTTGTGGTCAAATTTATTGACCGTTCCTCGAGCCTACTAAACAACGATTGTAGAAGTGCTTGCCTATGACGTCTCGTCTCTTCACGTTCTGTATGAGGTAGAATGCTAAGAAGATTTAAATTGATATGGAATGATTGTCTATATCATTTGATGTTTGCAATTGTAAAAGTAAGAAGGAAACACAATGTGGTCTCTTGCGACTTATTTCACAATGTAAAGTACATTAGAATTCATATATATCGTGGTATATTTTTCTACTTGTTTGAAAAAGCATGACTTGGAGATTCAGTATAAGCGAAAAAATTAAATTTTTATTTTTTTTTTGTCTTCAGAAATAAATTTAATTTATAGTCTAAAAATGTGATGTAGATCATTTTTGAAGATAGTATGAATAGCTAGATAGGATATATAGTGTGGTAGATGAACATAGTTAGATTGAAGATATATTTTACAAGCATATTTTTATTATTTTCAAAATACTTGAAAATGTTTACTGTGGAAATTAATTAAAAAATAATCTAATTCTGGTTCCTTTTGGAGATAGTAAACATATTTTCACATCTTCATGAGAATCCTTTGAAACAAATGAAAAAAATAAACTCAAAAAGCGATCAAACCATTATCTTCTTATAACATGATCTTACATTTTATCTTTACAAACGAGCAAGCACAGTAGTTTCTCCCTGTTTATAATAAAGATATTCAGTAAAATTATTTTAAGTGAATGAGCGTTTTCTTTTTCAATTATTGCATTCATTGATTTCATAGGATATGTTATTTGAAAATCAAAAAATTTGAACATATATGGAAATTAAATAATAAGTTACTATTAAATCCCTCATGAAATTTGATCCGATAACTGATATCATGCGGTTTTCTAAACCTTGCCAATACTGCTTCACTCTATAAGAGGATTCGAATGGAACAAAATGCAAAATGGATATTTGAAAATTACAATCCAAGACCACTCGCGTTAATATTGGATTATGGAGGGAAACTTATGATGCGTGCTTTTGTTGGATGAAGTAATCTATCCTTCGAGTGAGCCTGAATCCAGCAAAAGCTCTAGTGAGTCCAACTTCCTTGATAGTGATCACGTGGACCCTCCCCTTCCCGGAAAGAGAGGTATCAAATGTCGAGGGGGACTAGATTATGAAGGCTCGAGCGGGACAAAATAAATTAGAGAAATATTAGATTATTCATCAAGCCATACTACGACGATGGAAAGCCAATGGTAACGCGGGTCTAGCCCCAAATAACATCGAGGAAGAAAATCTGCTTAACCACATATAAGATGCGCAGATCATGTAAGTGTGTGATAGATCTCTTACAAATTACAAGAGAATGTAATTCAAAGTATTAATTCACACTCAAAAAGGCACATGTTCATTTGGTGATTATTCTAGTCCTGAGTAAATTAACGGAGCCCCCGTCATGGTTACCCAGGCATGTCCAAGATAGGAAAATGCACCAAAATCGATGCTTAAGTAATCATGAAGCAAGGAGGAAGGCGACACTCGAGAGGAGGAGATTCAAGCGAAACGAGGACGGAGCGGCCGGAAATCTTATCCTCACAGATCAGGACCACCATTAAGTACCAATATCGATCCTCCTTCCGAGCCATTACATCAAACGAAACGACCTGCGGGGCGGCCGAAACTTCCAGATCCCATCGTCCGGCCGGAGATCATTAGCGCGGGACGAGCAGGTGGAGTAGGCCCGTAGTCTCGCGGGTCCAGAAGGATAAGTCTCGGGTCTTCTCAGCGAGTCCTCCCGCTCCCCCTTGTCGTCAAATGCGGTCTTTGGCGGCGGAGTCCGAGCCGAGCCGAGCCGAGCTGGCCGGCCGTCCCTTCCACGGGCGACCTCATCATTCCGCCTGTGCTCAAGGCTCGTCCCACAAAGGGAGGGTACAGGAACAGTCGTCGAGTCCCGAGGATTAAATTAAGTTAACCCAAAGCAGAGAGATGCTATATTAAGTTAGAATCCGAGTCTCGTCTGCCTGCCCAGGAGGAATTATCAGCTTTTCCCGTGCGACCTGATACCGAATAAAGAAGCAATTTTCTGCATGCTTCGAAGGCTCGAGGCCAGGTCCCGTCCCGGCCCCGAGGGACGACCGTTGTTGCCTAGCACACGTGAGGGTGAGGGCATAATCTGATCGACTCGGGTTCACTTCAAAGTCCGGGCGCGGAGAGCGACGGCGATATTTAATTTGAGCCGCGTCGGCGCGCCAAGCCAGCCGAGTCGATGGACGGACGGCGGTCGACGTCTCGCGACGTAGCACGTGAAAGGCGTCGGACGGTGCACTCGCCTGCGCCCCTGCCTCGTCCGCAGGCCGAGCGGTGGCTCGCGAGCACGACGGCTCGCTTTTCTATCCGAATCGCGAGGCCAGGACGATGTAGAGCTTGCGGGCTCTGCAAGAGACATGTCCATGTGCAGCGGTTATGTAAAGCATATGACAGAAGCTTCGTTCTGAACGGGGTCGGGGTCGGGGTCGAGGAGGGCGCGTTTTATATGGTTTTTCGTCTCCGATGGGGTCGTCGAGCGCGAGTATTCCCGCTGAAAAGGCCCACCTCTGTAGGGGCCGCGAAATATCACTGCGACGGATGTTCGCCGATAACCATATCGGCGTATCGGAGCAAAAAAGGGAGGGACCCTTTCCTATCCGGCTTCGACGATTAGATTCCTCCATATCTGATGCTCAGCGAATCACCTGAACGTGGTACTAGCTGCTGCTCTCCTACTCAAATTCATGAATTCCCTTTCTTGTGTTTAATCATGAATTTGAGACGGAGAGCAGCAGCAAGTATCACGTTCAGGTGAAACACAAGAAAGGGATTGGAAAAGATAAGAACTGTCGATCCATCTCGTATAAAAATTTGAACTTCGATGCTCATGTTTTAATCAGTGCAAAGTCCAAAGTGAATCAAGGAAAAAGATCGGCCGGGCATGTCGTGTTGTGGTGCAGTAAGAGTTTACGCAACTCCCTCCTTGACATATTGGACTCTAGTCGGTGTCCAAATGCCTGGACAAGCCTTTCCGGTTATTATTGGAACTGAATCATGTTGTACATGGGAGTGCCGGGCCTTTCGCAGCATGGGGGCCGGATAATGAGGGGAAAAGAAGGATGCAGGTCTCATCAAGAGTTTTGCAAAACATTGATTCCATGAGTGCGAACGCTTGCGTCCAAGAAAATATCACGGACAGCCTCGAGGAACAAAGGCATGACGTACGAGTAGACCGCAAAGAGAAAGCAAACGGAAAAAGAATCTAGAAACAAATAGTCTGTAAAGACATTCATGTTTTACATAAAAGGCCTTCATTTCCCAGTCAATAATTTCCTCGATTCAATGGTGAACCCGACAGTCGGATGGCAATACAATCGGACACTAGACCACTGTCGTGACGGAGTGAACCATACTAAAACCACAGAGCGGAGTACGTACTCGACTCCCAGCAGGACTTTCTTCACCTTAAAAACCTTTAGGGTACCAGTACAGGAATCGTGCTCAGAGCTGCGAACCGGCCCGCCGTACTGTAGATACCTCAGGCTCGGAGAGTTACTTTCCTTGCCGCCATGGCCAACATCCTTAAAGAAGGCAGAGCAGGTTCACCTCGTCCCTTGGGACTCGACCTCCTCCGACTTCGCGTAGATTTGATTGTCTGCGTACGCATTGATCCGTTCGTCCCCACGATGTCACCTGTACGCGACAGCATGCGCTGAAAATCCCCACATTACTTACGGAAACCGTTTCTGACCAGAGTGCTGAGAATCATAACTCGGTATCCCATTATTCCCGATCTCCCCGTCGGTTTTCGGAAACAGGTCACCTTACGAAACCACTATTTTCCTGAACCAGTGCGAGTCGCTCGCCCCAACGAGCGCCCCCATTAGACGAAGGTCTCGAATTATGAACAAGATCAGGCGAGAGAAAGAACGGACATGCAATGCCGTTCCCAAAGGAATGGGAAAGACCTCGATCGACGTGGAGAGCATGAGAAGACGAGAGCCATGGCCAGAGCCACTAAAGAGCACGAGTCAAATATTGAAGGCAAGTCTTCGTAAGTCAGCATTCGTGATTCCACCTGCCTCGTACATTTTGCTTCGTATGGATCGAGGTCGTCCCCAACATAATACAAATCACTGGTGCTGCATAATAGATCGGTCATTGGCCTCGTCGAGAAATTACTGACTCCGGTTTTGTAGAAAAGGAACGTCAACCTCCATCCACAGCAATCACTTCAGCCTATGCTCCTTGGAATGCTCAATGATATGTAGACCGTCGATCTCGACTACTAGCATAGTGTATGAAATATTTAGCATCTAGCCCATCCGTTTAAGATTTGATGGAGTTTTCCCCCGAAAAATTGCTACATCCGTAAAATTGTTCCGTCCACACATGCAACAAGTGGGATATGGAATAACAGGATAAACTGTTTTCTTTACAATTGGGCCCCACTTTAGTCCCGAAACTTAAGAACACTGCTCGTCACATGATATCGGAAAGAAAGATGAATGTTGTCAAACATGACTTGAAAGTGAACTTAGAAAATTGACTTAGAAGAGTGAAATGTTTCCCGGTGTTAGTCTTTCCTGAGACTTTCCTTGAAAACGTTCTCATGCTTGATGCCTAAAGTGCTCAGGTCGATTTCAGATACTGAATGATGTTGGGGTGTGAAACTTTAACCACTAAAATCTTGACAACATTCTCCATCCCTTCTAATCTTCAAGCTCCGATCTGTCTTATCAGAAATAAATTACTTTGAACCGCGATGGATACCGGATAAAGTATGGATCCACCAGATCATACCCTGATGTATGTGAAAGGAAATGCGTAAGACCCAATAGCATCATAGTGGTGAATATATACATCCTTTATGGACATAAGGCAATCAAAAGACAAATGTCACATAGACTCTCATATGAACTTACACAGTTTTAATGAACTGGAGCCGCTGATCTAATTCGCGCTGCGTCTTATTGACTAGGCATCACATACGAAACCGTGTAATAACAACATGCGCTTGGACAGGCGTACCAGATCTCCTTTTCAATCAACTCCTCTCAAATCATGCAGAGACAGATGGGCAGTCACAATCTCGGTTCCGGCAAGAAACCCTCAACTATTTACTGGCAGCAGACTCGAGAGCGCTCGGATGAAACCTGTAACGATGGGACAGCGAAACCACTTTGACTACGGTGATTTTCTCTTCAATATATCTCAAAGCTCTTGTAGCATTAGGTGAAGAGACACGCATAATTTAATTGTACTTTCGGTCACCAGAATCAGTGACTCTGCATAATGGTCTAACGAAGGAAATAACTCCAGCAGCCAGGATTCATGTCAAAGATAGGCAGAGAGTGAGTGGACGAACATAATGTTTGGGACAGTTTAAAAGCTGAAAAAGCGTCAAACGCAGGGTGGAGACGTAGACCGTGGTTAGGTTAACCGGTAACCATGCACGCCGCGATCTCTGCTGCATACTGCACCAGACGTCTTCGGATCGCTGCTGTATACAGGAACACACCGCCCAGGCCGGTAATCGTATCCTGCAAGCGGTTCCGGGCGCTCTGTCAGGATCCAGGGGGTGCGCATTGAGTACACTGGCACACTCTCCAGTCATGAGCCGTGTCTTATCTGATCGACTCGGGACTGACCATCGATCTCGCCATGAAGGATACTGACCGTACGATCGAGACGATGTCATCTCTACTGTACATTCCCTGGTACATGACATTCGGTTGTTGTTGGTTGGCATTTCCCGCAGTGACCACTTTTAGCACGCTGATACAGCCAAATTAAAAGGACGACATGCGGAGCATCTCGATTACATTCTTCGGGTTGACAGAAGTATTAATTGGATTTCAGTCCTCTGCATCATTACCGTAGCTCTGCATGGTGGCAACCCTGACCGCTGACTGCTGTACATTCTCTGACCCAAACGACGATGAACGGAGGTTTGCAGCCGAAATGATGCGGGCCTGGTCTCGGTCCGCTCGGCTCGTTTGAATTCACGGTATAATATTTCCGTTACAAATGAAGTATCCAGTGTTTATACTGGAGACTGTTGTAATCCTAAATTACAGTTACCTTTGAGGTGAAATTAATGTATATACTCTAATCAAGTGGTCTTTCGTACTTGATAAATTGGAACGTGGGTGAGAATTCTCCCGACTTAATGTACGCAGACCGCATCAGAGATTCCTAAGTTGTGATTAGCTACTAGCTAGATAGATAACTAGAGAATTCAAAGCAGCTTAATATGCTATTGACGGTCAAATTACCTTCATTACGTTACCGGTAAGAATTTTTTAACGATATTAAAGACCTTTCGTGAGAGTGTCATCCAGGAAAAACTGCATGGCAAATGGGAAGGGGTATAGTTCTTAAAAAGATAATTCCTAAAACCTAAACAATTTTCTAAATATATGTTCCATACGACCACCCGAATTTTTTTAAGGATTTGATACATATGTATATAAATATATTAAAAGATTCAAATTTTTTTTAAAAATATTAATTTATTTCGAATTTTGATTAAATTGGTTAAGTTCGTGAAATCACTCATTGATCAATTTACTATTCATTCATGTTTCTTTTCTTTATTTGATTAAATTTTGATATAATTTCAGATTTTTTCCTCAAATATATTTCATTTATAGATATAAATATTTAAAATTTTGTTTTAGAAATAATACATAACATCCAGCCAAGATTAAAAAAAAAAGGGTTATAATTATAAAGCTGACTTTTTTGAACGAAGTGACTGAATGACTTGAAATCTCTGATCTCAGGTAGACAAAATGTAAGTCCAATCCTCACAATTTGAAAAGACTTCAGATTATTTTTTAGTGCATATCCAAAAAGATATGGGCCAGAATGGTGAAAATATTGGAAAACACTTAGTTCATATCTATTTATTGATTATCGAATCAAACTTTCTTGGGATAATTGGACAAGAGAACCAGAGAGAGAGGTTCGAGACGGTAAGGTCAGAACCATTCAACAAGCATTGATACTAGTGAATATAAATTTCAAGGTGGAAAGATCTTGAGTTTCAAAGGAATCATCAATGTCCCATCATCCATGGTAAATGGTAAATGGTAAATAGATCAAGCCCGTGGGACCCAAAGGGTCAAAAGGCTAAAAAACACAATACAAACAATCCAACTCCAAACTAGGAGAGAACCAAAAGAACCCCCTAGCTAGTGCCCAAAGCACTAGAACGGTAACTAATAATATCTCTAATGTAACAACCTAAATCATAAGGCTCGAGTTGAAGCAGAGAAAAGAAATTCTCGACATCAACTTTATGCGCCACTCGAATCTCTATATATCTAGTACAAGTAATAAACACATGCTCTTCATCCTCAACATTTCTCCCATCACATAGCCTACAAATCCGTTCACTCCTATCAATATTCAACCAACGTCCTTCCTCAATTCCAAGCCTATGAGATCCTGTTCTATGCCTGGCAATAATATGACGTAAAGATGTAGCAATCTCTGCAACAAGGTACCCTTGCTCACAATAAATAAGCATAGGATTCACATGAAGTTGATAAAACTGCATTTTAGTGCCTACTCTCCTCCAAATGATGTTGAGAAACTCCTCCTTAATACGCTCGCGAAGGGCCATAGGTTGCAGATCCCAATCCAAATCCGTCACATTCCACCTCAAAGACCAAGTCATCACATCTGCAAACCATCCCTTGGAACGTGTGGCACGCAAAGCATGAAGAGGAAGTCGAGAAGCATCAAGAGATCTCACCCTTCTAATATAAGTGATGGTCAAGTAGAGAGCTTCAGCCTCAAGAGGTAGACAACCGGTTTCCGCAAGAAGAATAGCATAAGGAGTTTGGTTCCTTACACCTAACTCTTCTTGTAAGAAGATCTTTTGCACCCTTTCCACACGCTCCCAACTTGTCTTCTTACTGCCAGGACCCCACACTTGTGTCCCATATAGAACCACCGGCAACACTAAACTCCTAAATAAAAATTTCCTAAGACTCCAAGATACTAGATGGGCTCTTCTACATCGATTTAACAATGAATATAGAGCTTTGTAACCAGCTTCTACTCTCTTTTGTACACAAAGTGCCCAACTATAATTCTGAGAAAAATCAATGCCTAAATATTTGTAACTCTTCACTTGTTCCAATTCTAGTCCCTTGTAAAAGAAAGAGAACTTGGATCTAGTGCCCACAAGAATGATCTTTGATTTTTCCAGATTGACCTCCATCTGATTTCGAGTACAAAAGCTAGCCAAAGTATCAAGGTGTTTCTGTAAACTAATTGCATCACGTGCTAGTAATATGATATCATCTGCGTACAAAAGAGCTTTGATCACAAAGTCTCCAAGTTTGACTCCTTCACTCTCACAATCATCCAACCACCTTTCTATATCATCTATGAATATTCCGAATAGAGTAGGAGAGAGAGGACAACCTTGAATAACTCCAATGGTGCTCGAGATCTCTTGAGGCTGAGAGGCATCAATCTTAGCTCGAACTGAAGTGTATAAAGTGGCCACAGCTCCGAGTAGATTAGCCGGTACTCCAATGTCTTGTAGTCTTTCCCATAAAAGCTTTCGAGGAACAGTATCAAAAGCTTTCTTCAAATCGATGAAGGCACAAAATAAAGCTTTCCCATTGCCCTTGGATTTCTCCCATAAAACACGTAAGGCCAAAATATGGTCAATAGTGTTGTATGTAGGACGAAAACCGGCTTGGGCCTTTGCTCTCTTCTGAAAATCCTCTGTCCATGTGCTCAACTTCGATTCTACCAACTTCCCAAACAACTTGGCAAAAACACTACCAACCATGATGGTGCGATAGTTTGTCACCACGTTCTTCCTTCCTGATTTATGAATAGGAACAATCTTCCGCATGGACCAAGTTGATGGAAAACCGTGAACCATAGCATCTTCCAAAAGCTTAGTGAGAACCGGTCCAATACAATCTCCTCCCCACTTGATAAGTTCAATGGACAAGCCATCTAAATCCTCACATTTGCCATTTGCTAATTTTCGGAGAATAGTCATCACCTCTCCTTCCGAAAATAATCCAGGTGTTGCTTCGCAATATGGCATAGATGTGGCTTCTGGAAAGAAATAGAGCTTTTCGGCAAAAGCTACCAAAGACTCGGAATCAAGAGAAGGTTTTGACGATGGTGTAGCTAATCAATGTTACTATCCACTAGCTAATCAATGTTACTATCCATCAATGTTACTATCCACTAGTAGTGGATAGTAACAAATTCATATCTCTCTAGTTACGTCATCCACATAGTTCCTAGAGAGATTTTCGAAATTGGTCACTAGCACATGCAATCCATTTTTAAATCATATTGGATTCTATAGTATTTCAAACTATTATTATCATACATCGTGAAAATCAAGCTGTCCAAATTTTATCACCCAGCCAACAACCATAGCCATCAGGACATTCCATCCACGGACGGAGAAGCGGGGCCGGCCATGTGTCCAGCCGTGAGGACTGTACCGTTGGCTCGTACAGCAGAGAACAGAGAAAACTGTAGGTCTGCCCGGTCAAAGACGACCAACCTAATGGTTGGAGACTGGACATGCGCTCCTATATCGAGGACGACAGCTTTGTAGAAGACCCCGGGCTCGAAAGCATAAGCTGCACAAGGTAGCATCTTTGGCAAGCTCACCATCCTTAGAAGAACGCAGCAGGCCTCCAAACCGCCCATCGCCCGTCTTACAGCAACTCTGAGTCAGGACAAGAACTCTACCGCGCCGCAGGAACAGCCTGGTTCCTCGGGCTACGGTCACCTCCTCGTCCTTGTCTCGGGATCTTTTCCTTCTCGTCATCAGGACAGCAGTGATTTCGACAGTGCAACTCTTCCTCATGGTAACTACAATCTCGTTTATTCTGCACGAATTTCCCTCGAGGTTGGGCAGGATACGGGTATGATTACTGACCTAAACCTCAGGATCAGTTCTTTTTTAAGACGGCTAATCAACTACAGGTCCTGAGGTGACAGACAGTTGCCGAGCAGAAGACATCATGCCTCAAAGTTTGATGCCTTAACACTTGTTACTGGCGCTGTTCTTTGCGAAGATGACACATTTGTTGATGATGATTTTCCTCGAAGAAATCTGGCCAATAAGGTCAGTAATTGACCAGTGCGAAAGTAAGCTTATCCTAACCACTGAAGAGCCACTGTCAAGCAAAAGCGTTTTGGCTTGTTTAGAGGTTTATTTGAACATGTGGAGAGAGCTTAGTGTGTGGATTGTGCTGTACTGTGCGCCATGAGCAATCATTTCCCGGAAGCGGTCTTGATGAAGGTTTGTAACGGTTGGAGAGTTCTCATGGTTATACTAAGTTTATGGTGTGAGCGACTCGTTTTTGAGCTCTCCTTCTAATGAGGTGGGAGGATTCGGTCGGTGACCTTTGGGAGCCACATTCCCATGAAAACGAAAGAGTTTCTTCCCATTGGTAAGTACGTCCCACCCGCCTTTCGACCTTCAAACCTACTCATAGAAAGGAATGTTACGCGTACTATCTTCAAAATCGAAGACCGCATTGTTTCCCGTCTTTGGATCCTTATTGCATTTTCTTGCTTGCTTTAATTTCTGTGATGTATTGTTTTCCCTGTTCTCTGATTACATGGATATTAGATCCAGAAAAGAATACGAGCGTTTCTACACATATGGATGTTTGGCACAGTATGTGGTATTCACAGCATATCCTTTCGAGTATAAGGATGACATTCAGACATACTGGCCTTTTGGAGACCACATTTTCATAATGAACCCTCCTTTCCGTTCAGGCATGTTGCCACTCTATCCTGCTGCTCGTCATTTCAATCCAGTCAGGTAGCGCAATAAAGCGCGGCCGAGCAGCTTTCCTCTATCTCAATGTAAGCGAATAATACTCGAGTACACAATCTTGGTTGATTTTCTGGCCCGTTCTAGAGTTGAATTGCTAGGGATGTGTGAAACATTTTTCTTTATATTCTTGGGAGGATAGGACAGCGAAGTCTAAAATGCTTGCAGCTTTAAATTGAGCGGTTTCTGGGCTTGTTAAACTACCGAAGCATTTCTTGGAAAGGCTTGCGTGAAACCAAGTTTGATTGACGATTCGCATGTTGTTGAGTCAGCTGTGAAGTTCTTCTTAACAAATCAGCTTCGAGTCAAGGTCCCTTCTTGGATCTGCATCTTGTACGTTCAGTCCCCTAAAGCTAAGGAAGGGAAACCGAGTTTTAGGGTACCGATCAGGCAATCATTCATACATTCAAGTTTCCATGGGCGCCGAGTCAGTATAAAAGAAAAAAGCATAAAAAACTACCCAGCTTTAATCCTAGACCTTGAAGATGTCCCTTTCCATCAGATTTACAATGTACACAACCGAGCAAAAGCAAATATATTGAGACATCGACCTATCTTCTTTCTTTATCCCCGACTTCGAATCTAGTAAAATCTAGTTTAAAGGATAATGAACATCCTGTAGTGGGCAATTTGCGACTCGTGAGAGCAATCTGACAACGATAACGTCATGTCGTGGACGGTGCTCCAAATGGCGATACATTCGACAACATGTCCAGTGAACAACTGCAGCATCTAGCAGCAGATTCACGAGCGAGAACAAAATGGGAGCATTGAGAACGAAATATCTAAAGGCTTCTTCAGGGAGATCGCCGAAAATGCGTCGTAGAGACAACGTGTCAGGAAGGATGGTACTGTCAGCCCGTGTAAGCAACAAACTATCGCAGGAAGTTACGGTATAGTTGTGGTTTGCAGCGGTGACCTGGCTGCCACGCAGATCCAGCACTGCACGTACTAACTGACGTGGAGTGGAAGTTGCAGTGCTATCTAACCGTACAGTAGTCACAGGGAGGAGGATACAAGGCCAAAATTAGCCACCTAGGAGAAGTCTCCGCGGGAAACTCTGAGACTGGTTTTCCGGGATGGCCAGCTCCTTTTGCTCTGATGATGTGGCACTTCGATTCAGACATGGACGTTGCAGAAGGCTCCACCGAAGGCCGGAAGAGAACAGTTATGCCACGTCGGACAAGCGACGTAGTGGGCTCCAACCCGAACGTGCAGTCTTGCCACGAAGGACGTATGCAGACTGCCCAAACGTCGGCCTGGCGGGAACCCCTGCCAGCCGGTCCTCCGATATACGAAATTCCCATGTACTATTCTACGTCTATGGTACCGATTTTATCATCCCTTTGAGTCACTCTTCATGCCCAATTATTTCTCCCCGAACTTCCATTATTCGATGTATACAATAATCCATATACTCAACGTGAAAACCCTGATCGATGTACAATGTGGTGTATCAATTTGATGATTAAGATAGGGATTCTGGATCAGAAGCTAGACTATTCGGGAACCTTGCCAATGGCTTAGTATTCCCAGGTGAGTCTCGAGCACAGTAATATCTGAAAAAAGTAGAAAATATAATAAATAAATGAGTCTCGTGAAGGTTGAGGGGCTCAGGCAGCAGGAATCTGTAATCGGGTGTTAAGACCTGTACCGGCCATCCCACACAGAAGAGGGAGCTGCTCTCGCTTTTCCACCAGCGCGACGGGAAACTGTCAACTGCCGTCGATATTATAGGACCATGTATTCTGTCCAAGTCATCATCAAGGCATGGCGATGACAGCGCGAACCTGGTGGACCGGCTGCCCCCGTTCGCGATTCGTCTCTCACTCAACGGCCAGCTTCCGAAGCATCTCCCACAAAGAGCATCAGTCAGGTCTAGCTCGGGTCCTTGTAACAGTCCTCGCCCGCCGGGATGGATCCCTCATTGGCGACCGGATAGAGGCAAGAGCCTCGACCTGATACCGGATCGAGCAGTCCATCCAGTCAGGCCCTGTTTCTCCCCGTGGTGGGGCCTCTCTGCCACCGGAGGCAAATAAAGTCGGGTTCGATTCTCTCTTTTTGTCTTCATCCGCCTATTCCTTCTTTTTATCCCATCTTCTTCCAGTCACCGGCTTCCTTCGCCGTTTTACTCCGTATGTGCACCTCATTCCTCGACGGTACATACACCTTCGGTACTGTACTCTAACGGATTTGCCGAGCGGCCCGAGCCGAGGAGGAGCGGCGTAAATACAACCGTATTTCACCACGGGCGAGTATACGTGGGGGGGTTTATGCTGCGGACTTGGCGAGTTACCGGTGCCGCCAACGCCCGCCCGGTGGAAGGAAAGGAAGGAAGGCGGGGCCGCGGGGAGCGGCGGAGGAGGAGGCGAAGAGTTGCGGTGGGGCAGAGCAGCGCGGCGCAAGAAAGGAGCGTGTCTGGAGGAGAGGGACGAGAGAGTTTGGTGGCAGACAAGAAGGAGAGAGGCTCCGAGGACGACGATGAGTGCGGCCAAAGGCGATGGCGATGGCGATAAATCATGGCCTCCGGACGAGCGAGAGCATCGCCAAATACCGGCGAAGGGAAGAAGAAGATGGAGTACAGGAGGAGGAGGAGGAGGAGGAGTTATGGAAGGAGGAGTGCGAGAGGGGTCGTCATCATCAGGCTGTCTGTTCCGGAGGAGGCGAGTGGTCTGGCGTCTGGACCTCGGAGTTGGGGATGATGGAGAGGGCCTCCGAGGACGACGGGAGAATGATGGGGTTCGGCTAGGGGCTGTGGGAAAGCAACGACTGCGTTCGTGCAGGGAGGGCGGGAGGGCGGGAGGGCGATTGTGGGGTAATGAAAGCGGCAGGAAAAAGGTGGAGAGGAGGGAATCCGAGAGATGCGGACATTGAGATGTTTGCGGAGTGTGTCGGAACTCGCTGCAAGGGGCGCTGTTCCTGCTGCCTGCCTGGTGGCCGGGCTGGTTGCTTTCACAGTGTTACTGTCCTACATTTCGTCTGGTGAGGCCGAGCTGTAGTTGGTGTGGGAGAAAGGAGAGAAGCCAGGGAGTAGGCGTACGAGGACGAGGAGAAGGCTACTGGTACTGCTACTATGTCTTCTGCATGCAGGTATTGTTTTGCTGCGGATCGTGGTGGGTCTTCGGGTCGGGTCGGTTCTGAGCGGATCGACTCGGGCTAGCGAGTGGGAGAGTCTCCAGTGTCGTTACTCTCGGGTTTCAACTTTCAATCAATGCTGAGTTTACAGTACTGTTGCTGCAGAGGCAGCATCCAATTTCTCCGTCCATCTAGGTGGGTTTGGATTTTGTCACCCGGTAGACTACTAGATAGAGAGGCCTGTGAAGGATCAGACTCGAGCTGGAGTTCAAGACTGGGAGGGAGTGGAGATTAGTGACGAGCGAGAGCTAGCGTTGTGGGATGGGGAGCTAGAGAGAGGAAAGTGAGGTTTGATTGAATCGGTTTCCGAGCCCGAGGGAAGGCCGAGATGATGTTGATTATCCAGGACGGTTATTCTCATTGTGAAGGGCCTGGTGGTCTGGACGGGGTTGAGGAATTGTCGTACGAGGATGCTGGTGCTTTATGATGCGGGTCATTTCTGGCTCCACACCTGTCGTCGTCTAGAAGAAGATGATGGTTGTAGATTAGAGAGCCTGAACCTGAAGTTGAGCGCTGATTGGACTCTGTGCGCTGTACTGTCTGCCAGTTCCGAACTTTTTTGGGGAAGAAGAATTTGCTTGGCCATGAAGAAGGACGTGGGAAGGGAGAGAAGATTATTGCGTCCTTGGAATTGGAGAGTAGAGCTCGGATGTCAGACGGATGAAACTCCTTTTAGACATGCTCCTCAAGGAACCACCACATACTCTTCTTGCTTTCTGGACTCGGAGACTTCACCGGAGTCATCATGCTCCCAGGATTTGCATTCTTAGCAATCTCATAGAGCGTACCGCTCAATCTCAATCCTGTTCTTAGAATCTGCTCTGTGCGTGCACTTGAAGAGTTGCAGGTCATAGGTGATCATGAACATCTCCGTGCTCCTTTACCTCTTCCTGTTGACATTTTTAAGCGTGTATTCAAATGGTCAAGACATTCGAAATCCCGAAGGTGATGCTCACTCCGTTCTCGAGCTCCGTGCTGATTCTTTCTGCCTGACAAAGTTTTAATTCGTTTTGCCTTGCCGAAAAAGACTACAGATCTCCATTCCAACTCTTGCACTCTATTTTCCTTCAGCTCTCTGGAGTGGGTTGATTTAATTACCGATGACAGATTTTGGAACTGCCTCTCTCCTTCCCTCTGGCGCGTTTATTTATGGTACTCTACCCGAGCTCTCGCATTTTTATTACCGATTTTCGAGAGAACTGACTATGATTTGCCTGTGTGTTTGTCTGAATCTTGCAGTGGTGGCGCTAATAACTATGAAAAAGAACTGGGTATCTACTACCCCTGACTTCCTCAAGAGCTGGGATCAGTTTGGAACAGACCCATGTAGTTTCTCCCATGTCACTTGTGGTGTCAACAAGTCCGTATCTCGACTGTAAGTACTAGCCCGTGGCGTTGCACGTCTTTCAATTACATATTATATGCACGCACTTTTAAGTCCAAGCAACTAAAAATTACAAGCATTTCTCGGAGATTTTATGCTGCACACACTGCAGTGTCATGAATCGAGATGTCCCGTCAGGCACATAGCAACTGCAATGTGTACTTCTTAAGGTAGCAGTGTTTTCGATCACTTCAAGATGAATACGAGCAACGAGTTCTGACTGATGCTGAATGATATGTGCATGTAGAGAATTGCCGAATCAGCGCATAAGTGGGGTATTATCGCCGTGGATTGGGAACTTGTCAAATCTGCAATACTTGTACGTGTGCTTTGGAATATAGGTCGTTGTTTGTAATCGCCGGAGCTGAAATATTGTTGGAGAGTCAATTCTCTGGTTTCAGGATTCGAGCCTTCTCTTCGCCGCTTGAAATTGATAATTTCTAGTTGAAAGAAATGTGAGCTAATCGTCTGTGTCTATTGTCTACAGGACATTTCAAAACAATAACTTGACTGGCATTATCCCCGAAGAGATTAAGAACCTAGAACAGCTCCAAACACTGGATCTATCAAACAACAGCTTCACAGGCAGCATACCCGCTTCACTGGGTCAGCTAAAAAGCGCCACCCAATTGTAAGACTGGATTCTGATTCTTGTGCCTATACTGATCTTCTTCGAGAACTAATAAACTACGACCTTCTCACATTTAAGCAGCTGACATGAGGTCGTAGATTGCACCCTTCTGGTCGAACGTATCTCATACATATTTCTTCTTCATGAAAGTCTGCGGATGCCTGACGTTGGAACGCGCTTTGGTCTACACCAGTGACTAATTTTCGTTTTGGTTGCTTATTGGCATTGACACGAAGACAGAATGTTGGACTACAACCAATTGAGCGGGCCTATTCCGGAAACTCTGTCGGCGTTATCTGGCTTGAAACTTCTGTAAGCCACTCAAGAAATCACGAGACACTTCTTTTTCATGTAAATTTGAGTTATAATCTAGTATGATTGTGGAGTCTATCCCAAGCCGTAGTTCTTATGCATGTGCCATTGATACTGCGTAGGTCAAAGATATATCAAAGATTTGTCAACACAAGTGTGTACTGACTTCGATTGCTATGTGACAGGGATCTTTCCTACAACAATTTGAGCGGACTTGTTCCAAATATATCTGTTACCAATTTCAAGTAAGATTGTAGTGCTAACAGTATTTGTTTAAATTGGCTTGTTTTCATTCGTGAATCTCGAGCATCTTCAAAAGAACTGTGTGGGGATATCCAAACCAAAGCAGGTTTATCCACTGACGTTTCTAGCTTTATTCAGCTTGGCAGGAAATTTTCTCCTTTGTGGATCTCAAGTATCCCGAGATTGTCCTGGTGATCCTCCACTCCCGTTGGTACTTTTCAACACATCGAAGAGTAAGTTTTGTCTGCTCCCCCATTCCACACTTCCATTTCAACATGCACTCACTCCAGTGATTCACGCATACATCTTCAACTTCGGGACCGTGACCCTTTCAACAGATTCACTGATGGATATGTACCATACTATCAGACTAGTATTCATGTCACATCTCTGTCCTTGTCAACTATATTTACTAATTGACTTCCTTCATTGTAACAGGCGATTCATCGCCAGGCTACAACAAAGGCGCATTAGTATGCGGGCTCTCTGTGGGCGCTTCGTTTCTCATCGCATCAGTGGCCTTTGGGATTGCCTGGTGGCGAAGACATCATGCGAAGCAAGTGTTCTTTGATGTCAACGGTAATGCACTACGAGCCTACTAATACTGAATATGGACCTGAGAAATGTAGATTTCGTGGATCCAAGTGTTTGCTTCCTTACTGATTGTGTCACCGTGTGAACTTCGTTGTTCTCATGGCAGCACTTAGTTTTAGTTCAGCTCATCTGTTATCTCCTTTGATTTGTCCCTATATTTCAACCTCACAAAGAGTTGTGGAGCTGATGGAGAAGACCGTGCTCTTTTGTTTGCAGAGCAGGAAAATCCCAACATGACATTGGGTCAGTTGAAGAAGTTTTCTTTCAAAGAACTGCAAATTGCCACGAACAACTTTGACAACAACAATATTCTTGGGAGGGGGGGCTTCGGTAACGTGTACAAGGGAGTTCTCTCAGACGGGTCCTTAGTAGCGGTGAAACGCCTTCGTGAAGAAGGGACACCAGGTGGCGAAGTTCAATTCCAGATGGAAGTTGAGATGATAAGCCTGGCTGTACACCGAAACTTATTGCGCCTGAGGGGTTTCTGCATGACACCAACAGAACGGCTCCTTGTGTATCCTTATATGCCAAATGGGAGTGTTGCATCTCGCTTGCGAGGTAGTAGTGCCTAGCTCTCCAATTTTCAGTTATTTCCGTTTGACCAAGGGATCCTTTACAGTTCTCAGCCCAGCATTCATTCGTTCCCTGGAAATTGTCCGATGACTTTGCATGTTTGGGCTTGTTCAAATAGCAGTAACATTATTGGCGGAATCTGTCCTAATAACATCTTGGTGTCGGTGTGTATCTGCTCGTTTGTTGCAATCTGTCCAGCTGATTCTATCTTCAAGAAATCTGTACTAGACTGGCCCACACGCAAGAGGATCGCACTAGGGTCTGCACGGGGACTATTGTACCTTCATGAGCATTGTGACCCTAAGATTATCCATCGTGATGTGAAGGCAGCCAACGTGCTGCTGGATGAAGATTTCGAGGCTGTCGTTGGAGACTTTGGCCTTGCAAAGCTGCTGGATCATAGGGACTCGCATATCACTACTGCCGTTCGAGGCACAGTGGGCCACATTGCACCAGAGTATCTCTCGACAGGACAATCATCGGAGAAGACGGATGTTTTTGGATTTGGCATCCTGTTGTTGGAGCTCATAACCGGCCAGAGAGCATTTGACTTCGGACGTATTTCAAGTAATCAAGACGTGATGCTTTTGGACTGGGTAAGTAGAATGTTCGAGCACCAAATTTCATGAATATTAACCTGCAGAGAAAGTTGAAGACCTCTATCATCATGAACCGTTCTTATCTTGGGCCGCATACGTTACCTTCGAGCAACGCTCCTTATTTTATAGTGCCGCTCAAAACGCCATGTTTGGGGTATTTCACACTGAACAAATGGCGGACCTTGAAGATTTGGCTCGTTTGTGCAGGTGAAGAAACTACAACATGAGAAGCGATTGGATCTGCTCGTCGATGTTGACCTAAAGCAGAAATATAACAAAGTAGAGTTAGAAGAAATGGTGCAAGTTGCTTTGCTTTGCACGCAAGTGTCCCCCACTGATCGGCCCAAAATGGCAGAGGTCGTACGAATGCTCGAAGGTGATGGTCTGGCTGAACGCTGGGAGACGTGGCGTAGATCTGAAAGCCGACGCAGTACAGAAGCTTTGCAAATGCCTCGAAAATACTATGAACTTGTGGAAGATTCAACTTTTGACCTGGAAGCTATACAACTTTCTGGGCCTAGGTAAGACCCAGAAGGTGACCCTTCAGTAATGATTCGATCGCCAAGAGAAACTGCGTGATTCCCCACCAAGTTGGTGACCAGAATCTTACAGTGTGAAAAGATTCTTCAGTCCCAAGCCATTAGCAGCAAGACAACAACCACCGAAGCCTACAGAAGAAAGTCATTACTTTCGATACATCTTCTCCAAATGCTGAAGAGCAACACTCGCACAACCATAATGACATCAGCTGGAAAGATCCAGTGGCCACGGGGTCGGGACGATTGACATCGTCGTAGCATTTTATAGTTCACACTCTCTGTTGACACGCACATGTCGATTTGAGGCATGATTACAACAGATCCATCTTGTCGGCGTGATTTCACCTTCACAGATGTGCCATTCGCAGATCAAGGTTTGTGGGTGTCTAGGAGTTTTGTATGAGATGACTGGCAGGATCAGCGAAGGCCTCATTGTACCATCTGCCTCGATGAAAATCTTCAGTGGAATGACCACGGAACTGTGTACATCTGCCTCGAGCGTGAAACTGATTGCAATTTTATTCTGGTCTTGCTAACTTCTATGTCTAGTCTTCTCCGTACTTGATCAGTATGATTGAGGGAGGGTACAAGCACGTCCGTGAGACATTAAGGTACACGGAGTATCATGAGTAATCTAAAACCCATCCGTAACTGAGCAGACCTGGAACAGTATGAGGTTAGACGTTGCTTTCCAACTGTTATGAAAACATTGTCAGTAACCAATTCACTTGAAAGACCCTGTCAAGCTTAAAACCTACTCTCGGCTTGGAACGAGACCTGCATGCACACGCAGGGCAGGGAAAAGACAATACACCCGGAATGCAAAGCTGCAGACCGTGAAGATAGAAGATGACGTTGTCAGCCGGCTGGGTATCCAGCTTATTACTGATTGGGAGGTATGGGAGAAGAGCGCGATTCAGCCAAATGAAGAAAGAGACCAAGAAAAAATCCCAGAAACAGTAAAAGAAGGTTCTACTCTCTCTCTAGTTGAAGCATTGCGTTTTCGACGTAGCATGTGATATTTCGTACACAGAAGATACCAGAAATGGGTGAGATCACAGCATCTAGAAGGGGCATTAACAAACAAATCAATGAGGATGTAACTGGAAATGCTATCTTTCTCTCGACGGAAAAGGGTACAGCACGGTGTATGATTATGTTCCGTCTGTGCGGCTGCCCGCTCGGCTCTCAGTTTTGGAGAGAATCGCACAACAGTACCAAATCGCGAGATATAGCGATCGGCACCAGGTTTTCAAGGTTGCTCGTCTTTGGCTGCTGATTGTAGGGTTCTATGTCGCTTGCAGAAGCTGATCATAGAGGCGCTCCAGCCACTGTACTTCGTCGCCCGTCAGGTGGAGGTACTGCCATTTCGAAGTTCTATGACTATTTGTTTTACGCAGAGACGCACTTTTTCCATCGTCCCCATCGTCGCCATAAGACTATACGGGCTAAATGACTACTTGCTGTCTACGAGAGACTGAACAGTTGAATACCTACTGTTGAAGCGCACTGTCTGTGATGTAAATGTCTCTGTGAAAACCTTCGTGCATTGGATCGGTGATGGGATAGAGGAGATGACGGTGTGATCAATGGACAAGTTCGATTTTGAAGTCTGCCATTGTGATGTGAGTATGAAGCGATCTACCCAGGACAGTAGAGATCTCAGCGTCTTGATAACTATAGCTCCCAGTGGCCGTGTTTCACGTTGCTATACAAACTGGGTGGGATAAGTCTCTAAATGACCGCCCCAACACATGTTTGAGCATTGCATACCCAGAAGCGGGGCAGAGGTACGTACCCCATCTGGTGCATGGGACCAACTTATTTCGTCAGCAACCCGGCTGACGATCCAGTATGAGATTCAAGACGTGAGAACATGGACACTGTAAACGACTTATAGTTGGCTGCAACATGTTATTCTTCCATAAGAGTTTTCAAATCGACTCATTGGTACACATTCACGACCGCTGACTATTATTCAAAATTGAAGAAACTGGAATTCGCAGGTGAGGCCACCTGAAGAATGAACTAATTTTATAATTTGTCATGAGCATGTTCGAACTTGACCTATCTCAACGATAGACTTGAGACCTAAACCTATGATAGCTTGACTTCGACATCTACACCGGCAGGAAGATCGAGCTGCATCAAAGCATCGATTGTCTGGGCATTTGGGTTTGCCAGGTCAATGAGCCTTCGGTGTGTGCGGATTTCAAAATGCTCCCGAGAATCCTTGTTGACGTGGGGTGCTCGAAGCACACAGTAAACTCGCTTCTTCGTTGGTAGAGGCACTGGTCCCATAGTCAAGGCATTGGTGTTCTTAGCTGCCTCCAAAATTTGTTGGCAAGCTTGCTCGATGAGAGGAACCCAGTAGGATCTCAGCTTGATTCTAATCTTTTGCTTGGAGGGAGCAGTCTGAGAGCCAAATATGACAAGTGAGTCAATGATCCTTGCGAGAAACTGGCTGTGGGCAGCCATTGAGGCATGAAATTCCAAATTACTTGTGACATAATTCACAAACAAGATTCACAACAATTAGATTACAGAGGCTGGAATTGGTACGAGGAGGCAAAGAATAGTGAGAAGTCAAATCCTATCAAATTCTGTGACATACTGGCAGTACTGACAAATAAGTGTAACCCTTGACGTCAGCTTGTGAGGTGTGCAACGCTTGAGGTATGCTACAGACGAGTGAATACTGGCCTCTCAGTCTTGTTAAAAGCCAGTCAAAGCAGAGTTAACCGTCCTGTGAGATATTAGAAGTCTACCCTTACACTGCGCATCCTCTAGGTGGGAACCCATTTCCAAATTGCGACTGTGAACTCCTCTTTCCGGTCAGGTAAAACACAGAAGGAAAATAACTATCATGCTTCTTCCAGGGAGAGAGAAGTCCACGCTAGCAATGCGCAATCTCTATGTGGAAATCCGCATCCATCCTACCAGTCCAGTTCAAAAGAGTGAACTTCTCTCTCCTAAAGTTTTGTAAAATCTTGCTTTACTTTTATTGCTGAGATAAACGTGACCTATGGTGCAGCGAAATTTAGCTCTAATGACCAGAAGCCTCGTACGAGGCAGAACAGGAAAAATTCTCCACACGGGTTTTCAGCTTAGTTGAGAAGATACTAGTACCGACATCCAAGTAGAGAGTACAGGGTAGCAAAAACTGTACGGCAAAGAACGGTACCACACTGTCTAAAACACGTTTACGACAGACATGCAAAGGCTTAAAACAAAGTTCATGATACCGAGGGTAGTCATTTCACTAATAATTCTGAAAGAAATCTCAAGCAAACGAAGCACAAGGAATATTCAAATCCCCAATGTGCTGAGATTTTTCCAGTTCACGGGGGACACTTTACAGAGCACTGAGCCATGTCATAATTAAGCAAGGGACGAACGAATTCTCTTTAGCTCGAAGATATCTCCCTTGCCAACCCAGAGCAGAGAGACTGATTCAAAAAAAATTGAAAGATGAAAAAGAACTGGAACTCACCACACCAGCAGCAGCAGCGACGACAGCTTGGCTGACAATGGCCGACCTTCTCTGAACACCATCGAACGAGCAAGAAGGAGAGGAAGAAGAAGAAGGCACGGCGAGCTTGCATCCGACGAAAGAGCTCAGCAGGGGAGCAGCCATCGACACTTTGAACCCACTGCACTCTGCGCCATTGGCACTCCTCGCGTTCACAGCAGCTGCTGCTGGCACCACCACGCTCGTGGCCATGGACGTCGCCATTTCCGCAATCCCTCGTGTTTCTCTTCTCTGATCCTGCTCCTCCTCGTCGGCCCTTCCTTCTTCCCTTCTCGCCCGCGGATCAAGAAACGAGCGCTCGCCTCGAGTGTCTGGAGCGTCTGCAGATTCTTCGATTCTCGCTCTCGACGGAACGATTGACGACCCGGGCGCCCATTCCGCCTCCCCTTATTTCCGCCCCAATTATCCATCCCATAAATCGGATAATTCCCGAATTTCCGATCCGTGGATGGATCGGAATCATTGAGCGGTCCGTGCATCCGTCCTTGGATATGGATGGATGTGGAGATCATTTGCTCATCTGAACATATTCCTTGGATCCGCGTCTAGATCCGGCTGCATCCGTTGCTGTGCACTGTGTGCGTGGCGATGTACACGGACAGTGGTGGGGCATGGCAGGGCAAGGCAGGGCATGGCGCGGCGCGACTGAACGACTACGACCGCTACGCAGTAAGTCGAAAGTTCACCTGCGTGGTGAGAAGCTGGCAATCTCATCGTGGTAAAGGTTGGAACCTTGTGACGCGAATGTTGGTTTCCTGAATAGGAAGGGTGGGTGAGTCCTTTCCAGCTCTGACTGTCGGGACTATAATCTTTTCTGCTACGACCTGGCGTGGTGTTTCAACGTGGTAACGAACTTCTGGATGGATGTGGTGCGCATGGTATTTTAACGAAGACTTGAATGTACGTCGTTCAAATACGAACATCTTTCACTGCGCTTACTCCGTACAGCCGCCATATCATCGTGGTCGACTTCGAAGAAGAGTCCGCTCCAATGAATGTACATTACAGGCTTACTCTACAATTATTTCGCCCATGACTCTACCAACAGGTATAAGAGAATTCAGGTGGCGCAAGGTGTGAACAAAAACGTGACGAAAACTATATAAAATGCAGAAGAATTAGAGGCCAGACTTCAAACCAATTCACCCCTTATTGCGTTGTTCCTGTATGCTCATTTTTGTTTCAGGTCTTAATGGCTCACAATGGGGCACACTAATTAGCGCCCGGGTCTGGGACTGAGGCTCAATACTACATATCTGTGGCGCTATCATACCTTTAGCATAAGATTCATGCATTTTATGAGCAAATTAACATAAAGAAAACCCCTATCTTGGTAAGGGTAGGCAGGGAGGGTACTTGAGGTAGTGACTTGGAGAACTGACTAGGGTGACACAGTTGTGCGAGAGGTGTGCATTGTGCGGTTGGCACTTTTGTGTTCGAACGTGGTACGGGACTGAGGGTGGGATGGATGCGGACTGCGGAGGGGGTGTCTTGTCGTGTACGAGAGCAGTTGGATGCAGTGCAGAACAGGTCGAGGTTGCGGTGACGCCAGCTTTTGGACATGGTGGAGAGCTCGCGCGTGGTTGTGGTTCCCACCACAACATGAACCTCTGATGTCCGTAGATGATGACGTCGGGGATGGTGCTGTGTGCTCTACACCCATCCATCCATCCATCCATCCATCACAGTTGAGGCCCTCACGGTTGCACGATTCTCGCCCACGGCGTTGAATATCGAAAGACGCAGCCAAGGTTTCCAAACGTTCCATGGATCCTGCCACTTCTAGATTCTGTGGTGTCCTTTTGTGGCTGTGGCCTGGTCTGTGACTCTGTGCCCTTGGGAGATCGTGGCACACCTCAAATCCCATCGACCGGATCCATCCCTCACGTTCGATGTCGATTTCATCTTCTTCATTGGACTTGAAGATGATGAGTAGGAGTGAAAAGTGATCTTCGGGGTGGATTGGCCACCTGTACCCTGGCTTCTTTCGCCCCTATCGAAGGAGGTTTCTTTGGACTCATTAGGTCGAATCATCAAGCCCATATTGTAGTGCTTACACGGTGTATCTGAAATGCCGCATCTCATTCAACCTCCATATCATCCTTGCGGCCTACATTACACTAGCCACCCCAACCCCAACGTGGTACTATGCTTCATGTAGTCAAAATCAAAAGAAGAAACTATTAATATAGGACAAGTGGGAAAAAATACCATCGAGTCTTACGTTGAAGAATGTAGAGGGATAAGATATTGCTCGTTTCTCTACATTGACAAGAGCAAATATATAACAGTGCATTCATTTCGTAATATATAGTGAAAGTTCAAAGTGTTTTCAATGAGAAATAATAAACATCATTAAAAATGATTGGTGTATGATGTTTAGCATCTTAGAGCTCTTTGAGAATATTATTGGTTTCAATATCAATGTCAAGGAGATAGATATTGTAGTAGTTATAAATGAAGTTCATATCTAAAGAGTGAAGATAGAAAATTATCTTCATCAATTCTTTTATGCTCTTACGTTCTATGTGGTAACGCATTAATCAATAAATTTCAAACAAAAAAACTAACAATTTACCAACATGAAAATAAGATGTTTTTACATGTTAACCATATACTTGATTATGAAAATATAATTTAATATTCCATTTTTTCTTACCTTTATAAATTAATATATGTTTGAATGAATTTTTTATTAAATAATTTTTTAATGAACATTAAACATATTTTAAATCTTATAAATAAAAAATTTACAAAATATTTAAGAATTGAAATATGAACCATTGTTACAATCATTTCAACACGATTAAAAAAAAGTGCATTAGTCTTGATTTAGTTATCTACATACACAAATATGTTAACCACACGAATATCAAAATGTGCAATGAGTGAGAATGTAATGAACAAACTACAATCGTAATTCCAAGCATTAGACTTCTTGATGTATAACAACCATACTCTTTGATGTGACAAAGCACTTAAGGAGATATAAAAACAATGACTTATGGATGACGACCTTGAGAATCAGTTATAGAAGATAATCAGATGTCACTTATTCATCTTGAAGATCGGAATTCCTCAATATCTTCAGTTTTTATCTATATGTTTCACATCGTTTGCTTCAACAACGTGAATGGATTTCCCTATCTCCGTTTGATAGTTTTTTATATTATAACATGATAAGTATAAACACAGTATAATGAATATATTCTTAAACTAATGGGAACTAAAATATGACAATTGAACGTTCATGTACTCTAAGTTTCATTACACTATATACACATGACATCTTGGAAATGTTCTTGAATGTATAGGTTTACTTGCATTTAACTTTCACGTAAAATAGAAAAGTTTCGCATATAGGCACAGGAGCTATGCAAGGGTATCAAGCAATATTCACAAATGGTCTTGAAAAATAAAATGACAGCTTTACAAGTGAGTCTCATAGCCAATTATCCAAGCAAACAAAAAGCAAATAAAAAATAATTTATCCCATGTTCATTAAAGGTTGTCGCTAATTAAAATAAATTACTCCTTTGAGTTTATTTGCATTATCGCCAATGATGGTATATATGTTCTTGATGTGCATCTAATGAACGTAAACAACAAAAAATCATCATGTAACAAACTTATATGTTACTACTAACGATTATTTCTTTTGATAATATCTTCTATTAAACTACTGTGTCTGAACTTTGAATTTACACAACTTACATGTTTGTGAAATATACTTAAAAAAACAAACAAATTCATTATTAAATATATATCAGTATGTTAAATTTATATGTTAAACAAGGTTTGTATGAAATATTGTCATTCGTATTCATAATAAATCAAACACGAATAAGATTATATATTTTGTTTGAAAAATTTAATGAAAATTTACATTTCAAATGTACATAAAATTGATATAAAATAAATCAACTGTTTTCACGTAAAATATATAATTATTATCTAAAACACAATAAAAACAAGCTTTATTCACAAACAATTTACAAATTTTTACAATAAATTTATCAAATTAAACTAAAATATATATTTTAATCAATAAAATTAATTTAATATATAATTTTTTAACATTTTTTGCTTTATTTATAAAATATATAAGATAAACTCAAATATCATAACTTTCACATATATTTCAATTTTAAAAATAAATTCTTTACTCAATATTAAACTACAATAATATATGTACAGTTTTTTATAAATTTAAATATTTAATGAAGAAAATATCAGATAAATCTAATGATAAGATCGAAACAATTGAATATTTGCACATGTTATTTATGTAATAGCAATAAGTTTACATACTAAACTAGTTATTTTTTATAATAAAAATATACATATATATATACACATAGATTAAAATACAATATGTTTTTAAAAAATTATGAAATTTGTTATCAAAATGAAAAAATATATTATGTATTTAGTACAATTTCATATATGTTACATCAAAAAGCTAGAAATGAAAATTACATAATATGTATATGAGAATATAATTCTATTTAAAATAATTAATATATACTTGCGACTATGAATTTTTTGTAAGATAATCATAGGCAAAGTATATATTTATTTTACATATCAAACAAATTGTTTATTTTTCATCAAGATTCAAAATTAATTAATTGTTGTAGATATTCATATAAACGTTTGAAATGTTGCTCCCAAAATAAAACTGTAATTCATTTTACATTTCTCATTCATTATAATATTATTTTCTGAAATTTAGTTTATATTAGTAATAAATGTGATTTGCACTAGAAATTTAATTATTTTTTATTTTGAATAATCATTTGGAGAAAATCATTAAATCAATAAGTAATATATAAAATCACAGTGATTCAATCAACATTTATGTTTTTTAATGTAATGATTCATAAAATTTATCTAATATATATTTATTTTGCAACACATGTAATTATTTGAAATTGATTTTTATTCATATCATCAACAATTTGAACAACACATATATATTTTATTTCTATATATGAATTAAAATCATTTTATTTTAATTATATAACATATTTAATAATATATAAGTATGTTCTTTTAGTCGTTATCTAAAAAAACAATATATATTTTTAAACAAAATTTCATTTGAAACAAAATAATAAATCAAGTTTATATCAATTATTCATTTGAGCTAAATTTATTTAAATATTGTGTTTATAAATTCATTTTTCATACAATCATATATACGTATATTTAATTTAAATTGAAAATCATAAAATAATATTTATAAATAAGTTTATTCATGATTATATATATTATTATATTCAATATCAAATTTTAATATATCAATTTATTAATATTAATATTTTATGCTTTAATTGCAATTTTATAACAT